AAGTTTGATCCAATTTTAATAAAATACATGACTGTAGTACAGAATATTACTCATTCAGGGTTAATCCTTTAAAAAAATATGCAATCCTTTTTAAATATATTTTGTTTTTAATTTGAAGAACACTGATAATCCAGATTCAATATTATGCATTTATTGCCTGAGTTCGAGGGCAATTATAAACATGCGTTTTGTTGGACCCAAGAACCAAACTGTCTGTCTCAGGCCTCAGGCAGACAGTTTGGTTCGAGGGTCGACAAAACGCATGTTGCCCTCGAACTCATTCAATAAATGTTTTGTTATACCTTTCATTTTCATTTTTTTTTTTACATACATGTATTTGTACTGTCTTTCGTGATGTAACATCAGGTCCCTCACTTTTGAACACCAACGAATGAAAATGATATTAAGCTCCACCAGTTCTGTGACGTAAGCGGTCCAACATCTGACTCAGCAGTCTAACATCGATTTTTTTATGCCCGCTCAGCAAAACATTAGAAATGTTTTAGACTTTTTTCCCTATAGATTTGTATAGGAACACATTTTTAGAGGTATATTTACATTTGCAAATGTTTTCCTTTATATAACACTACTGAAAGCAGTGCGTATCTATAACTGTATAGATACTAGTACGGGGTCAAGAGGTCATAGATGTGCGTATTGATAAACATTCGACATAAATTCTCAGTGATGTCATAAAGGGTCGACGCGCGCTCACTGGATTACATACATACCGTTGGGTTTGAAAAATAATGCATTTCACACGTTAAATGTCACAATCAGGCATATATAAAGTATGAATAAGTCACAAAAGTAAATATAAGTAATAAGGTATCATTTTAAAACATCCATCGGGCTACAAATACGGGTTGGTATGAAATTAAATTCATCATAAAGCCCGAATTTATTGAATTTAATCTCGTGACCAACTCTAATTTATATCCCGATAGATGTTTTAAAATGATACCTTATATCTTAAATAACAAAATATATTATGGTATTACAAAAGCATGCAGCCACTTTACCAAGATATTCCATTATTTAAAAAATTTTGACAAAACCATTAAATTCTTTATCTGGTTTTAGTTTCATTTAGCAGCCATGGTTATATAATAAATACAGGATCTCCTATGAGATAAGTATTAGATTTTAATATATTTTAATCACTATCTAAAAGACAGTCTTTGTTCAATATGACTATGAACAAAAATCCCCTACCAATCTCATAATAGGTGTTATATATTTGGCCCTGAATTTTATTCCTTGATGTCAGGATTAGTTGGTCATGTGGATGAGAACTTTACAATATAAAGGGGACTGTAATAGGCCATGGGTCTATTGCTTTGAAATAATCTAAAAGATGTTAAGTTTATTATACTGTGTACAGGGTTATTTTCGCCCTGTGTTATTTTCGCCCTTTCTCACTTACAAACAATTTTGCCCTCTTTTAAATTCGCCCAGTCATAGTTTTGCTTAAGAAATTACACTGTATTCTTTGAATTTGCCCCGTTTTAAATTCGCCCAAATGAGGGGAGGACGAAGGGGCGAAAATAAAACGAGGGCAAAATTTATCCTGTGTACAGTACATGTATAACTACCAGGGTATATGTATGATCCAAGAGCATTGATTGTAGCCTACACTCATTGACAGTTGTTAAGTTATTTTTATCATTAGAATTGGTATTAATTGTCAGTAAGTGCGTTGAGAATTTAGTGACCTTACAAAGCCACCACCTGATAAAAAAAATTCAAACAGCAAATGGTAGATTGGGATTCGAAGAAAATTGAAATAATTTAACAGTTACCACAGTTTGTCACTTTCTACAAAACCAATGAAAAATTATTCAGGACAAGAGGCCCATGGGCTTTGAAGGTCACTTTAGTATCATTAGTTTCTTAGGCTATGATATTATTCTGGACTTGGACTCTAAACTCTGTTATATGCATGAGACTTGAAATTTACGTGATCTAGCTGTTTCTTTAATTTGATCTACAGAAGTACGAGGGCTGTTCAATAAATAGTGTCCTCGGTGCTCAGAAAGAAGCAAAAGACGCTTTTGAATGATTTATTCTTCATGATTTTACTAATTAATCTCTTTTAAGTAAAATACATGTCCGTAAAATTTTTTATCCAATTTCTGATTGTTTTTAGAACTCATTTTTGGGCATGACCCTCAGTATACTGGAAAATGGCACATCCAATGATTTCCCGGACTTGTTTCTTCCCTCTGAAAGGTGTTTTTTTCAAGTTTGGAAATAGAAACAAGTCAAAAGGTCAAAGATCTAGCGAATATTGTTAATGTGAAAAACCATTAACTTTCAGTTTATCCCGAAAACCCCTTAACTCTTCAGGGCATGCGGGTTTGGACGCTGTCTTGAAGAAATTCAATGTAATGGATTCCTGATTCTGGGTCCTTCCTCTAATAAACCTTTTGATTTTTTTTTGCAATAAACTGCTTTCTAGACCCCCTCAGAAATTAAACTGTCTCTCCGAATACGAATGTGACCAACAATACCACTAATTTTAAAGAAAATTACATATAAATCTGTCTTTCTGCTTTTGAATACCTATGCTTTTGTCAGACATTCGCCATTTTTATGTAGAACATCTTTTGGTAAATTTTATTTTGAGGGTTTTAATAAATAGATTCATGTTCCAATATCTGTTTGAAAATAAAACAAACGTGGATAACTAAAATTACCGATTTTTTAAAATAATTGTAAAGAATTTCGTATACACTGTCGTTTTCACTCATTTTTCAAAATATAGGGTGACCTTTGAGTACTAAGCTTTTTTACCGTCAAACGTTTCTTAAAAACACTGGAAACTACTCCCGATGTGATGTCTATCAGATTTGCTATGTGTCTTAAAGTCAATCATACATCATGAAATATTATTTGTTGAAATTTGGCAACCAGTACATAAGTTGTTATAATTTTTGTTGGCAGGGAGGGTACCTGTTTTTGAAGCCTATTATATAATTTTTTATCATTGAAATCCAGCTGCTCTTTTGTCTATAAAACAGGCATTGATTGCTGTAAATGTCATATATTCCAGTGAATATTTCTTTGGGATTTTTAACAAGTTTTACGGTAGCTATAATGAAGCTTTTATTTTCACTCTAATTTTCTGATTCTTTACCATTCATTTATAATGCAGTGTCTCGAAAAGCCCTTGTTTCCGAGCTTCTCACGATGAAACTATGTGATGAAAAGTGGTCACATAAACTATTATAAATTCATGAAAGATTAAATAATGAGAGAAAGTCAAGTTTAATGTCATATGATATCTGTAATGTATTTTATATAGTTCAGGACATTATTTATTGAACAGCCCTCGTAAATACCAAAATTAGATGAAATTAGATTTTAAAACCATTTCAGAGTATATTGCTAGCTAGAAAATGTTCATATTATTTGGAGTTAAATACCATGTATAAGCAAAATTTAATTTGGGCATTATTAGCCAGGGTGTTGAGATCTTTAAAATTGATTATTGCTAAAGATTAACTGCGTTTTAGTTGTAATAGCTTCTTTTAATGAGTAAACATTTTAAAATTACTTCTCGCTAAAAACTTATACAGTTTATCTGTTGGTATGTTTTTAGCTCACTTGAGCCAAAGGCTCAAGTGAGCTTTTCTGGTCAAGGTATGTCCGTTGTCTGTAGTCGTCGTTGTTGTCAACTTTTCACATTTTCAACTTCTTCTCAAGAACCGCTGGGCCAATTTCAACCAAACTTGCCACAAAGCATCCTTGGGTGAAGGGGATTCAAGTTCGTTCAAATGAAGGGCCATGCCCTCATTCAAGGGGAGATAATTGGGAATTAATGAAAATTTGGTGGTATGTTTTAAAAATCTTCTCAAGAATCACTGTGCCAGGATTGATGAAACTTATAGGGAAACATCCTCAGGTAGTGTAGATTCACTTTTGTTCAAATCATGACCCCCGGGGGTAGGGCGGGGCCACAATGGCCGACCAAAGTTTTACATAGAAATCTATAGGAAAATTCTTTGAAAATCTTCTTCTATAGAAAAATTCTTTGAATATCTTCTTCTCAAGAATAACAAAGCCATAATTCATCATATTTATATGGAAGCATCCTCAAGTAATGTAGATTCAAGTTTGTTCAAATCATGACCCCCGGGGGTAGGGCGGGGCCACAATGGCCGACCAAAGTTTAACATAGAAATATATAGGAAAATTCTTTAAAAATCTTCTTCTCAAGAATAACGTAGCCATAATTGATCATATTTATATGGAAGCATCCTCAGGTAGTGTAGATTCAAGTTTGTTCAAATCATGACCCCCGGGGGTAGGGCGGGGCCAAAATGGCCGATCAAATGTTTACATAGAAATATATAGGAATTAAAAAAAAAAAATCTTTTTCTCAAGAATTGCAAAGCCATAATTGATCATATTTATATGGAAGCATCCTCAGGTCGTGTAGATTCACATTTGTTCAAATCATGACCCCTGGGGGTAGGGCGGAGCCACAATGGCCAATCAAAGTTTTGCATAGTTATATATATGGGAAAATTTTTTACAGATCATTTTCTCAAGAATAGCAAAGCCATGATTGGTCATGGGACTACTTTTGGATTTAAATTTTTCAATAATAAACCAATTTCTACTTTTTCCTAGCCACAGTGCTCAGGTGAGCGATGTGGCCCATGGGCCTCTTGTTTTTTTTAAATTCTATATCAATTTATGATAATATATATTTATGTCTTTGATTAACAAGAATGTTCTGATGCATAATACAGAAAGTGGATATAGATCTACTTTATCAATTTATTTATCAATTACCTTATTCATAACAATATTTTGTTGATCCCAGATCATTTTGTTTCTCTTATGTAAGGTCCTCTGGCCTCTTGTAAAATACTTGGATTTGCTTTACTGAATTTGGGCAAAAACAGGGAAATAGAAGTAGATGTCTTAATTATCTTGATGACAATTTCAGTTCTGGAAATCACTTTCAGTTTGTATCCTTCTACTTTCAGTTTGTATCCCATCCCCACTGCCAGCAGTTATTGACGTCCATTTGGTACGAGGGTCTGCCTGGGTGGAGAAAGAGGAATGGCCTGACCAAGTTCCTGCTATGTATGGGGCTTATCCTGATCGGTCCATTCATGGCTGTATATTACCTGATCTTCCCGCGGAGCAAGATAGGACAACTCCTGCGGAGTCCATTTATGAAGTTTCTATATCACAGTGCCTCGTTTGGGGTGTTTCTGATTCTCCTGGTGCTCTGTTCTACAGACATCAGTAGTCCCAGCGATCGAGGAAACATACGGGGACCGCCACCCTCAGAACTCGAGTGGCTCATATTCTTATGGGTGATGGGTCAGTGCAAATTCTTTCCAATTTATTATTCAACTGTATTTTAAAAATATAACAAAGTTTTGTTTTATGAAAGGTTGATTGTATTTTTAGGGTTTGTTTGGGCTGAGTGTAAACAGTTGTGGGAGGAAGGACTGAAGGCGTACACCAGACAATGGTGGAACTGGCTAGATTTCCTGATGCTATCGCTCTATATCGCTACGTTTTCTCTCCGACTTGTGGCGTACGTACAGATAGAATCAGGTAAATACGGAGACAGGGACATTCCCAGGAAGGACTGGCCCATCATTGATCCTACCCTTCTAGCTGAGGGGCTGTTCGCAGTGGCCAATGTTTTTAGCTTCTCTCGTATCATATTCTTGGCTCAGGCTAATCAACATCTAGGACCCCTTCAGATCTCTTTGGGATGCATGTTGATTGACATTGGGAAATTTCTCTTCATTTTCTTCCTGGTGCTGACATCCTTTGCGTGTGGAATGACCCAGCTCTACTGGTACTACTATAACAGTCGTGTTCCAGAGGACCCAGTGGCATTTGTATCGTGAGTTTTATGCTCTTATTTCTTAAGTTCTCTTGTATCAGAATTGTATTTCTGCCTTTTTTTAAAAAAAAAAGAAGAAATAATTTTAGCTGGGTAATTAGGGCCCCGCAAGGATTTGCGGGTGCCCTATAGTAATCACTCTGTCTGTCCGTCTGTCACTCTTCCGTCCACAAATTTTCTGTTTTTTTCTAATAACTTTTTTTATGGTTGCCCAATCAAGTTCAAATTTGGTATGGTAGTTCGGTAGGCAAAAATACATATTTTGATGCTAAGTTTGGTTCTCTATGTCTTCTGGTTTGGAGCTGGGGTGGTGGGGTAGATTCCTTAACTATGCATAAGAATGAATGGGCAACTTTTTTTTATGGTTGCCCAATCAAGTTCAAATTTGGTATGGTAGTTCAGTAGGCAGAAATACATATTTTGATGCTAAGTTTGGTTCTCTATGTCCCCTGGTTTGGAGCTGGGGTGGTGGGGTACATTCCTTAACTTTATATAAGAATGCATTGGCAAAGAGAGATAACTGCTGAAGATGTTCCCATTGTAAACTGAAAGCTGCTATATGAGTCCCTTGGGATTAATTAGCTTTCCTCCTGAAGAAAATCCAGAGCATTATCTTTATCTGTCACATTGAGATGAATTACCACCTCTGTCTGCAAATGAAGTTTGTTTTGAAGTTAAGTCAGTTTGGAATGCTATGAACACTCTGAAATGTGGATTTGAATATAAATTTTCATAATTTATTTTTGTTTAATAGTTATGATTTCATTGAATTCTAAAAACAAGAAATAGATTAAAGAAGATTTTTTGATTTACTTTTGTTACTTATGTTAATTCAAGAATATTATTAATTTTTAAGGTAGTTGTATAAAAACCCCATTCTATCATTAATACTGAAAAAGTTCTTATTGTAACTTTAAAAGAAAATTATGAGAGAGGTACAATTAATCCCTTGGGATTAATTATCTAGCCTGCTGCAGAAAATTTAGTAGGCTTTTCTTTATCTGTCTTTAAGATTAATGAAAACCTTTGTCTGCAACTGCTGTTTGTTTGAAGTTAAGGTCAAGCCTTCATGATATTTGCATTCATTGAAGGCTGGATTTTATATAACACAAGCTTCATAATTGTTTAAATATACATTCAATGTTTAGTCATTCTTTACTGCCTAATGTAAGTTGAAGGATATTCTTTTCAGGTTTTTGAATGTTCAGGAATTATCTTGAAATTTTAAGAATACAGTTGCTGTTGCTTATTCTTCGTACATTTTTTAATCATTCCGTAAGCTGCACCCTTTTAATTCTACCCCATGGCGGGGCCCTTGCTGACTGGTCAGTTTTCTAGTTTTCTGTTGATACTTCCAGGCTGGGGGAGAGCTATGCGACATTATACTGGTCATTGTTTGGGATCACAACAAAGCATGACCTCAGAATCCAGAATGGTCAAAACTTTACGGTGATGCTGGGCCGCTTGATGTTCATGTTATATCATTGTATGGCTATCATTGTACTCATTAACATGCTGATTGCCATGATGTCCAACTCTTTCCAAAATATTGAGGTAAATACAAACATGAAATTTAGTCCTCAAACTTAACAGAAGAGCTTTGCCCAATCAGAAGCTCTTTACTTGCAGATATATTCTAAATAGAAATTTTATTTTTTCAGAACCATGCTGATATGGAGTGGAAGTTTTCCCGTTCCAAGCTGTGGATGGGTTATTTTGACGAGGGCTCCACTCTTCCTTCTCCCTTTAACCTTATCATCAGCCCTAAATCTATCTACTATGCTGTCTGTTTTATCAAGGACCTGCTCAGTAGCTGCGTGCAGGACAAACAACATTTCCGTAGACCTAAGCGCCGTACCTCTGTGGGCAGTGTAAAGGTAGGGTAAACTATGTGATTAATGGTTTAGAATATTGGGACCCTCTCTAAGGTAGGGTAACCAACGGGATTAACGGTTCAGAATATTGGGGCCCTCTCTGAAGTAGGGGTAGCCATTGTGATTAACGGTTCAGAATATTGGGACCCTCTTTGAGGTACATTTGAGCTTAGTGTAATCAATCTGTCATTTAAAGTGAGTTTTTTTAGAAAATGATTAATCAACATAAAGCTTGTGCAAGTCTACAAATATTGACAGTATTTTAACTCATTTAGTAGAGTAAATATTCATTTGTTTGAAAATTTTGTTTTATTTTTTCCTCCCTCCCTCATGGGTTTTGAAGTTTATAGGTGATGTTAAACAAAAAATTAATTTACGCCAGCCTTAATGGTGATAACTTCGATTACATTTTTTTTTTCTAAATATTTTTGCCTTTGGGAAAGAAACAGGTTTTCTAAAACCAATTATCATTTTACACACCTTTTCAATGTTTGTTCAATTATACACAATTTGTTTTTTTTTTTATCCAAATCAAAACATGCTCATATATCAATGTTCTTTTCACCTGCTGTTTTATATTAATTAACATTACAGGGAGAATGGGAGAAAATGACACCAGGGATTAATATGACATAAACATTTACTTCATATAACAATTCTGTTAGACATCATTTTTTTAAAAACTTTTGATGGGTCATCTTTTCTTAAGGAAATTGATAAACACCTTAGGGTAAGAAATTACATAACAGAGTTCATTACAAGTTCAGTGCGAGCTTACATAAAATTAATAAGTCATTTTTATATGGCTCGCTTTAAATGAAGAGATGTAAGGTAGCTTGTTGATTTGTTGTCGTAAGGGCAACTGAGACAGTTTGACATTAAAAAGAAATGTTTTCACGAGAAGAGTGTCCTAAGGACAAATTTCCTTATGTTCTTTAAAGATCACAAGAAAATGAGAAAAAATATTATGTTAGCCTTCATCTCTTTAATATATTTTTTTTTTGGTTTGTGTAATTTTTCATTTGATTTTCTGTATATTGACAGTGTAGTCTATAAGTCTTTATAATATATCATGTTAGCCTTCATCTCTTCAATTATCATTCTTATGTTTTGTTTATGTAATTTTTCCTTTGATTTTTCTCTATATTGACAGTGTAGTGAATAAGTCTTTATAATATAAATAGAAGATGGATCATTGGCTAGTATTTATAATAAATACACCCATAGCGAGGTATATCTGACAACATCCAAAGCATCATTTGATCACTTCATTTGACATTTATTTGATGGACACCATTTTGGCCTTGGACATATAAAAAACAAAAAACAACTGGTAGTATAAAAAAATTAATGAGCAAGGTTTTGTATGTACTGCTAGAGTATAACTTCTGTTCCAAAATGTGCAATTATGAAATAGTCTTTTCTGATGATTGTAATTTTTTTTTTCGGGGGGGGGGGGTCAAGGAGTGTGCTCATATATATATTTAATTCTTTGCTGAAGCTTCTGAAAAGAATTTCATTGAGATTATTTTGAGATTTTACAAACCCTAGCTGCTTTCCAATAGCTGGACTCTCAAAGAATATTAGTTTTAGACAATGAATGCACCAAGTCTCCATATTGATATTTGAAAAGGACATTGAATGGTACTTATAAGAAGTTGGGGCTATTTTACACATAAAGTACACCTAGCCTCAAACTATTCCATTTTGCAACCATCATATTACCGAAATATTTTTTTTTTTAAATGCCTTTGAAACAACTGTAGAAATAAGCTTTACACTAATCATATAAAATTAAAATCTTTTAAAAATTTCATAAACATATTTTCAATTACTTTATGCAGGACAAACTTACAGCACTGATATAAATCTATGTACATATAACTATTTGTAAATGACATGTGCAGTGGTGTTTGCCAATTTTTCAAAGTGATTATTTTTACACAATTAATAGGTTAAGGGGATATTTTCTCTTCAGTTTCAAAAAAAAAAAATTAATGGTTTTTTTCATTCAGAATTCTCCTACTTTTAATCCCCCTACCAGTTGGCCAAATCTCTGAAGATAAAGATATCATACATGCACATAATTTTAAAAATTATCTCTTGTTTTCACTTTTAGCCTGTTCCAAGTCCAGTGCCGAGAAGAGAATTTATGGACATAAACTCAGTAAGTTAACAAACAAGACAGAGACATTGGTAATTAATTAATTTACTCAAGTATGTTCCTCTAGAAAATCCTAGTACATGTACATGTATTATAGTTTATTACATTTTCAACAGTGAAATACTGTAATTTATTCATTGAATAAAAATGATAACCTGGCTGTCACAGTGTGAAAGGATATCAAAATGATATCCTTTCACAGTGTGACAAATATCAGAAGTGCCGTAAAATTCTTGATTTACCTTCCCATAACGAAGAGTGTTGTAAAAATATTCCATGGACTGTTATAATATATGGAGAGAGTAAATAAACCATTCTGATAGAGAATAAGACTGCCAAAGTTCCCCCAAATATGTTGCTGAAATCCCTGTTTAGCCTACAATCTGTAACAATGTTTTCACTTTGAGCTCTGTGACGTCGCAACTGCTCAACTATGACGTCATGTTGTCTACGACTGTATTGCAAAAAGACGAATAGGCAAAGGGAAGGTCAAGGAAAATGTAATAAACAGAAAATTCAATGTTTTGTAGTTGAATATGGAATTTATTTCACGAGTGAAGCAGGATTTTTTTATATTTTCACTCGTGCTTCGCACTCGTGAATATATAAAAAAAATCCTGTCCCACTCGTGAAATAAATTCCATATTCAACTACAAAACATTGAATATCCTCTATTTAAACTTATTTTCAGAAAGGAGCAGTGCAGATCTCAACCAGAATAAATATTAATTCTGAAAAACCACCAACAGAGGTGAGTGTTAATCTGTCTAGAAATTAGAATAGAAAGAACTGGTCAAAATGTCCATTTTATTCACAGCAGCAGGAAGATGGGAAGATTTAAATTTTTTAATTTTTTTGTATGTCAGTTAATGTATGTATAATGTTTTTTTATATAAATATTGTAGGAACATCTTTTGTGTTCAACATAACATAAAAATAGCATTATAAATTGATGCATATTATAGCCTATGTAGTATAGTATGTTATAAGGTCACCTGGGTCACTCAGATGACCTTTTTCTATTTCTTTTCATTCATTAGTATTTGAACATTTTCAGCTTTTCTCTGAAACTGCTGAACCAATTTTGAAAAATTTGGTATTTATAGAATCATTTGGCAATTTGGACCAAAAATTATATTTTATATTGTCTGCCCCCCCCCCCCCCCCCCCACACACACACACACTCACCTGCCTGAGAGGTAGGGTCAATGCTCTCAGTATTTTTTTTTTTTTTTCTCTATTACCAAGCATTCAAACTGCAAGTATTATTATAATAAACATTGAGCCCTCTTCAAAATAATTTTGAAAATCATGGCCCTTTAAAGGGGGAGGAAATAAGCACCTCCTTCAAATTTACCTGGTCTTAGAACCCCTGTCAATCATCTGAAATTAAGCCCGGGATTGGATACTTTGATTTGATTGACATTCAGTTTGCTGCTGTTGTGTATATCTTGTGTACCTTGTCTGGAGATCGTACCGACCATCGAATTAACTTTCAGGCTTTTGATGCCTACCGCACATGTCAACGTGATAAAGAAGCAATCAAATCGTTCTTTTCTTTTTTAATTCATAAGAATATGCCATAAATATAATCCATCCATCAAATAATTAAATAAATGACAAGAAAAATCATGGCTATATAATATATATTATAAATTTAATTTTAAAAGGGAGGATTTCATATCACGATTACAATCGATAATTTTAATTTCCGTGTCAAAACATGAGTTAACGTACATTTATTCCTCCATTAATTAACAATTGAAAATAAACCAACCTGCGTTTGAAGCTAGTATCATGGAATTTAAAAATAAAATTTTTTTTTAAAACAAGTATGACAACATTGTAACATTGTTCATGAGTCAAGTGAATTTATATTTATAAGACAAACCTGTACGTGTCGCTTTTCTTCGAGACATGATGACGAAGTTACGGTATAATAATAAGTTTTAGAAGAGAAGTTACTTGGAATATAACATCTTGCTTTGTATTTGATGTTTGAAATTAATAATGAATCTCGAAAGAAAAAAAAACGATGCAGATGATTCCATTCCCGTTTCATAGCTGTCGGGGAATCAACCCCGGTCCGGAGCCCTGGCCATTTTTACAGACCATGTGTTATGGAAAAATCAAGTAGGATTTAATGTATCTTAAAAAGATATTTATTTAGACAATAATATTTCTACTTCAACATTTTATTCTCAAAACATCGTTTCTAAGTTTCATTGTTATTTACCGAGAGACTTTTATGATTCACTTTCTTCTTTTGTTTTGCGTAGAAGACATGTAATTTGAATTACTTCCCTTTTTGTAGCCAGATTACAAGGACAAATTTTGGTGCTAAATGTATTTTCGTTATAATACACTTCATTAAGAAACACACTGTATATAAAAAATGTCGAACTATTAAAAATATCAGTTATTTTAAAAGAAAGAAATTGAGAAGGATTCTGTCTGCAACAAAAAATGCTTTATTTCGCATTTCAATTCATGAGCTAAACATGAAAAAAACGGCCTCGGTTTACAAATTCGTAGGAAAACGCATACAGGTAATACACTCAGGAACATCCTGTGTATATAGGTAGTATACACAAGCCAGCGTCGTTCTCTCTGGGCTTCTCAGCCGCTTCGATTAAGCCCCACCCCACACCAAACTTACCTGAGGAAAACTGTACGGTTGAAAACCTCGGCCTTTAAGCAACATCTTCGTCTATCAGAGATTTTATTATTTTATAATCTCATTGATGATTTACAGAGATGCATTATACATAGGTGACCCTTAAGACCCATGGGCCTCTTGTTTAAGAATACCAGTAGGTCAATATTGATAGACGAGGAGTAATTTGAAGGCATTATGACTAGAGTAGTACATATGTATCAATTCCAATACACAGTGTTTAACAAAACCTGTAAATTAAATATTTAAAAAAAATGACTTTTAGATGGTTATCATCATTCCAATTAATGCACAATAGACTCAACAGTTCATTGGTATGTGTATAGACTTGTAGATAATTAATAGTCCCTGTCAATGAAATTTGAAGAAGTCATGTTGTCAGAATTGTCCTTTGAAAAATACCTCAAAGACCTTGCTAGGATTTCATGACATATTCAGAGAAAAATGTGTCCTTGTTTAGAGGAAAGTGATTAAAGTTTTACATGGGTGTGCATAAGGATGTGGGGTCTTGAATTACATGGGTAATTCGGCTGTCATTACCAAAATAGATGTCTTAATGCACAGCCAAGTCTCTACTTTAAAGACTACAAATACATTTTTCCCATGCATATTTTCCAATGCATGTTTTTTTTTTTTTAGCTCACCTGAGCCAAAGGCTCAAGTGAGCTTTTCTGATCAAAATTTGTCCGTTGTCTGTCGTCGTTGTCGTTGTTGTCGTCGTAAACTTTTCACATTAACATCTTCCTCTCAAGAACCACTGGGCCAATTTCAACCAAACTTGCTACAAAGTATCCTTGGGTAAAGGGGATTCAAGTTTGTTCAAATGAAGGGCCACACCCTTTTCCAAGGGGAGATAATTATGAATTTGAGAAAAATTAATTCCATTTTTATAAAATCTTCTCAAAAACGACTGGACCAGGAAAGATGAAACTCATATGGAATCATCCTCAGGTAGTGTAAATTCAAATTTGTTCATATCATGACCCCCGGAGGTAGGGTGGGGCCAAAATGGCCGATCAAAGTTTTACATAGGAAATATAGGAAAAATCTTCTTTTCAAGAACCACAGGGCCAGGAAAGATGAAACTCATGTGGAATCATCCTCATATAGTGTAGATTCAAGTTTGTTCAATTCATGACCCCCTAGGGTAGGGTGGGGCCAAAATGGCCGATCAAAGTTTTACCTAGGAGTATATAGGAAAAATCTTTTTAAAAATTCTTCTCTAGAACCATTGAGACAGGAAAAATGAAACTCATGTGAAATTATAATCAGGGAGTGTAGATTTAAGTTTGTTCAAATCATGACCCCGGGGGGTAGGGTGGGGCCAAAATGGCCGATCAAAGTTTTACATAGAAATATATAGGAAAAATCTTTTAAAATCTTCTTCTCGAGAACCACTGGGCCAGGAAAGATGAAACTCATATGGAATCATCCTCAGATAGTGTAGATTCAGATTTGTTCAAATCATGACCCCCGGGGATAGGGTGGGGCCAAAATGGCCGATCAAAATTTTACTTAGGAGTATATAGGAAAAATCTTTAAAAATCTTCTTCTCAAGAACCACAGGGCCAGGAAAGATGAAACTCATGTGGAATTATCCTCAGATAATTTAGATTCAAATTTGTTCAAATCATGACCCCCGGGGGTAGGGTGGGGCCAAAATGGCTGATCAAAGTTTTACATAGGAATATATAGGAAAGATTCTTTAAAAATCTTCTTCTCAAGAACCACAGGGCCAGGAAAGATGAAACTCATGTGGAATCATCCTCATATAGTGTAGATTCAAGTTTGTTCAAATCATGACCCCTGGGGTAGGGTGGGGCCAAAATGGCCGATCAAAGTTTTACCTAGGAGTATATAGGAAAAATCTTTTTAAAAGATTCTTCTCTAGAACCATTGAGACAGGAAAAATGAAACTCGTGAAATTATCCTCAGGTAGTGTAGATTTAAGTTTGTTCAAATCATGACCCCCGGGGTAGGGTGGGGCCAAAATGGACGACCAAAAATTAATTCTCATAGGAATATATAGGGAAACCTTTTAAAATCTTCTTTTCAAGTACTTCAAAGCCATGATTAGTAATATTTATGTAGAATTATCCTCAGGTAGTGTAGATTCTAGTTCGTCCAAATCATGATATGTCCTTTTTCCTAGCTGGTGTGCTCAGGTGAGCTGTGGCCCCTGGGCCTCTTGTTTTAATTTGGTTATTAATTACAATAATGAAGAGTTGCATTATGTAATTTAATTTTAAAGTCAAAATCTGCTTTTTTGCAGTAGGTTGTCTCAATTAATTTATATTCGTTGTCTACTATTTTGTCATTTTAATTTGTTAAATTTTAAGGAAAAAAAGAGTCAATTAATTAATTTGAAATGCCAAAAAATCTGTACTTTGAGGTTCAAAGAAAACATAAATCTGCCCATTTGTTATAAATTGAGGCTCTGTGTTCCACCAGGAACCAAGAGGAACCATGATGATTTGTTGTAAATTTCAAAAAATATTGATAAACTATAGTTACTTGAAATTTCTTTCAGGTGAAGTACCGCCCCCCTTTGAGTGCTCAGACCAGTGTCCGATCTAATGAAGAGAAGCATTACCAGGTAATGATGCTATATCACATGGTCTTAATAATGTCTTATACACAGATTGTTTGAGGACTGATAGCTGATGCCTGGAGGGGGTATTAAACCTTGACCAAAGGCCCCGTTTTTTTTAGGCCAGTAGCAGTAAAAGATTTTTCTACCAGGCTTTAAGTCTAGTACTATCCCAACCAAATACCCAAGTTTTAAAAAACCTGATCCAGGGAACTAGGTCTAGGTACTGTTCATGTTTGCAAGGAAATATTTATTCATTCATTTTTACAACCCTTTTCCCTTCCCATGCTAAGTCCCATATCTACCTCAAGGGAAGACTGTTGGTCATACATGTGTGGCGGTCAGCCGGATTCGATCGCCGGTGGCCAGATAGCTTTGTTGGTAGAGCAGCTGACCGGAGTTTCAGGGGGCCCAGGTTCGAATCCCGGTTTGGTCCACTGCATTTTCTCCTCTCCCGTTTCACATGTATATAAAAATCTGTGAAAGTGGTTAACATCTAAGAAATCTATGCTTTACTGGTGACAGTCTAGGCCCGTGGGCTTCTTGCATATAGATTAAAATTGATGTCTTTAAAAAATTGAAAGGTCTTATCATTTTTATCTTAGGACATAATGCGGCGACTGGTCAGTCGGTACATTCATCAGTTTAAGAAGGACAAACAGTTGGATGGAGTAAATGAAGATGACTTGCTGGAAATCAAACAGGACATCTCCAGTCTGAGGTAACATCCAGAGCAGTATATACCCCCAGAGACTGATAATCAAGTGCAATATATACCCCCAGAGACTAATAATCGATAGTCATTGTGTCAAGACATGTTATTATACCTCATTATAAATATTCTACACAACGCGTTATCTGATTGGTTCTAGGTTATCATGTGATCGGGCCGTAAAACTTCATAATTCACGCAGCCGACAGCATGCTTTTCATCATATTCCACCTCTTCGGAACACCTAGTGTATTTTCCTGCAATATAGTTCTCATTCGTTGAACGAAAACTCCCAAGAGTAGTAGACGTCACAATAGCCTAGTTTACGTCACAAAATTGATGATTATGTGTTGACCAAAGGGTTTTATAGTAACTTTACGTAAAAAAATGAAAGCGAATTTGAGAGCGGTGCCGAATTTGAAAGTTTATGTTTATTTCAAAGGTTTCGCTTCTTCCAGTATAATAAACAATTCATTGCATGAATGTTCGGGAAACATGAAGACTTATTCAGCCAAGAAATATCATATTCCCCTCGGGCGAAGCCCATCGGGGAATATGATTTTTCTTGGCTGAATAAGTCTTCATATTTCCCTCACTATCATGCAATAAATGTATAAGGTAATTGTGTCCTACTTGTAGATTAGGCTGTTTTCAAGTTCTTCCATAAAGGAACTGATTGGGCTTTTCAAGATTTTCTAAAAATAGTAAAATTTTAATTGTTTTTGAGTGAATTTTAGAAATAAAAGTGTGCGGTCAAATTTGTTTATATTGAAATTTAAGGAACCTTGATATTTATTTCAAATGAACTGAATTTCAATATATTCATGTGCTATGAGTTATATACAAGATGTAGATATGACACAAAAAATGAAGATTTCAAAAGTTTAAATTTTTTCACAGATATGAATTGAGAGGAGATCGTAAAAGGGAGTCATACCAGGCAGCCAACCTGCTACAGAGCACAAAACAGGAAATCATTTCACTCATACAGAAGTTTAACATGACTGTTCACCCCCTACAATCAGGCACAGGTCAAGGTCAAAGCCCAATGAATGTCCCCTCAGACAAAGTTCAGACAAGTGACAGGGGTCAAGTGTTAACATCCAATGACCTTGAGCAGTTAAAAGAGGACATTATCAGTGGAATTTGTTCCAGGTTACATGATAATATACAGACATTTCAGGGAATGGAAAGACTGCCATCTATTGACTCAGATCTCTACACTACCCATCTCTACACACAACTGTAATGTAATACATGCTATGTACACATCTCTACACACAACTGTAATGTAATACAGGTTGCTTATACATCTCTACACACTATTGTAATGTAATGCAGGCTGTGTATACCTCTCTACACACTACTGTAATGTAATGCAGGATAATTATACATCTCTACACACAAATGTAATGTAATACAGGTTGTTTATACATCTCTACACACAAATGTAATGTAATGTAATACAGGCTGTTTATACATCTCTTCACACAACTATAATGTAATGCAGTCTGTTTATACACACAACAGAAGAATCCATATTTTCAGTGGAATGAAATTAATTGTTTTGTTAATAATACAGGCCTTTAAATCGCTTAGAAAAAAAATGAGATGTTGAAAAAAAATAAAGGTATGAAACTCTTTTCATACTTTCGCCAATATCTTTTTTTTTGTACATAAAATTTTTTTCAGCGATCCAAAGACCTGTGGTTGATAACAAAACACACACACACACACAAAACTTTGAGAATTTTTTGATTTAGGAACAAAAAAAATTGAAATGTGTATACTACAGACATAAAGGCTTTTTATTCACAATTCGTAATTGATGTATTTATACAAAGTACCAACATTAACATATCATACTTGTTTTATGTGTGTAAAGGAAAACCCCACCACACTGTGTTGATCTGTATTGTTAGATATTGTTATTTGTTTAAATAATGTGCCATGCAATGTTGTTCATGTACTGATAGCCGACTATCAGCAACAATTTTATTTTTATTTCTTTGCTGTTCATTGTAGCAATTTTCAGTTCAGTCCTTGATGACAAGAATTTGATATTTTTTCTTATTTTTTCTACTTATGTTCATGTACATCTGTTGAGACAACAAATATATGTTGCTGTTTTTTTAACTGAATAAAATTATTAAAACATCACAAAATAAGTCTGTTTTCCAAGAAAGGATGGGTGTAAATCAGTTTATGTCACCTGCCTCGCTACCTGCCAAAATTAACAAGGAATTTTGTTAAATAAGAAATGTTAGGATATTTAGAATTGTCAAATTTGTAATTTGTTTAAACTTAATGTTACAGACAAGGCACTTCATTAACATTTAAAGTTTTATCATAGGCGCTTGGTTACAGGATGCTGTATTTTGCGTCTTATGTGTTTTTCTAGGTGTGTCTAAATACCCTCATGAAAATAAAAATACGTTGAAATTAGCACATTTCAAAAATGTCATATGTATTTACTATATATAAAAAGACTTTAGAGTACTTTTTATATACAGTAAATATGACATTTTTGAAACCTGCTAATTTCGGCGAATTTTTATTTTTATTTCAATGAGGGTATTCAGGCACACATAGAAAAACACATAAATAAATACACAAAATACACCATCCTGTAACCAAGCGCCTATGAGTTTTATATGTGTTTCCATACCGTATTTCCTTTGATTTGGGATAAAATTACGCAAAATTTGTTTATAATTTTCTCTATTCAGCCATGTTGCTTTGAAATTTTTGGACTTGACATTAGAAATGCCATCGATGAAGCGATCCCCGTCGTTTGTTTCATCTAGCCAGAGGTGGCACATCTACAGTAATAAATCGTATCAATAAATAACATGCTGTACATGTATTTTCAAATGGAATAATATGCGTTTTTTTTCACTGCATTGATACTTTTTAAAATAATTGATGTCAATATTGGCATTATCAGAAATAAATTTTGGACAATGTCCCGAATTTAAGAAAAGTGTATTTCCAAAGAATCCGATAAGATTTGTTGGGAATGCTTTGCAATCCTAAAGATCGTATAAAGTATTTTTTAAATACCTGAAAACCAACTGGACTTTGGTCGGAAATATCGACAAAGTCCAGATCGTTATCCACCCACACCTCGATCCGCCCCCGGTCTATCAAGAAAACTTTGCTCACCATGTGTAGCGAAAAAGAATCGAATCCAGTATCATCTAATGTCAAAGAACGCATTGATAATTAATGTGTTAATAAGAAAATAAGTAGAGTTGAATCTTAAATCACAATTAATTCTTAAAATGAATTGGAAAGGGCTAAAGTTAAAGTAAAAAAAAACTTACCAAAGAGAAGTGTTGCGACTTTCCGATTCTGCAGCTTGTGTTTGTGGAGATCAAGTTGTGTTATTTTCTTGCCATGGAAAGTAACTTTTATGGTCTTTGTTTTATGCTTCCTCTTACGCGAGACTACAAAATGAAAGGTGGACGACGGACGATCACAAACAGTAGTTACCGGAATCATCTGTACAGAATCTGGCTTGTTGGGGCCTGATGGTTGGAAATCCCACAAACACTCCGTGAAGACACGCTTAGGGGGGTCTCTGTGCAGCCAACTCTTGAACGATCGGAATTTTGAAAGAATTACGTATCCAGGGCCACACGGGCATTTTGAGGTTTGAAAGCTGGGTACTGGGGTCAAATATTCACCTGTTAAAATTATGAAATGACAAATTTAGTGCTCAAGCATGCGTCTATCAGATGTAGTAAATGTATATCTAACAAAAGTTTATCCTAGTTATATAACTATAGTCATATGGTAAACTATAGTATATACTTTGATTTACTTAGAAAACTTACGCTAGATTTTTAGCTCACCTGAGCCGAAGGCTCAAGTGAGCTTTTCTGATCACATTTTGTCCAGCGTCCGTCTGTCTGTCCGTCTGTCTGTCTGTAAACTTTTCACATTTTCGACTTCTTCTCAAGAACCACTGGGCCAATTTCAACCAAACTTGCCACAAAGTATCCTTGGATGAAGGGGATTCAAGTTTGTTCAAATGAAGGGCCACGCCCTTATTCAAGGGGAGATAATTGGGAATTATTGAAAATTTAGTGGTAAATTTTAAAAATCTTCTTCTCAAGAACCACTGTGCCAGGAAAGATGAAACTTATGGGGAAATATCCTCAGGTAGTGTAGATTCAAGTTTGTTCAAATCATAACCCCCGGGGGTAGGGCGGGGCCAAAATGGCCGTCCAAAGTTTTACATAGAAATATATAGGAAAATTCTTTAAAAATCTTCTCAAGAATGACAAAGCCATAATTCATCATATTTATATGGGAGCATGCTCATGTAGTGTAGATTCAAGTTTGTTCAAATCATGACCCCCCGGGTAAGGGCGGGGCCAAAATGGCCGACCAAAGTTTTACATAGAAATATATAGGAAAATTCTTTAAAAATCTTCTTCTCAAGAATGACAAAGCCATAATTCATCATATTTAAATGGAAACATGCTCAGGTAGTGTAGATTCAAGTTTTTCAAATCATAACCCCCGGGGGTAGGGCGGGGCCAAAATGGCCGACCAAAGTTTTACATAGAAATATATAGGAAAATTCTTTAAAAATCTTCTCAAGAATGACAAAGCCATAATTCATCATATTTATATTGAAGCATGCTCAGGTAGTGTAGATTCAAGTTTGTACAAATCATGACCCCCGGGGGTAGGGCGGGGCCAAAATGGCCGACCAATGTTTTACATAGAAATATATAGGAAAATTCTTTAAAAATCTTCTTCTCAAGAATGACAAAGCCATTTTTCATCATATTTATATGGAAACATGCTCAGGTAGTGTAGATTCAAGTTTGTTCAAATCATGACCCCCGGGGGTAGGGCGGGGCCAAAATGGCCGACCAAAGTTTTACATAGAAATATATAGGAAAATTCTTTAAAAATCTTCTTCTCAAGAATGACAAAGCCATTATTCATCATATTTATATGGAAGCATGTTCAGGAAGTTGAGATTCAATTTTGTTCAAATCATGACCCCCGGGGGTAGAGCGGGGCCAAAATGGCTGACCAAAGTTTTACATAGAAATATATAGGAAAATTCTTTAAAAATCTTCTTCTCAAGAATGACAAAGCCATAATTCATCATATATATATATATGGAAGCATGATCAGGTAGTGTAGATTCAAGTTTGTTCAAATTATGACCCCCGGGGGTAGGGCGGGGCCAAAATGGCCGACCAAAGTTTTACATCAATAGAGTGGTTTTAAATATATAGGAAAATTCTTTAAAAATCTTCTTCTCAAGAATGACAAAGCCATAATTCATCATATTTATATGGAAACATCATGCAGCTCAGGTAGTGTAGATTCAAGTTTGTTCAAATCATGACCCCTGAGGGTAGGGCGGGGCCAAAATGAGCCGATCCAAAGTTTTATGTAGAAATACATAGGAAAAATCTTTAAAAATCTTCTTCTAAAGAATGACAAAGCCATAATTCATCATATATATATGGAAGCATGCTCAGGTAGTGTAGATTCAAGTTTGTTCAAATCATGACCCCCGGGGGTAGGGCGGGGCCAAAATGGCCGACCAAGGTTTTACATAGAAATATATAGGAAAATTCTTTAAAAATCTTCTTCTCAAGAATGACAAAGCCATAATTCATCATATTTATATGGAAGCATGCTCAGGTAGTGTAGATTCAAGTTTGTTTAAATCATGACCCCCGGGGGTAGGGCGGGGCCAAAATGGCCGACCAATATTTTACATAGAAATATATAGGAAAATTCTTTAAAAATCTTCTTCTCAAGAATGACAAAGCCATAATTCATCATATTTATATGGAAGCATGCTCAGGTAGTGTAGATTCAAGTTTGTTCAAATCATGACCCCCGGGGGTAGGGCGGGGCCAAAATGGCCGACCAAGGTTTTACATAGAGATATATAGGAAAATTCTTTAAAAATCTTCTTCTCAAGAATGACAAAGCCATTATTCATCATATTTATATGGAAGCATGCTCAGGTAGTGAAGATTCAAGTTTGTTCAAATCATGACCCCCGGGGGGTAGGGCGGGGCCAAAATGGCCGACCAAAGTTTTACATAGAAATATATAGGAAAATTCTTTAAAAATCTTCTTCTCAATCATTTTCTAAAAAATAGCAAATCCATGATTGGTCATGGGACTACTTTTGGATTTAAACTTTACAATTAAAAGCCATTTTATACTAGTCCTACCCTTGGTGCTCAGATGAGCGATGTGGCCCATGGGCCTCTTGTTTCTTTTTTTAGGTCACCTGAGTCACTCAGGTGACCTATTGCTATCTGATTTCGTCCGTCGTCGTCCGTCGTTCGTCGTACGTCGTTCGTCGTTCGTCGTCAATCGGTCGTAAACTTTTGAACATTTTTAGCTTCTTCTCTGCAACCACTGAACCAATTTCAACCAAATTTAGCACAAAGCATCTATGGGTGAAGGGGAACAAAAATTGTGAATTTCATGATCCCTGCCCCCCTGGGGCCTGGGGGGTGGGGCCAAAACCACTAAAATTAATGCAATCTTTAAAAATCTTCTTCTTTACACCTTGACATCAAGCAGTCAAACTGTATGCATGATTGTAATCAGCATTGAGTCCTTTTCCAAAATTTTGAAATTCATGGCCCTGGGGTCAGGGGTACTTGTGCTAGGGCGGGGCTAAATAAGTATATAGTAAAAATGCATTATTTCTTTAAAAATCTTCTTCTCTGCTCCTGGGTATTAAATAAACTAACTAAGTACATAGTTATGATGAGCAAGAGTGCCTCTACCAAAATTGTGAATTTTATGGCCCCAGGGTCAGGAGTTCTGGTGTTAGGGCGGGGCTCTATTGATTATATAGTGAAAATACATTATTTCTTTGGAAATCCATTTCTCTGCTTCTGGGTATTAAATAAACTAACTAAGTACATAGTTATGATAAGCAAGAGTGCCTCTACCAAAATTGTGAATTTTATGGCCCCAGGGTCAGGGATTCTGGTGTTGGGGGGGGGGGGCTGTATTGATTATACATGTATAGTGAAAAAACATTAAATCTTTGAATATTTTGTTCTTGTTCCTAGGTTTTAAGCAAATGAACTACCTATATAGTTATGAGCAAGGGACCTAATCTTCAAGAATTGTAAATTTCAAGGCCCCAGGGTCAGTTGTACCATAGGGGGGGGGGTGTACTTATATACTGAAAATGAATGAATTGTTTGAAATGTGCTCCTTGGTATTAATCAAATTTTTTTGAAAAGCAAGGATGCCTTTCCAAAAATTGTGCAATGTGTGGATCAAAGCCTAAGAGTCAAGGATTCCTGTGTGGTAGCGGCACTACTGATTATTGCTGGATATTACTGATTTGTTGAAATGCATTTTTTTGTTCCCCTCCCCTGCCTATGGGTATTAAGTAACCAAACTAAGGAACTGCTAAGTATATAGTTATGATCACCAAATTGTAAATGCTATAGCATCTGGCATAAAACAAATTCAATCACTGGAAAGTTGTTGAATAATGCTCAGGTGACCTATAAGGCCCATGGGCCTCTTGTTTGCAGACGAGCTCTATTATTTTTTAGATGACATAACATTTTATTGTAATCTTTTTAAATAACATTCTAGTATACAATTAAACTTTTCTTTTCATAGAAGAAAATTGCTTGATGAATTTAAACAAATGAATACCACGTTCTGAATTTCATACGAAAAATACTTTAATACTAAATTGAAACTGCTTTACTTTAGTGAAAGCTTTTCTTCTATATATAGTTAACAATAGTACTTTTTGTTAGAGAATTGAAATAGATACCTGTGAATTTTTTAAGAACTTCATCACCAATTAATCTCCAAGACAACCTCACATCCGCGACCTGAAGTTTATCAAAAACTTTCTTTTTCATGCGCATTTTGGCGTGGTGTCTAAAATGACTGTCATGACGTCATAATGAAAATTATCTCAGTTGACGTCACAATAACCCATCATAATCAGTTACGTCATAATCAAAACATAATTTATAAGCGATGGAAACAATGGATCCCTTTCTTTATAAAGAACTTAAAAATTGCGATGCAAAGCGATGTTGGGCATTGGTAAAAAATGTCATCGGTGTCCAGTTACTCGGTAAGTTTTTCCCCTTCTATTTGTATCCTTATTTCATTTTTTCTCCGTATTTGCCTTTGTCCTGGTCGACATGTTCAACACAGGTTGACAAAGCGAGAATTCCTTAATCTGCACAATATGTTTTTTTTACAAACAAATAGTTTGGTATATATATACTGAAAGGAAAAAGAAACGCAGGGTAAACTTTTGAGGTGAATTAAATTTGTTTTTCTTAAAATAATTTTCAGTTTTCCTATCTACCTTTGAAAATCATCTTTCAAAAAGATAAAACCAAGTTCTCATATGATTTTGACTAATTATTCATGAGTTATTGAAGCTCAAATGACGATACCCCCCAAAAGTGAAAATCGAAAACTCTCATTATCTTCAATGTCTTTCTCGTGCAATTGTCAGAGTGTTGTTTCTTCTTTGCATGGAATTTCATCAGAGTGTTTATCTTTCAAACCCTGGCTATATTTAGCATGGGTAACCACGCAAAAAATAAGTCAAACGGCGCGCGCATGCGCCAGTGAGAGGAATACAACCGTAAGTTGACTGGCTCAAAAAACCAAATTGCGGAACTGTTTTCTTTCAAATTTCGTATGAATGTAATGATTATAATCGTCTACTCTATAAATGGCTGTTTTTGTGGTAGTAAGGTGGCGATTTAAGAGATGGCAGGACGAATAACCCGCTCGTAACATGGCTCTGTTTCGCGTTATCGTCATCGTCACGGTTGATTGAAAACCATTCCAGACCCTCTCTGACAACGGGTAAAAAGTTTTATGGGGGAAAATTTACAAGAGACTGCTTAGTAAACCGTTGTTGCCTTTTTCCTTAAGTAGGCAGTTTGAAATGAAGACCCCATTGAACTTCCGTAAACTGTGCCAAGATTGCAATAAATTCATAATGTGTCCTAATATTGAAAAACGATGTGCATACCTCATATGCATCAAATAATGCAACAAGATTTGTTGACAAACTCGTCGTTATCAAATTACACGTGTTTTGGGCTTGTTAGCGTTTCCCTACGTGACGTCATAAATTTTATGGTTGAGTAATTCTGAATACTGATTTTGATGCACAGTAACTAAATTTCCCTTCTGACCAATTTTCGTAATTCTCGGTCATGTGATCAAATTTTTATCGAAAATTATGCTACCCTGCGTTTCTTTTTCCTTTCAGTATATAATCTTTAACTTTTCTATAGATGATGATGTAATTATGATACCTTTCCTCCCGGAGGGAAAGTTTTACGATCTGGGGCGAGTCATAGTGAAGGAAGAAAGGTCTCCAATGCAGAAATTGGCGCGGATCCCACCAGGAGCATTAGCTATTGGAAAGCTTACCGATTTCGTTAAGGACGAAGTTATTCATGGTGCCTTCAACAGACTCAGTGAAATGCAGAAAGTGGAAACAACACACAACCCACGTTACGTGTTCGAAGAGTCTGATATGAAACATGGTGTCAAAAAAACAGTTCGAGTAGAAATACTTGGTACCGATCATTACGCGTTGTGGAGCCTGCCGGAGAACAACAGTTTGGTGGTAGATTTCGATAACAGAGGTATGCAATGCACCAACGTTAAGATTATGAGTACTAAAATATGTATTATCGGGTAAAATTTGGTCCCAAAAACATTTAAACATCGAATCTTACGGCTTCGCAACACATTCGTAATTCGAAGACGAAAAAAAATGGGTTTCGGAATGTTATCTTTATCACTGATTGTTGGGAATTTTTTATTTATAGCTGTATGAATGGTTTAAATTAGTGGTCAGTCTGTCCGAATATAAATCATTAAAATTTCAAAGTCCATTACTTAGTTTTCTGGATAGCTTTGTATATTGCGTCATCGGAACAGCATTAACTGGTTAAAAAATAATTTTATAAATTATTTTTTTTTCTAATTTATAAGATATGGAATTTCAAATTGACGTTGATTTTAAACCCCATGATCTTCATCGTTAAAATGTCACCCAATTAAAAAAAAAAGTTAGTAATATAATTGATAAATTTTAGATGAAAGAAGACCGGGAAATTATATTTTACATGTGCATTTCAATATGCCATCGGTGCCATAAATATAAATGGCTTCCCAAAAACATGCATTTTGACATGAATTATTTTTATGCTGGTTTTTTTCTTTCTTTTTTTTCATTTAGTAGAAATATGAACGGGCGATGTAAAGGGAGTTTTCACTGAAGTTTATGAATAATTAAAAACTTTTAAAATTTCACATCCACTGTCTTTGACATAATCTGCTTTGTCATATGTTGGCGATTTCAAAAAACTTGCAAATCGTAAATTTGCGTGTTCAGACCATAAAAGTGTCGTAAAGCTGCATAGATGTGGGAACTTAAATGTGTTAAACATAATCACAAGTTTTAATAAAAGAAACACTGTACACCTTTCTTTGTGAGACAAGTCGGTTAGTGATTTAGCGAATTCATTCACATAATGTTCTTTTTTTCAAGCGCTGCATATTTCCTCTTTTTCTTGCTAAAAGCACTTGTTTACAGGGGAAAGGGCTTCATGTCAACATGTGTATGGATCTTGTTAACTTTAATGGTATTCCCCTTTTCTGGAGCGAATTTAAACTCGTTAACATTTAATTTTAGTACTCGCTGATATTTTTGCAGGGTTTCCGTATGTGAAGAAGTTTTACCTCCTATACGATGTGTTTTATGCCCGACAAATCAATGTGTATGTCCGAATAAACGACGAAGTGGATGAGTTTTGTATAAGGGAGAGAACCCCCATTGGATTTCGGCTGAAACGGTACAAGATCCAATCAAATGGCTTGATAGGCCCAGTGAAGGATATCTCCAACAAGAAATGGAACGTCCACTGGATTAAGAACACCATGTTTAGAAATCCCATGGACGCCCTTCCAAATGTTCCCAACAGCGGTATGTGTGCCACTAGCATGTGGTGTAAAATCTGCTATACTAGTAACATTAATTTGTTAAGTAGACAATTTTTTTTATCAAGGTGTATTAAGGAACACTTTTGTTTTTATTTTCGTTACAGGACGCAGTCGGTGATCTTTTTCCTGTTCGTTGGATCCAAATTGGTCTCGGGGGACATGCGTTACATCTCCAATATGTGGAATCTTAATTTTTATTAATAGACACGTCATCATTGTAAAATTGCATCCATTTCTTCAGAAAAATAAATTATAAAGTTGTTTTTTCCTCTTTAATTTTATTCTTTCGAGACATCATTGCCAGAACTTTGTTCATACCCTTTGAAAATCAGATTCAACAGTCCAAACTCTGGCGCTTTATATACATGTTCCAACATATTCAAATAAATTATTTTTACTTAAAATAAATAACCGGTAAATTATTAACTGGGTGGGTTTTTGCTTATGTAAGGAAGAAATGTTTTGTTCATATAAATGTAAAGTCGAGCTTATCAATTTGTCTTGAAATTATTATTGCTGATAAGTAAATAAAACGAGTTACAAACGTTAACTTTAGTCATGAGAAGTTATAATAGCCTTTATATTTAGCTTTCAGATAAAATTATATGTAACATTTAATGTTACAATTTCATTTTCCAAACTAAATTAGCCATGTAAAACTTTGTTCTAATTATTTTGATATTGACATACGATGTCAGTCTTGTATATTAAAAGAAAAGTTTCTTGTTGTCTAACGTTCCAAGAATTGGATAACGAGATCTTTCCATTTGATTAAATTTGTTACATTACGGATGTGTATAAAAGATGTTTACAAAACAAGCTACAAGACCATTAAGAAACTTCGTCATATGGTGTTAGGGAAGTGAAGTATCAGTGCCTTGCAAACACTAAGCGAAGGAACACTCTGCACAACGCACCAAAAAGTAACGAATAACACGAGAGGAACGGAGGTCATTTTGTTTTATGTTTGACACACGATTACGACTAACAAAGACTACACTTAACCATCAGTTTGTTTATTGCTTCGACCTTGTCAAACTTTTTGTACGATTTGGGAAGTTATAAGAACTAGTTGTTGATATCTGATTCTGTGATAAAAATCAAAACAGAATTTTCCTTTAGAACAAGACAATTTTTATTAGAAGAAATTCCAAAATTACATGATTAAAATGTTACTTTCATGATTCATCAAGCAAATCGGCATGTTTGTATCATAATACATGACATGCCTCCATGGAAAACATAAATAATCTGTCAGGAATAATGTCTTATTTCTTTATTTTAGCAAAGTCTCTCTAATACGTGTCTGTGGTTTACCTCATTTACAGGAAAAGTGAAAAACTACATGAGGAAAGGATAACAATTAATACGTCAGAAATACAAAAGAAACATTAGCCGGAAAGTCGTCACCCTTGTCGCACTCCAGTGGGAGTGTAATCAAGATTTATAATTATTATTAGGCCTAAGTAATGTACTAAGAATATCAATTATTTTTTATAACGATAATCACGACGCACGGATACAATAAAAATAGCATGTATATCTATTTGGCACATTTAGTCGCTAATGTACAGAATGACTTTTACACACACGTATTACATTCTGGCGGGCATTAAATGCCAGCGACTGTCCCGTCCATATCCGTGACAATTCACAAGCTTTTTCCTATAAATAATATCATATTTGTTCTCAAAACAAAAGTAAGGAAAACACTCGGTAGGTTGTCGTCACTTAGATGATCATTATTAATATTTTGGTTATCTATAGGATTTTTATGCACCAATTCATTTATCATCGAACATTGAACAACTACTAACACGATACCCTGTTTTATATATACATGCATGTACAGCCATTACATAAAGGAACAGTCTGGGTTTTTTTTTCCTCCGGGACCACGTGGTATAAATAAGTTAACATCCACAATTAGGAGGGGGTTGACACGTGGAAAACTGTCCTCTTTGATCACAGATACCTGCAAGATGATAAAAGCTTCAAATTAGATTAATATAAGTAAAAAATCCAAAATATACCTGATACGTTTAAATATCCTAGTTGATTGATGACATATTCCATGTCAGTGGGTTACTGAGAGATTGAACAAGCCCGCACCTGGGTGACTGGTGGGGTTTCTAAGAATTCCTCTGTATCGGAGGAAGGTGATCACTCGGGGGTTCATCCTGTACTGGGAGAGGAAGTTACAGAGGGTCCGCAGAGTGTAGTCGGTGGTTACCAGACCCAGTTCCTGACCATTTCGAACACCGTCCCCGTCAGAATCCGCCATACACAGCTGCTCGGTAAACATATGACCACTGCTGGCAAAGTCCTAATAGAAGAAAATATCGACGTGTACACTCGTATGACGAAGTAAAAGAAGTAAAAAAATACAAAATAAAATTGAATCTTTTAAAGAACTGTTAGTGTCTTTAGTTTAAAATTGATTATTTTTTTCAGAAATGACAATTTTATTCGGCTGCAGTTAGAACTAAGAAGCACGATTTCAACTACAACCAGTTATTTTTATGCCTTTACTTCAATTTCGTTGCTCACTTGCAAATTGAATTATTTTATCTTTAAAATATTGAATAAAAATCATGGCATCGAAAGGAGACAAACTGAAAAAAACAAAACATCGAAGCAATTTACTTACTCTTCCAAAACCGTTGAGCTCTGTAGATGAGGGGCTCATGTGTCCAACTCGACCCCACATACTCCCCTGGCAACATGGGTTGGGTACTGCGTGTCCATTTAAAATCCGATCCCTATATTGTGGTAATGCATTGGCCACTGTTAAAAGTAGGCATCCCAAAACAGCTGTTACTATCATGTTGTCTGATGAGAACCTTAGGGTAGAATAACGCTTAGCTGGAGGGACAGCTTACTAAAAATACTGCTCTAATTCGCGTGCGCTGATTCGTCCGTGTAAATTGGTGACGATTTCTCTACCTTACCTGGTTCTGCGCAACCTCGCCTGTCATCATAAGGTAATGGACGTCAGCTGATCATCAGCACAACTCCCTGTTTTTGGTAAATGAGGCTTTGACCAAAATAAACGCATGTAATATTTCCTAGAAGAGTTTATATATGACAATGCGGATGTAAACTGCACCTTTACCCTATCAATTACTAGCTTATAATAAAAATCATAATGTAGTGCAGTTGGAATTCAAGAAAAACTTCGAGAGAAATAATAAGAAAATTGTTGATGCGAGTATTAATAAACGCTGTATAATATAAATTGTAAATATTTTATCAAACAGATTTCAGAACTTTTAAAATAAATCCGCGTATATTCATGTTTATTATTTTTTACTCAAGTGTTTATGTAAACTGTAAATGTTTCGAAATAGAAACTATGTAAGATGAAAATATGCAGATGTATTACGGCTAAAACATGCCGTAAGTACAGGAGTTACGAAGGAACCGTAAGTCACGTCAAGGTTACGTTAGACCTAGAGTTGTAACCTAATGTTATGAGGTAACAAATGCGTGTATTCTATGTATTGAACCCTTATACTTGTGTAACTGATTATATAAATACTTGGGACTCTGAAACCAAATTCACCAAAATTTATTTAACTATATATTGACCACAATTCAATGTGTATGATATTTTTACTGCTTTTTTAGGTCCAGACTCAAGAACTAAGAGATACTTTGCTTAGAGAAGTATTTCTTAAACTTGGTAAAACATCTTTTTAGCCTAGAGATGTATACTGAGTATCGTCGATTAATTAAAGAAATATCTCTTTCAACAAAAAGAGGTATTCCTCTGTTTGAAAGACATCTCTATTGGAGACACTTTTGAGATTTTTATTTTTATTTTTAGAATATCTGTTGGGTAAACTTTCAGAGATATAGCTCTTTCACATAGACAGATATCGCTTTGACTCGGCGAGAGATATCTCTCAAAGCAAAGAGACATCTCTCTTTAGAAAAAAAAGAAACAAGCAATCTTTATCTTTTTAAAAGAGATATCCCTGTTGTTAAAAGATATCCCGAAATAAATAAAGAAAGAAAGAAAGAAAGAGGCATGTCGATCATAAATCTAACATATTAATTATTGTTCATACATACAGAATAATTTCATTGCATCAAAGCACAGGCACCTGATGTTACTTATTTTTCTTTTAATTAAAAAATATACACATACCTAATAATAAACAAGGTCCCCAAGGCGCCATCTTGAATTTTTCTAGGTCTGTCACATCAACTTGTATTTTCGTCTGAAACTCCGTCAAATAAATTCTCTGCAACCATATTCTTTCTGTGGCCAGTCTTTCGAGGTCTAAACTTACGGACAGTGCAACCAGAAGGGCGCATCACACTTGGAAATATTAAAAATCCCTCGTCAAACTCGATCTACTGCTTCAACAATCCGAGAAATCGCCAAAGGGGGGCCGGAAGTTTACATACGATTTGAAATTCTTAGGGAAAGCCCTTTTTTGATTGGTCAATATATTTGTACGATTTATTTTTAAAAATAACCTACGAAAGTTAGTATACTTATTCCAAAAACAATAATTCAGACAATAATACAACGTAATATACATGTAAGAACATTCATTTTAAATCTCTCAAAATAATTTCGATATAGCTTGATCAAAGCGATTATATTTTATAAATGTCGAAGATCGGCCTGATCATGCTAGCTGATCAACATGATCAATGAACATTTTCAAGACAAAATATTGAGTCGGGACTTAAATGCACTAAATATAATTAATAACACTGTCATTATTGATGCCCTGATTGAGCGTTATCCGTGGAGAAGATTGACTTATCTAAAATATGTACGCACGTGTGTGAGAAGGGGGGGGGGGGGGTCCACACTAAAATTATTCTAGGGAGTGTTGAGATCTGCAATTTTATGTATTGCAATAAAGTAGTGGCATGGCGACATTTTTATTTTTTTTTCTTGGTGACAGATTATACATATAACGTTACATGATGCGTATGCTAATATTTGATTTCATTACATATCCCCGAGCCTTTAATCAGTGTGCCCCTTCCCTTTTTCAATTAAGCATATGCCAGGTATATATGTTACATAATGTATATATATAACTGGATGGTTTGCAGTCTTTTGTTTTCTGAAAACCATTCAATTAACTCTGGATGATTTGTTGTTGATTTTTTTTTCAAGCACCCCCCTCTTTTATTCAAGATTGTTTCAAACGCAACGATCGGTATAGATTAATACAGTATATTTTACAGGTATGTTTATAAGAAGTGTTTTATTTTTCCCATTTTGCATTTTTTTTTTCATTTCAATAATCGAAATATTTATTAAAATTCAAAGTAATTATAACACGCCGCTTTAGATCCACCACAAAACTGACAAATACGGAATTCCCATTAGCATATTGATGTAAATATGCCCCCCTTTGGCGATTTCTCGGATTGTTGAAGCAGTAGATCGAGTTTGACGAGGGATTTTTAATATTTCCAAGTGTGATGCGCCCTTCTGGTTGCACTGTCCGTAAGTTTAGACCTCGAAAGACTGGCCACAGAAAGAATATGGTTGCAGAGAATTTATTTGACGGAGTTTCACGAAAATACAAGTTGATGTGACAGACCTAGAAAAATTCAAGATGGCGCCTTGGGGACCTTGTTTATTATTAGGTATGTGTATATTTTTTAATTAAAAGAAAAATAAGTAACGTCAGGTGCCTGTGCATCAAAGATGTGAAAGTGCTCTTATTCGCAAATTTGGATATTTTAAATTACAATAATTAATAAACATTTTATAGATGATTGATAATTTGACTTAAGTCTAAGTCTGTTTTATGATCCCGGGGCCTGAATCCTAAGGTGTATGATTATCTTCATTTCTGTCGACATGACCAAGATATCTGGTGTGCATTGTGGCCCGTGGGTCTCACCCCTTTTTTTTTAAAGGTTAGAAAAGTTTTGCTACCATGAGGATTAAATACTTTAAATCTTAGAACTACATACTTTACATTAAAATATGTTTAAATCATGGATCAACTAATGAATTGTAATAAATGCAACCGAGCGCATCATTCTGCGACGTCGTCTGTGCGTTTTACACAGTAGCCGAATAGGAAGTATATTATGAGTGCGAATGACCCAGAGAAGAAAGCGAAAATAGATTTTGATTGGGTTGGAAATTCTTCTGAGGTATTGCATGAATTCTTTCATATTTTGCCTAGTAATCCTTGTCATGGCAGACAGTATGCATTTTCTTGTTCATTATTCTCGCTTTATGTGTTTTATGTTCGAGGTTAGTCATCAAAATGATGTTTCTAGATGAGAGAGACACTTGAGGGCGAGGTACTGTCAGCCTTGTGTACAAGTTACGCCTACTACCTGTACTTCCACACATCCCGCACACATGATTTCTCAAGCCCCTTCTGTTTTGTGCATTATTTTCCGTCTCTTTCCAAGTCATATCTAAATATTTTTGTGTTAATTTCCAGATGATGGCAAATGCTTCTTAAATTATGCCTTTTTCATTCCTTGGGGGTTCTAGGACAGACGTTGAATTGTGATAGGCATCCTAATGAGTCATTTCCTTTCCGAAATTTTTCTATTCATCTTTTTCCTTCATCAACTGGGTTTATGCTACAGGTCTATGTTAATAGGTTATATTTATTCTGTATTATTACTTGTACATTTAATACCTTAGATTGGACATTTTCCAAGGGTTAATTTCTGTGAGAGGGTGTTGGAGAACCCATGCAGAGTAAACCCACAAGTCTGAGCTGGCCACCACCTTACTCTCTCTGTATCTCTCATGTATCACAGCCAGTCACAGAGTTCAAACATTTTAAAGACATGCTTTATTCTTACTTCATTTATCTTAAATAAATGGTTCCAGACAGCCCTATGTAACCTTGAAATGAAGGCCTTGACCGTAGCATTTGTAATTAAAACATATCTCTTTCGTAAGAATGAAGTTGATCTGTATCTACTTGCATTTTGACACACATGCTTCATTTATAGGAAGATTTTCATACAGCACAGTTAGAGTTGACTTGAACATGTTCATTGTATGTGGTAAATTAAAGGTGTCCCTTTTAACTCTATTCATTGCATTCTAACATGGCAGTTTATGATTTAAACTAACCAGGGTAAGATATTTTAAGTACAGCCTTGAGTCATGACCTAGGCCTTGACCATAACCTTCAAATTGAACAATTTGAAAGAACTGTCTTAATTATTTGTTCATTATAAAGCAGGTGATATAAGCCACCAGATTGAATACTGTAAATGTATTATATTTGGCATGTATAATATTTGGCGGAAATCAACAAGTTAGTGTAGATTTGATTTAGCGCTCTCTGAATCTGCTAGTTATAAAAGTTAATATACAAGACATTTAGCGATGTACTTGAATTAGCGGACTCTGCTCTCCGCCAAAATCGCTAAATAGAATACACCACTAAATGTAATATTTTTACAGTACTTATATTGAATGATTGAATTGTATGTACAACATCTTTGTGAAATAGCTGTACAAATGAGTTCCTTATAATACAATATCCTAAAAAATCTAAGCCAACTGTTTTATTTTTCTTTCAGAGCATGATAGAAAAACCAATTTTGTTGTTTGTGTCAACTCTTTTAGGTAAGACTATGGCATCTGAAATATTTCATATTAACATTTTCATACCTTCAGTTATCAGTATATCATCAGAGTAGCTATATGTTATGTACCATCTGAAGAATTATTTATTCCATTGATCTTTTTTTTTCAGTTTGTCATCTCCAATCAGCATCAGGTTTGTAAATTTCAGATATTTAAGATAGATAGTAACTAATTCTTAGATACTTAACATTTTTGAAAAGAAAGTAACTTTAAATTTATTTTATACATTGTATCTCTATTATTTGATCTTTTAAAGGTTGTAACAATACAGTAAACCTGACAAATGAGACGGTCGTCACAACTCTAAATGAAAGCTGTTCTTGGACAATCAAGTCCCCAAACTCAACAACCATCGTCCTGCAGGTCACGACCCTTAACCTCACTGACCCCCGAGATAGTGTGATTGTACTGAGTGATACAGCACTCATAGCATCTTACACAATATTGGATAAAAATGGTAAAAACAGCATTCGATCATCTCATCCTAAACAATATTAAGAAAAGGTGGTAAGAAGTGTGACTGTCACACTTAAAATATGTAGGCACTACTTTCTTCATCCTGTATAAATTTGGATAAAAGTGGTAAGGATATGCAGATAAACATGTAAGTATTAGAAGAAAGAAGCAGTTGAATTCATATCATTTTTTTTAACCTTTATATTCTACCAGAATGTTTGTCGCAGAATGTAGATGGCATAATTATTACAACAATGTTACAAAATTTTGTCCACAGATTCAACAATATTTCAGTTATTTGGCTTTGTGTCTCTAATTGTGTGTTTGTATGAAGAATTGTGATAGCAGTTAAATCTTTAAGCTTGTTGACAGGGGATTTATTGGTGAGCAGTGGGGACAGCCTTGATATAGAGACAAGCTACAACTCTCAGAATAAATCACCCCGGAATGTCACAGTGACCCTGACACCCCAAGGTCAGTCTTAGGAGATTGTATTCATATAGGCTTCAGATGCCGGGTCTTTTAGAAGCTTTGGCTTCATTTTTGTTTGTTATTTTTCTTTGTATGTTTCATCGTAAAAAGTAAAAAAATATTGAAGGTCATTGTTAGGATAACTGCTTACTTTCATATATTGCTATGATATATGAAGTACCCAGAGTAGTCTTTGGACAAGTTTCAAAGAATATAGCTATTCTTGGATTGTACATTTGTGTGACTATAAAGTGCAGGCCCCTGGTTTTCCTTGTAGGGAGTGGAGGGAGATACAGTGGGAGTGGGGAGGTGAAGTTAAATGCCTCGTCCCTCCCCCAGAACAACTCGCAGTCCGTCTACTTCCAGTTGATTGCCTCCCCTGGACAACAGGTATATCTGAACACAAACTCATTTATCACTGCTGTTATAATTTATTTCATTCAGCAGATAAATAATACAGGAAGTTTATAAATTATTGTGACATTTAACCGTTACTACAAGTAAAATGCATGAGCAAATTAAGTACTTATCATATACATGTATATATCCTTAAAAAGAGCATTTAAAAGCATCACCAGTAAATTTTACAAACATTAACTTCATCTTATAAAGCTAGTATTTGTCTTCCATGTAATGTCTAAAAGCAAGAATATGCATGTAATTTGATAACAATAAATGTATTCATAAATGGTAGATATGTATTCATAAAAATACTAACAAGCACTAATGTCATTTACAGTAGCACTAAAACCTAGAAGTAAGGCTTGGCAGTCATTGTTTGATTTTGTGCATAATACTTTTCAAGGTTTTTACCCTTTGAATGCACAATACATTCACTTAAACATATAAACAAAGAGAAACCTCAATGAAATTTAAATATGAAGTGAGATTGAAGAGAAACTGTGAATTTGACATTCTGAGCATGAATATACTAGTATATATTAACAAGTTCATAAAAATCTTGCTAAGGGGTTGATTGAACAAAGTGCTATTCTGAGGCATACATCTTTGATATGTTGGCACATTTGAAGTTGGCACTTCGGTCTAAATACTGTTTTTCCCATGAGAATTTGGTATCACATCACAGTTATCAGAGATTATCACAGGGCTAACACATCTTTAGTGGGATATCACAGGTATGTGGAGGCTACGAGTTAACCTGCATGTCTTCCTCTGTCTCGTTGATGTGAAGATCCTGACCCCCCTCAGACCTGTCGTCCAGCACCACGTCCTCTCCCATAAGACTGGCGTCCCCGTCGGAGGTGTCCACACTGACGTCCCCCTCTTCGTTCTCCATGAAGATCCCGATGCTCTGCGATGTCACGTCAGCCAGGATTAAGATCGTCATCACGTCCTCAGAGTTGTATGTCTGGAAGATGAAGTTGATGAGGATCTGGATGTCTGACCACTTCCTGAGGCGGTACTCGTCGTACATGTCTCGGATCCACTCCACCATACCGGTGCGAACGTGCCAGTGCTGCTTTAGCTGTGGGCGCACGGAGCCGCTCAGGAGGGAGAGGCGATGTTCCAGGGCCTGAAGCTTGGAATCTGAAATATGGAGATTTTTGTTTTAAAATTCTGATAATGCTCTTGAGATATACTGCTGTAAAGATTAAAAAAAAGTAGGATTGTGAATGTAGTTTTATATTTACAGTGTAGACAACATATGTACTGTGTGAGATAATAGAGATATGAATGAAAAATCAAAATACATCTTATATATTTGAGGAATCACTGTCTAGTTAGTTGAATATGCCAGGGCATCAATGATAGTTGGAAACTTCGGATAATTTGCATAATGGGCAAGATTTAAATTAAACAAGGCCTCTTGTGTCAATTTCATTAGTCCCCCTACTGACATTTAACACAAAGACAGATGCACAAGATGCATATTTTGCCTTACTTACATGAGAGGGACGAATGTTAGATAATCATTAGTGTATAAAGCAATACAGGACAGAAGTAATACCAAGGAAACAGAATATTTAAACTTCCCAATAGAGCAAAACACAGACAGAATATTATATAAATTTATTATCACTGACCTTTTGACCTCAAAATCAACAGGATAGGTCGGAGAGTGAGAGAGAGAGATGATATAAAATAATTTAATTATATAGAAAAACTAAGCTCCTTCTACACGATCATTTTTTAGAAAAATATGATTTGAAATGAAAGAAGCTCTGACCTTGACTTTTGACATTATAGTTTTTAGGCCCAATGAAGTTGTAATATAAAATTTCATCTCAAAAGCTCAAAGACTTTTTAAAGATATCATCTGTAATCACACTGGAAGTTGCAGATAAACAGTGTATGAATCTATGACCTCTGGTCTTTTGAACTTAAAATCAACCAGCCGTCTATATTAGAATAAGAGAAAATGAGTATTGATAATTTTAAATTCATTGAAGAGAGCTCAAAATATCCTTTTGAAAAAGTTATTTTGCAATGTATCAATTTCTGACCTTCACCTTTAACCTTCTCACCTCAAAATCAATATGAGTCTTTCTAAGGCAATAGGTGATTTTTCCAAGAGGGAGGGGATAGGATATGCAGTGAAAGTGAAGTTAATTGATTAGTAAAATATATTAAAGATGTTTTGTATGACCTATATTAAGATTTCCATCCATGAAAACCAAACATTCAACATCAAATGTCACAATTAAAATTTCTATCTCTTTTGTATATAGCTATTAGGTGCATCTATTGAGTTTCTATATTATCTACACATCTTAAAAGATATCTCAAAAAAATTTTTTTGAATCCATGAAAATTTTATCTGGCTCTACTGCACAAACTGTACATTTTGAATTAAGTAAAAAGTAATTCATGTTTCTTCTGATTTGTTTTATATACACTTGTAATTGCCCACTATGCTACTATATGTCAAACTCAATATCAACCTTAGGGGTTTAGCTTGAGGTTGAAAGTCTTTGTTAATATAAGTTGGCAGGCAATTTTTATCATGTAATATTTCCTTTATAAATTAACCTGTACTGGACAAATTTTAAATTATAAACTTTCAAGTGGAAAGGTGGCAGGCTTAGAGTTTCATCTCCATCAACTCATAATTTTACTAGTACATGTATTGATACATGTACTTATGTAGTATATATAAACTGAAATGATGGGTGAAAATTATATATACGGGATATAGCTATGTACCAAAAAAGTTAGGACATCTTTTACTTTGCAAAATCAGTTATTTAATGGTTGAATGATTTTCATTCCATCACCGAAAGTTGATTTTTAGCCCTCTTAACTGATAAGTTTTAAAACATCCCCCCTTCCGACCATTTAATTAAAATGTGCTAGTCCGCAATATACAAGAAATGCAGCAGCCCGATTTCTACCATGCATTAGGTTTATTAATGTCTTAATCTGAGCGAAATTAATATTCTTGGGCATATTTAAATGCCTGATTTTCAGATCCTGAGGTCGAATTTTCGCTTACTTTGCATAGTATAGTAACCCTTAGACTTTCGGTCAAAGAACTGTCATTTATGCCTTTGAAACACATGAGCCCAGAAAGTTGTTGTGTAGTGTATATTTGCATCTGTAGCTCTCCTTATTCTTTATTTTAAGAATTTCCAGCATTAGCAATGAAAATGTGTGCTTTCAGTCATTTTGAGGAAATACAGGCATCAAATCCGGAAAAGAAGGAAGCTAGGATATTTTTCCGGGATTATAGTACAATACTTATGATTAGCAGGTACAAAACCTTAAAAACCCAAAATATTGTCAATAATTTTATTAAAATGCTAATTTTTGATTTCTGTTAAGAGGGCTAAAAATCAATTTCCGATAATGGAATGAAAATCATTCAACCCTTAAATAACTGATTTGGCAAAGTTAAAGATGTCCTAACTTTTTTGGTACATAGTTATATCCCGTACATAATTTTCACCCTAAAATTAGGGTGTTGCATTTCTATTGATTGTGAGTATACTTGAAATTACCGCATTGTCAAACATTGGGAAAACGTATATTCATGACTGCTAGTACTTAATTTACAAGACCAAATATTCTTAAATTTTCTCAGCTGATGATGACAAAACAAGATGCCAAGACATATTGCTAAGATATATCTTTTATTTTAGACTTTAAACATATTAGATATGATAAAGAGATTGTGGTTATATATATGCGTAATCCGCATTGGATAAACACCTCTCCGTAAACAGAGGACTCCGATTGTGATCATGTTCATGATTTATGTAAATGGAAATTCTTATCCTTCTACTTGGTTTTGGCCATTTGTGAAAAAATAGACAATTCTTGCCATAAAAAATAACCTACATGAAATATACATTTACTGAGAAGTCTTTTAGCTTCTGTGAACAGTTTGCTAAGGAGAATATGTCATATGACCACATGGTTCATGTGATGGTGCATTAGCAGATGTGCATTAAAATTGTTTGGCTCTATTTTAAAAAATAATAAACACTAGCTGACACATAATTTACTTTCCCCATGGAAGTAATTCACTTAGGATTAAAAATAAATTTGTTTGTGATGAAACCCTTGGTTTTGAATATGAGAAAGTAGGACTCTCACAGCAAGTATTCTTTTAATAAATATTTTTAACTCGTAAATTAAAAATAGGTCCAATGTCAAGAAGCTCTTGAACAATGAAATTTTCAATGACATATGATTATAGGAACCAAATTGTCTATTTCTTTTATAGGAAATATTAAACAATTACGGCTTCAAAATAAACAAAATGTAATGATGGATAGTGCTTCTTTTGTTTCTTAAGTTGGTTTATATTTGCAAAATATTTCTAGGTCACAGGTGGCTGAAAAGGGCACCTGCCATAACATACATGTACTCTGCATATAATTTTAAAGCATTCGTCCAATATAATCTTACCTAGTAGGTACATCTGCTGGACGGCTCTATCGTGGCTGAGGATCTGTTGGTGAAGTTTCTCTGCAACACTCCATAACTCCTTGTTGTCCATCTCTCTGGCCTTACTATAGGGTATAACACCAAGGTCCCCCTTCCCTACTCTAGTTCCCATGTTGTCCTGCTGTTTTAGCAATTAATGACTGATTTCATTTGCTCTACATTAACCCAGCATGGGCTTTGAAGTTTGTTAATTGGGAATCCCTGGGACTCTCACTTCAAACAGTAGCTAAGTGATTGGTGTAACAGGTAATTGTGTGTAATGAAGACACCCCACCTGCTGGGTCACTGGGCCCCTGTGCTGGACAGGTAATTAGGTCATAATTACCTGGATTAATCTTGTCACCTGTGTGAAGAGGACCACATGCTTGGGGCCCCTTTGTTTATTTACCTGTTGAGTAGGCTATTATTGAATGGCTTTATCTGTTAATCTGTTTTAATTGGTATTTATTCTGATCCTATCAGTTTTGTCTCCCAGCTGACATATTTAATACAATGATAATTGAGTTTATGAAAATAATTATTACAATTTTAACTTACAATTTAATTGTTGCACATGATCTTATCAGCAATTCAATATTAATTTCAGGCTATAAAATTATTACTGCATACCTTCAGGTACTTCCTAAAATCAAATAATTAAAGTTCATAATACATGTAATGATATGTAGGCTTATTAATATACTAAGAACCTATATACTAAATATAGTTCCCTATAAATATATATAAGTATATAACTTTTCATTTGTATGAAATAATAGGAAATTAAAACTAAATATTAATAATTTAAGTTTTATATCACCAGCATATTTTATATATCAGAGAGCAGTATTTAGAAAAAAAGTTTTATATTAATACAGTAAATCAAGGAAAAAAATCATAGAAACTGATAACAGCTAGGTTACATGTAAATCATTCTTTACATAACGTATCATCTGAATATCAGATTTTTGTTCTCTTTTGCTTTTATATTTATTACAAAAGAAAAGTATCACTATAATATGTAATAAGTTGTTCAATAAATGTTTTGTTATAGGTGCAGATTTTACTGAATGACAGCAATCTTTATCCTACCACCACAGTCAGCTTCTATGATGGCTTAAAACCCGTCCCAGGGAATCTACTGGTGAAACAAGGGTATGTACTTCTCTAAGTTTCTCCAAAATTTTGAAAATAGTGGGAAAATACTAGTATTGTATAGTAGCAACATGTTTGCATGGCTATGCCTATAATAAATACAAGACAGGTTCATTGGAGGGCAAGTGTAAACACTGGCATTCTATGCCAGTTTTTAACAGCTAGGGCATGGAGGTTCTATTTTAAGCTCTACTTGTCAGATACCAGAAAATCTTTCCCATAGTTTTTTTCTATCTGTCTGTCTAGCTGTCTACATGTATCTATCTGTCGGTCTGTAAAATTTTCACATTTCAAACTTCAAGAACTACTGGGCCAATTTTAACCAAAGTTGGTACAAAGCATCCATATATAAAATAGATTCTAGATTTTGAAAATAAAGGACCAAGCCCCTTCAAAGGGAAGATAACAAGCCAAAAATTGTGGGAGGGGGAGTCATTAAAAACCTTCTAAAGAACCACTGGGCCAAAAAAGCTGAAACTTCTTTGGAAGAATTGTGAGATAGTGTAGCTAGAATCTAAATTGTTTTGATCATGGTCCCAAAAGTCTTCTCAAGAACCGCTGTCCCAACAAAGCTGAAACTTATATGGAAGCTTTTTAAGGTAGTGTAGATTCTAAATTCTTAAGATCATGGGGCTGGAGAGTAGAGTCGGGCCACAATCAAAGTTGTAAATTAAAATATTTCGGAAAAAATATATTTTATAAAAACCTTTTTCTGAAGAACCACCAGACCAGAATAGATGAAACTTAGTTGAAAGCTTCCTGAGCTAGTTAGCAAAAATTGTTCAGATCATGGTGTAGGGAGTTGGGCCACAATACGTAGGGAAAAATCTTTAAAACTCCTCAGAAACAGCAAATCCATGATAAATCAATAATGTGGAAGTACCATCTAGTAGTGTAGATTCTTATTTTGTTTAAATCTGTTCCCTTTATGTGGCAGAGTTGTTCCTATTAGAATTAAAATAGCAGGGGAAATTAAGAGAGTAGAAGGGATTCTGGGGTTCCTCTCCTAAGAGGGGAGTGAGGAGAAATACCTTGAAGTGGCGGATTATGTCATTATAGGCGGGGGTATTTCCCTGCCCCGGGGCCTTAGGGATAACCCTTATGTAAGGTGGGGCCACAGTGATCATCAAGGTCATCAAAAGTTTACATAAGAGTAAATAATTAGGAAAGAAATCTGACGCAGAAAAGCAGGACCAAAGTGACTAAGGAGAGCATTTTGGCCCATATAGAACGTTAGGTAGAGTATTTATTAGTGGAGAGTGAGTTGATGACATCATTCTATTTTTAGAACAACTGACCAATTCTTCCCAGTCACCTCCAGAACAGGATCTCTGCTGATTGTTGCTGAAAATTTCAAAAACCAGGAGTTCTTCTCTGGATCTTTTAATAGTATACCATCTGGTATGTAAACTATATGATGCAAGATTTATTGAAAAGTGTTTTCTCAATGCACACGCCTCTATCTGTTGCTCAATATATGCAAATTGGCTGATAAGATTTGACATTTCAGTAATGCATTCAAAACATCATCGCCAAATACCCGCACTTAATATCATCTTTTACTCATCACCCGTGGGCAAACTCGCTGAAATATCGCTGTATGTAATTAATATGCGTGGGTCATTTGATTGGCTGCTGCACAGAATTGTGATGGCATATCAACAAATCGCAGTTTAGACTACCTATTTATGTTTGGCAATGACAAACTTTTTTCTATAATTAACACACATGCATATCGATTGCAAGTGAATCCACTCATAGGTACATTTAGCAGTTTGAGACAGATACTAAGACATGTACGATGTGTCCTTTATCATTTTACAACCAAGTTTGGATATGTCAGTGAGTTTGATTACAGGGAATAAGTAAAAGCGAGATCACCTGTGGGTAGCTGATGATGATAAGACATTAAACATTACATTTCAAATATCCTAGCTTTATCAGTTTGTAGGAACAATAATTGTAAAATGACCTTAACTTTTTTTTGAAAGTTTGATTTATTTTTCTTTTTGTTCAGGATGTGACAAGATTTTAACATCCCCTACATCTAGCTTCCAGATACAGAGAATAAACATAGATACACAGTGCTCTATAGTGACAGTTCCTCCAAACACAGGTATATAAGAAAGACAACCTTTTGTGCATATACACATAGTAACTAATGATTTAGACTTATTGGAATTGAGAGATAAGCACATAATAATAACTAATGTCATGTTCAACAGAGAGTTTAGTTTGAATTAAAAGTAACTTTCTGCAAATTAAGGGTGAATGGTGATCACATGAAAAATTTATTACAAATTAGATTAATTTGAATTAACTTACTTCCCATTAAATTCCATTCGGCGCTAATTCAAATTAAATTATTCTGACCCATGCGTAATGGCAGAATAAAGTCAATTGCCAGATGTCTGTGGTCAGATATAGGTATGTGTCCTATTTACCTATGTTGATCACTGATTATTCATTTAAGTACAGTGAAAATTTCTTATCTGGATATTGTAAAATATGAAATTTTGTAAAATCTTTAAGTCTCTTGCAGTAAATTCAATTGTATTAAATGCTGTCTCATCTGGAATGTTGCCTCTAAGTTGTCCAATTTCTTTGGAACGAGTTGTGTCCACACTAGATAAGTTAAACTGTATTTATTTTGTAGGAATTACAGCCTTTAGAGTTCAAGGTTTGAACTTGTGTAAGAATGAGACAGTAACAATCTATGAGGGTCACAGCAAATATGACAAAAGGATAGCAACCCTCACCAATCAGAGTTCACAAGTCACCCCACTGTTTTATGTCAGAGCTAACAAAGGATTTAGGCAAGTTACCCCAATGTTTTATAGGAAAGTTGACATTCTATCCATAAGCTTAATCTTACAAGAGTCAGTTTAGATTAGTTATATTTTAAAGTTATAATGTTAGAGACACCATGCATCCAAACTTTTTCCGCTGTTGACATTTACTCCAAACATCTTTAACTAGTAGGTGATTAATTCAGTAGAATATTAATTTAATTACAGAATGGACATTGACTCTGTGTATGCTGAATGTAGAAATGAATCTGTAGAGCCCGTAACACTGACTGGAATGTATACAGCAGAGCCGGGTACGACTGTTCTAAAAAATTATGATTATTCCTAAAAATAAGTAATACGGCATCAAGATATGCAGACATCACTATTAATAGTAAATATTTCATCATAGTGTTATGAAAAATATGTGAATGGTAGATAATTAATGTTTTAGATTGTGGAGGGACCTTGACATCCACGGATGGGCTGATATCCAGTCCGGAATATCCTAACTTCTATCCCCTCAATTCTAACTGCCAGTGGAGTCTGCCAGTTCCTGAAAATGGGTCAACTTTAGTTTATGTTACCATGGATACAGCAAACTTAACTTCTGATCATTCTTTGAGACTGCAGGTTTGAATTTACTCTGAATTTTGCTAATGTTATGTAAAAATTGTTCTAGTTCTAAGCTAAACATTAATGGTGATTGATTGTATATTAGGATGGCACAGGTCAGACATTATGGGAGTTTAGTGGGAGTGTTTTACCAGAGACGGATGCTATCATCTCCTTAAATAAATCCGAGTCAGAACTGGCCAGTCTGGTGTTTGACAGCTCATCAGCTTCAGGACAGGGGGTGGGCAATGTCAGTACAGGATTCAGGGCAAACTACAGGCTACTCAGTAAGTACTTACCTCATCAGCTTCAGGACAGTGGGTGGGCAATGTCAGTACAGGATTCAAGGCAAACTACAAGCTACTCAGTAAGTACTTACGTCGTCAGCTTCAGGACAGGGGGTGGGCAATGTCAGTACAGGATTCCAGGCAAACTACAGGCTACTCGGTAAGTACCTGCCAGCAGTCATTAAAGAGCATCTGAAAAGCATTAATGGGTGTATTTTTAAAGAGTTAACTCTCTTTTGACATGCATATTCATACTAACATACATGTGAATACTTTACATGCAAAAATGATAGCATGTAACTAATATGTGTATGATCATGAATATTCATTCATCATCTTGCAGAATGTGGGGGATACCTGAGTTCATCCAATGGAAGTCTTGCCATTCCTGAGGGGATCCCAAAGGGGGAATCCTGTATATGGATCATCAGTCTTCCTAAATTGGGGGTTGACAACAGCACAAATATTATCCAGTTCACATTATCAGTCCCTAAAATGACTTCAAACTCAAGCATGTAAGTACATCAGTATCTGGTAGAAAATAATCCTGAAAGTTATCAAAAGGCTTACTGCTTTATCTCTATTAAAATTCAAATACCTATCACAAACATTTTTTTTAAATTAGACAAGTGTTAGATGGAGGAACAGCAAGGTCTAAAGCATTTTCTGTCAACTCTAAATCATCCAAGAGTTATCTGAGTCGCACTAATGCATTGTGGGTGAAAATGGTGGCTCCAGCCAAGCTCACACTTACTTATAACACACACAGTAAGACAGATAATTGGAGAATAGTTAAACCTGTTCAAATCAGTGATAAAATTTGACACTAAAATTTCACCTTGAAGTGGTGGTGCATTAGGTATGGGTTTGATGCAGAATCTCATTTTCCTGTAGGCTGTTCCACAAAAGACCAGTGTAAAAACGGGCTATGCCTTCACCCGGAGTGGAGATGTGACGGTGTGGATGATTGTGGGGATATGACTGATGAAGAGAATTGTCCCTGTTCTTCTCCTTCTGTCAAGCAGGGATGTAAGTATCAGGTGTCACAAAGCTTATCCGTATCCACACAGACTAATTCATGATGTCAGAGAGCTAATTCAAATAATTACAGAAATAATCAGTGCCCTATCTATGTAGTCGATTCCTGTAAATAGATTTCTTCTGTTTACTGCAACTGCAGAAAAAATAATTTGCTACCATTAAGAGGTCAAATCATAAAAATTTACAACCACAGTAAATACCTATTACATATGGTATAATCATGTTGTACAAAATCTTGCCATAAGATATAAGTATAGAAATACAAATATATGTAGGTCACCTTGATGAGTACTTGACATCTGTAGGTAGAGGAATGTCAGATTTCTGTGTTTATTTCAGTGAAGACGTACCTGGTGGTGATCATAGCTCTGATGTGTCTGGCCTTGGGGGTGGTTCTTACAATACTGATTCCTGCGGTATACAAGCGGTTCCGTTACCCCAACTACCGCCACCTCCAGGACCTGATGGAGCCGTCAGTTACGTAAACAACAGCCGTGGAACTGCGAGACTAGGTGGTACCCTGCCTATCTACACATTCCAGACCCGAGTTCACTTCTGAGTTTACATGCATTGTAGATATGTCATAGTCATTTTAGAGACATTATTTCCATCCTGTTTTATTCACATTCAGATATACCTAGAGCTTGGAGGTAGAAGGATATCACATATTTTTAAATATGCAATAACTAATGCTCAAATTATGTGTGCCATCTTCACTTCATTTTGTAAATATTATTTTTGGTTGAGAGGAGATATTGTCCTAGTTTGAAGAACTACAGACATTAGTACTTGTTTTTGATTCTTGTTTGTGAGAAGCTTCTTAAGGAAATTCAGTGGTGGAAGATATATTTTTCAACAAACTTAACAACAGTATATCAATGTTACAGGCAAAATGTGTTTCTAGCTTTTGTTGTTGACTCTTTACTTATGTGCTAAGATACAACTTAAACTGATTTTTTTTCACATTAGTTACACAAGATCTGCAGGATCTAGTCATTCTTTTTACAGTCTGATGTGGATCATTTATTTTTTATCTGATACTGAGCATTTATTCTATACACTAGTTAAGATCTGAAAATAGAAACTTTATGTCAATTAAAGGATCTGCCAAAGTTTGATATTTTATAAAAAATATTAACTCCTTTCTTAGCAGATAATAATTTATACTGATATTAACTGTTTTAAGTGTTTTACAATTTACAAATGTCATTAATCCTTAATTTGATGTCCATTTCATACTGGTACATCTAAGTGTAAGTTCTTCAGTATCTGCATAAAAATACTCAACATTTTGGAGATTACTGTACAAACATTAACTGTGTTAAATGCTAAGAGAAGCACTGATGGAGGAAAAACTAAACTTAATATATATGTTATGGTTTTATCTTAGAACATTACAAGTTTTGTATAGTGTTACTAATTTGATGATTGTCATATGTGATATAACTTAAGAGACAAAAAATCACCTAGAAGTGTTAATTATCCAAATATTTTTTTTTGTTTTTGAAAAATTAATGTACATTTAAGATAACAGAGTATTTATAAGTTTGACCTTAATCTCTCTTTTTTGTGTATTTCTTTCTGTAACTATATTTTCAGCATTTTTACTGTATATATTTCATAATTATAGGAAGAAACTACTGTAAATGTACTTTATTTGGCGTGTACGATACTGAGTATGTGGAAGAAATTAATTTTTAACCATTTTGATTTAGCACTCTCTAAATATGCTTTATATCAATACACTGTATATGAAAACAAAACTTTAGCGATGTATGCTTTCTGCAAAAGGCGCTAAATAGAATACAGTTGAATAAAATACATTTACAGTATGTACCGGTAACCCTTGATTGCTAGTCATGCTTCAGTGATAACCAAATCACTATGTACAGGAGATTAAAATCAAACTATATTTTGGATATTTTGACTTGCAACTGATTCAGGAAACTTGAAATTTTTCTAAATATTAGTGGATATTTTTGTAAGGAATGTATATTGGTCATATTTTTAAAGGAAAAAAAAGATAAGGAAGTTAATTTGTTTGAATTTTAGATTAATATTGTTTGGGTAGTGATTTGTTTGAAATTTGTTGAACATTTTTTGACAGATTTTGATAAAGTGGAAACATTTGAATTTCTATGCCCAGTGGAAGAATTCACATTTCTTTTCTCATGAAAGGGCATTTTAACAGCAAAATAAAATTCTCAAAATGCAATTCATACTGCTTTAAGCAGGGGGGCACAAATTAACAGAATTAGCTTTTGGCCATCATTTTCTTGTTTTCAGTAGTTTATAAAATTAAGATTTTTAATTTTATTCCATTTATATATTATTATTTTATGTCTTTGCATAATCTACCCATTTGAATTATGCTGTGTTATCCTTGCATGACTGCGTGCATTTATTATTTTTTTCATAAATTACAAAGAGTTGTTTATCTGATTTCCTTTTTGTTACTGGCAGAGTATGTTTGTTCAGTTTTTTTTATTCATAAACAGAGCTCCCATGTAATACTAAAAAAATGTGTGTTTCCAGTTACATGTAACCAACTGACTTACGCTTTCTCATAGTGCAATCCTTAAAATCCATGTTTCAGATACTGTAAAAACTTTTCCACCAAGTGTTTACAAAGACTTTATCTTCTTACGTTGTAAGTATTCACATATTTTTATGTATATGATGAACAACTGTTCTGAATACTGAACTGAAGCTTACAAAAGAAAAAGTAAAGAACAAAATAAAACATTATTGTTTACTTACCTACCTTTCTTTGCATGTTACCAGAAACACACATTTTTTATTTGGCCTGAACAATTCTACAAAAGTTCTGTTTTTGTTTGTTTATTATTGTTTGTTGCAACAACCAAAAAAATAAATAAAAAGTCTGTAAATTATCCTTAAACATAAAAATGAATAAAATGCTTGCAGAAAAAAGGAAAGTTTTCAAAGATCTTTCATACATGTATGCACCAGCAAAAGAAGTACGTTTAGTTCAGTGATCAGATGTATATTATGTACTAAGGTAGTCAAAGTACAGAAATTTACAAGATATCCACATATAGTTCATTCTTTAACCAGTAACAAAACTTTGTATCTCACTGTAGGTATTATTCAGTGTAATATTTATAATTATATTCAATACTAGTTATAGAGTTTAAATTCCAGTTTTTATTTACTATAACTTTTACTGCTATATGCTTCTGCTATATCCCTTTGAACAAAGAATTTAGTAATGTGGAGCACTCAAAATGCGGCCATTTTTATTAAGCATTCTATCGAAGTCCTTTGTGTGTGGAATGGAATCCTCTTCTCCAGAAAAACAGACCTAGATGTAAAGGGAAAAGTAATCGGTAATATGTATAGCTAATACGTATAGGAAAAAAATACCTAATAGTTTTACTGTTTGGTTAAACTAAATGGAACAAGATGAGTATGTCATGACCTACTCTTTTGATGCCACGTGAACCATTAGTCCTCGCCTTCTTCTGTTTGTTACAGACAGCCTGAGGCATTGGGTTTAATTGATTCTTCTCCCCTTGGATGACAACATATTTTGTGTTTTTTGACTAGATTTTGATAGAAAATTTCTAGTGAAACATTCACTGAAAACGACACGATGCTTTTTTTTAACAAGATATGTATTATTATTAGAATATTTGATGCTTGTAAGTATAACAGTCACGTAGTATCGGGGGATGGGTGGTTAACCAGAAAAAACTTCTCGCCTGAAATATCTTTGTCAAGCTAAAGGAAAATACTTTTTTCCACAAAAATGTATATGTATGGTATGATATAATTGGAAAAAAAAACTGCCCTGAATACGAATAATGTTTGGTTAAAAATGGGAATGGCTTCTCCAATATACATGGATATGAATTCTATCACACAGTCACGTGGTTACCTGGGAGCTGTCACTAGAGGAAGAGGTGGAATCACTGACTGGACTGCATCCCATCAGACGTGAGGGATCTACCAGTTTGTACCCCCACTGACTTAGTTTGTTTGAGCCAGCTGTCACATGGAAGTCAAAAACTTCGCTGTTTTCATCATCACTCACACAAACTGGAATAACGTCTCTTCTCCAGTTGAAGGCGTCGATCTGTCAAAAGAAATGAGACTTGATTAACATTTTAACCTTTCCTACGGAGAACTGATAAAACATACACTAAATAAAAAAATTCGAAGTCTTTTAAAAAATACATTGTGATGTTCTTTGAAATGATCAGCGTCTTCTGTGAACTTGACAACCAAGGTGGGCGCCATATGCAGTGTATCTAGTCTATCAAAAGCCTCTTTCACGTAGATAATTCTGTGGGGACAGTGGCCCAGAGATGGATAAAATCCCTTCGATCGGTCCTCTGGATTGCCATCCTATTGGGACATAAATGGAAGATTGATTAGCAGTTACAGATCTTTCATTGAATATGTTAAATTTGTTAATATGTATACAATTTACAGTTGCATATATATTTTATTGAATATATTGATTTATATTTTTTTAAATTCGAAATTACTTTTTGTGATGGTGGCGTACTGTAAATCACCATTTATTCGCGAGAACTTTATTTTCATGTACTTTTGTTAGATTGTTCGTGAAAATTTTATTTTTAGGTATATTTGAATTTTATGGATTGAAATAAGAATTCGTGACATTGCATTTTGTCCCGCTTGTAAATGACATTTCTAAAAAAAGGTATCGCCGAAATTTGATGGTCTACAGTACCTTTTCCTGTTTTCCTTGGTCATTTTTGGTTGATTCCGCTTTGCCTGGCTTTTTTGCTCGAAAGGAGTCTTTCGGAGTTTGATCTTTGACACCCTTTACAGAAACGTTTATCTGACTCTTGTTTAGATTATTCCTCCCATTTTCTCTTTGGGTACAAATCTCAGAATCAAATGTCAACGATTTCTATTGAGAAAAAAAAAAAAAATTAAAATTCCATTGTAATTTTTAAAATATGACTTGAAAAGAAATTCAATAGAGATATATTTTAACTAGAGATAAAACTTAATTAGATAAAACCGAACCTGTGATGTGTTGACAGGCGCTTTCTCTGGAGTAAGTAGAAATTTGTTCACTCGATCAAGGACAGCAATATCTTCTTTACCCTCGATGTCCCCAAGACCAGTGAGGCTAACCTGCAATATGAGGATTGTCAGATTCAGTGATCGTACCGGTGAATTTTATAGAATATAGAATAGAATAGAATTTATTTCCAATCATGGTCCCACTGGGGGCATAACACAGACACAAGTATATTATTACATAAAATAGAGACAATGTACATAATACAACATTAAACGTTACCCATAGTGGTCTACAAATATTGTAAATACAATATAGTAATATTCAAAAATCATATACAATATTTTGATATGAATTGACTTAATAATCTTAAGATTTACTCATTTTCATTTGTAAAAAGCCATATTAACTTTTCATTATGAACATAATAAAAAGAATAAACCAATATTAACATGGTGGTGTGCAAATATTGTAAATATATTAAAAGATAAAGGTCTATTTTTGCCAGTCTACAAAAGATATATATGCTTCAGGAATGCACAATTTCTAGTTAAATATCTAGAATGAATGAAAGGTTGCATTCCTTTATGTTTATGTAGATAGGCAAAAAAGCTCAATTATAATTTATAACAAGTGACAATGTAGTAATGATCAAACATCATATACAATATTTTGATATGAATTGACTTAGTAATCTTAAGATTGACTCATTTTCACTTGTAAAAAGCCATATTAGCTTCTCATTAATGAGCATAATAAAAAGATTAAACCAATTTCACCATGGTCGTGTGCAAATATTGTAAAAATATTATAAGATGAAGGTCTATTAACGGTTGCCAGTCTACAAAAGACATCAAGGGACGGTGCTTCAGGAATTGCATGAATTCTAGTAAAATATCTAAAATGAATAAAAGGTTGCATTCTTTTATATATAATATAGATATGCCATATAGTAAGTGAGAGGTTATCTCATACCTTAACAATTTCTCTCCTCCTGTTGAGCAATAGATCCACGTTATCCTCTTCCTCCGCCTCTTCCAGTGGCCTCAAGTTTAAAGGCTCGGGCTTTAAGGACTTACAATTTTTCTGTGTGATTAAAATATTTATAAGAACAGCATTTTTGCAGTAATATATCCTAAACAAATTATTAAACAAATTATTTCATGTGCAGTTTAACTTTATGGATATTATAAACAGGTTATTTTAACCCCCCGCCCCCGCCTCCCCCCCCCCCCCCCCAAAAAATGCATTGGACTTAAATATACCTTCAAAAATCGGCTTCCCATTTGATTTGATTCATCTGATGGCAATGTATCTGTTGCGATTTTACTAAGTTATTATGACGTCATCTTTTGTGAGGTCATTTGATTTTATACGACGTTTTAATTATGAATTTTGTCCACAATAAAAGTTTCCAATTTTTTAAGTTAAATTAATGATAAGGGGGCTAATTCAAAATATATGCAAGTTTCATTGGTTTTCCAAACAAACTAGAACTATGTTAACTTTTATATGATTACGAAATAAATAATGGTATTTTTTCTCTCCAAAAAATTTTGTACTACTTTATTATATGTGAAAATAAAAAAAAGTTAAATATTTTGAAAATAAAATTTACTAAAAAAATTAAGAAAAACAGAGAAATTTCGACTATTAGCAAATATCCAGTTTAGTTAGATTATTTATGTAAAATGGTCAATTTTAAACTTTTGAAATTGGCATCACATGATTGGCAAAAGTATTTTTTTATTCATAATGTCAAGGAAAAAGATAATGACCTTGAGGCTAATATAAGTCAAATTTAACACAACATATGTAAAATCCGCATTGGTTTTCGGACTACATGTATATGATACGAAATAAATAATGGCCAAATACTACTTTTTTATAAATACACAGAGAAGACATAGTTTTAGACATTGATAAAATGGTCAATTTTATTTGGCGATAAGATGGGAAGGACACAACAATGTGAAATCCGCGTTATTTGATAAAAGGAAATGGTTTCAAAAAAACTCATAACTTATTTTACAAGTTACTGAAACGTAAAACTTATCACACAGGCCCGTTGGAACCGTGGAGGGGTGCTCCTGTGCCGCCTCCCATTTGCAACAATAATTAAGGAACACTTAAATGTGTATAAAATTTAGGAAATGAAGCACACCTTCGGTAGTGTACCCTCCATAAGATTTTTACGAAGGATCCCATCCCCCTAACACACAGTCAGGAAAATGCTTCCTACGGGTATGTCTTATACTAGTACAATGAAGTCATATACATGTATAGCTTAATCTCAATTGCAACAGTGTGTCTGACGGACCTGAGGTTATATCATGGAAGACAGAACAAGATACACAAAAAATTAAAAGAGATATTGACTGTGTTCTCGGGCAAGGTGCGTTTTTTGACCCTCAAATCAAACTGTAAAACAGTTTCCCTCGGTCAATAAACGTATTAAATTGCTTAAGGTCTTCCACTCTCACAACTCTAATGGTTCAAAGTACAAAAATTGCATTTATTTTCATTTAATATACTTTTTTTTTCATTTAATATACTTTCAATTTTTCAATTATTGCAAAAAATGTACAGGTCACCATATTATTTAAGATGGGAGACATAAATAAAGAGAAGTATATGTCAACAAAAAAGTCGCACATTTTTTGTAAACAGTATTATGAAAAATATTTAAAAACTGATTAAAATGCATAATGCTGATGCTGAATATTCCTTGATACTTCCTACTTATAAAATACTCCTGAATTGTGAGTATCAGAAAGACTATTTTACATAAAAGCAAATGCCTGAATGAAGAGACCTGAGAAGGAGCCATTGCCCTTGTCAATATTTTTTTAAATAAGGAAAATATACATTTTTAAAATTCTTTTATTACTTTACAATATTTATCAGTACACCCATTGAAAAGCATTCCTAAAAAAAGATATTGTTCTATCGGGTATTAATTTGAAGTAAAAACAGTTTCACTTTTGCAAAAACCTATGACATCATAGGAGGGTGGAATTACCCTATTTATTCCATTCTTACATTTACCAAGGATGGACTTATATGGAAGGAGGGTTAGAAGCAAGATATTTAAAGTGAATCCCCCACCCTTCCTAAAAAAAGACGAAGAGTATATATCTTCGAGTTTTGTTTTGGCGAGACACTCAAAGCGTACTCATACGAGTGTTGCAGACGGGAAACTGCAGTTTATGAATGAATAGTCTAAAAATGGGATTGGTGGAGGATGTGTAACTTCCTCAATATATTTTCATTGCTAGCATTTTTTAAAACAAAATACGATTTTAAATTAAGCCTTTCGTCTTTTTTTTGGACATATGATATCAGGTAACCCCACCCCCCGATTTTATGTAAGTCTTCTGTATTTGCCCATCATTTCCCCACACCCCCTATCCCTTTCCTGAAAAGGTAAAAAAAAATCAGAATCCCCCTTGACTCCTCATTCTGATTGTCAGACACTATAACTCTCAGTACACGTGGTACTAATGGGAAATATATCTCAGATACTTCAGTTTATGAATGAACATGTCTGATATGGGATTGGTGTAGGAGGAATGTGTGACTTCCTCAATCTATAGTTAAATATATTCACTTTGGAGAACAAGTACTTTATGTATTAAAAGTACACACTCAAAATGTCCACAAATGCACGGAGAGACCATTGTATACTTATCCACTGAAATATTGGTTGGCAATTTGTTTGGGGAGAAAATTTCCAATAAAATTACCCCCTCTCTTTCTTTTAAAATAAAGATTGAGCGCATTTTATTTTTACATAGTTATAAAATTCAATCTGTGAAATTATTTAATATGATAAAAAATTAAGTGTTCTCTGTATTCAAAGACTGAAAACAAGAACGATTCAGAATCTGGATATTATGCAGTTATCAGGGTAAATGTTACATATAGCTAGAAGTCCTTTTACTTTTCTGCACATAAAAGGCGGGTTAACATACATGTACAGTGTATATGGGTTTGTTTGAATTATTCTTGTTCACATCTTATTTCTTTTTACATCTGTTGGAGTCTTGCTTACAAAGAGAAATATACTATTTAATTGAACCCACCAATTACACCGTATACACCGGATACGCGGGGGAGTCGCTAAAAATATGGGAGAGTCGTTTTCATGATATCACCTATTTGATTTGAATTAGTAATATCACCTATTCGAAAAAGGTGATATCACTAATTCGAATAGGTGATATCACCTATTCCTTTCGAATAGGTGATATCACTTTTTCGAATAAGTGATATCACCTATTCAAATTAAATAGGTGATATCACTTATAATTCGAATAGATGATATCACCTATTCGAATAGGTGATATCACCAAATCGTTTTCAAAAGGTGGTATCACTTCTTCGAATAGGTCATATCACCTATTCAAATTATTTATGAAATATCACTGGCTCCCGACTATATACGAGGGTCATTCAAAAAATACGTAGACAATGTTCCTCATCATCACATTATTTTTTACAAAGTTCAATATCAGTACATTTTTATATGTAAAAAGATATATTTTATAGATTTCTGAAGTTTCATTCTATTTGATCAAATGGAACTCATGTTAGCTAATTTTAAAAGCAGCATGTTTTGTCATCACGGAGCACGGTCAAAACATTGTAAAGTCAAAAACAACGTTAAAGGAAATTTCTCAAACTCACAGTGTCTTTTCATTTTATACACGGTTTGTATCGTATTCCTCATTCATTAAAACGTATCCATAACACTTGACACCTAGTATGCTAACAACAATTTGAGTATAACTTAAATAAGATTGTCAATGTTTTTAAATTCTTTACCATGTAACTCTGCTCTTACAGGTTCCGCAACAGTGAAGCGCACATCACGGTTAATGACGTTACTAACTCGTTTAAGGTAATTCCACCCTATATGATGTCATAGGTTTTTGCAAAAACTGCAATTAGTTTAAATTCATACCCAATAGACCAATATCTCTTGGAAGAATGCTTTACATTAGGTGTAATGATAAATATTATTTAATTAAAGAATTTTAAAAATGCATATTTTCTTTATTTATTCAAATATTCAATCTTTTTAAAATGTTGACAAGGGCAATAACTCCTTCTAAGGTCTCTTCATTCAGGCATTTGCTTTATTGTACTTCTGATGTAAAATAGTTTCCATGATATTCACAATTCAACTGTATCATATAAGTAGGAAGTATTAAGGAATATTCAGCATCAGAATTATGCATTTTAATCAGTTTTTACATATTTTTCATAATATTATTAACAAAAAATGTGTGATTTTTTAGGTTGACATACATATAATCTTAAATAATATGGTGACCTATACACAATAATTGGAAAATTTTAAGTATAATAAATGAAAATATATGCAGTTTTTGTACTTTGAACCATTAAAAATGTGAGGGTTGAAACACCTTAACAAGATTTTGAACTATAATCTATTTCTTTGCAGAATGCCGAATAGGTGATAAAAATGTATCTTTATTATACCGAATAGGGCCATTCTTTAAACGTGAGAAAAAGTACAGTCTGCTTGCATATAACGACATATAGATGTGTTTAACGGGGAAATTTTTATATTTTTGAGGTATTTTACACTCTTACATTTTTTTTCCATTAAGAAAAAAAAAGGGGGGGGGGGTATTATCCATACTTCAGGTGCCTGTGGTTTGGTGTTCTCTATTCGAATAAGTGATATCACCTATCCGAACAGGTGATATCACTTTTTGGCAGTAAATATCAAAACGGCGCCTTACACATATACGTCTAGCATTCTTAAACACTTCAAAACTATTCAACAGATTTCATATTCATGTTGATCGAGTGGTTGAAGCAATCTACACTAGCATAAGGCTTCTGACAGTAAAATCAGCAAAGACAAATGTTTATCAAACATGACTGTACTTTATAAATATTAATAATTAGGACACTTTCTCTTCAGATAGTAATGGTTACATATAGGGGGGGGGGGGGGTTGTTTCTTGGAAAACACAACGCATGAGGGAGTCGCAAAATAAAATCAAATGTGTATTACTATACTATAGAATGGGGATGGGGTGGGTGGAGGGCTAATTGACACTCGGAGTTCCTCTGATGCATATGGCTCGTACCTGGCATATGAATGGAGCGTGGCGGAGTCAGGATTGAGGATTACCGATTTGCTATATTGAAAGAGGAAAAAAAATTCAATTACAAAAAACTTGACAAGAAAAAAAGGAGTTTTTGTCCATAGACTTAACACGAAAATCCTATTTCGTGGATGGGAGGAGGCGAGGAAAATACTTCTTTTATTACAATTTTTGTGCATGCATTTTATATGATTTCTGCACGGTAGAGCAATGACAAATTCCAGCATTTTAAAATAAAAACCGTTAGGCAGTTAATGTGACCAAAAAAATAAAATGGGGGGGGGGGGGTAGACGGAGGACTTTAGTGTTCCTCGCATAACAGAAATAAACTCTTAGTTTTAGCTACGAAATATATTTCGGGAATAGGGCATTATATTTGAGTAATTTTATTCGTAAATTTTAATAGCTTTTCTTGTAATACCTTTGAATATCTGTTGCTATATAAATTTATAATAAAACTAGATATACTCTGGGCAATGGGTTCACTAAAAAATACCCCGTCTACCATGTAGTTATTTTTGCAAAGTACATGTTTTGCTCTGGGAGACCCGAAATAAGCCAGAGTCAGATAAAAAAAAGTATTAATAGAAGCTACATAATGACATTATGTAATGAAAAGTATGTGAATTTATAGTAGGGATGTCAAATCGGTCAATTTTTAATTTCGTGGACGTTTTTGGGAGAGTACCCGGGTACTCGGTAAAAGTGTAAATAAATATAAACAAGTAAATTGATGAATGTAAAACATTTAAACACTTGTAGAAATAAAACCACATGCTTTATATAAAATTAATGCATTTCTGTTGTAACAATGACAAATTCCAGAAATTTTAAAACAAAAATTTAAGTTCAATTTATTTACAGATAAACACAAGAAATAAAATCGTAAGTGGTTCATGGTGTTTTTGTTTAAAAAAAATAATCTACTAATTTTTAGCTCACAACCATATATCGCGCGTGTAATATCATTATATTTGAGTAATTTTATTCGTGAATTTTAAATTAGCTAATTTATTTAATCATACCAGACCTTAAAAGATGTTCAGAGAAAATAAATAATTTAAGAAAATCAAAAAATAATACAGCCGAAAGTGAGAAAAGCCAGGTAACAGTGCTTGGTCACGATAAAAAAACACTGCCACGGGCGATAACGGTCATTTAGAGGAGTGGAAACCCTAATTTTTGTACAAGTGTAATGAGTATTTTATGTTTTAAAACAGATTGTTTAATGCATTAATAAATAAGCTTAGAAATAAAAAAATATACATAGTAAGAGTACCAATTTTAATGACATTATGTACCCGGTTAAAAGTGACATGTGAATTTATAGTTAAATTTTATTCAGTGGTAAAGGAGGAGTTGCGGCCTGATGGATTTTTTTTTCTATAATATTGAACTGTAACCATGCATCTGTTACCAGTGAATACAAAATTTAGAACAAGACATGTACAATTGTCATGTTCTAATTTTTGTACTTATTCCCGCCGATTTTATTCTAAATTTAAAACATGATAAAGTAATTAAAAATAAGAATATTGTCCACTGAGTCTGGTCCAATATCCCGCCACCCTGTATTGATTCACGAAACTAAGAGGGGGGTGTATCAAATACTGAGAAACTGTACACCTGAGGTAAGGTTGGTATCATATATATACTGACGAACTGTATTCGGTGTAAATACTGAAGAAATATTTTTGAATATATTAAAAAAAAATCAAACATTTCAGTTTATAATTTTTTTCATCAATACTTTTATTTATCATAGATAAACGTTTTTAGCGCTTGTATTCAGTCCTTTTTTCAGCATTCTTTGTTTTACATTTGTGTATTTTTACTGCAGAAATAAGACAGACAGTCTACATTTTTTTTGTATGTTGAAAATGAACTAAATAGTATCAACATGCAATTTTTTTCCAAGTCCAAAACCACTAGGTTCCAGTGCTCTGATGATGAATAATCCAGTGGTACATATATATTGCCGATTCTTTTTTTTTTTTTTTTGAAATGATAAACCCACAGAAAACATCTCTTTTGTCGAAACTACAGATTATAAAGGATTTAATCAAACATCAATTTATACGAGTAAATAAAAAAAATATTGGTAGTATAAAAAACAACATGAAAACAATCTTGACTATACATTTGATTTTATTTTGCGTCCACCATGAAACCATTGCAATCTGAAGAGAAAATGTCCTAATTATTAATTTCTATAAAGTTTCGTAAAGTTTTAATTATTGCATTTAAAAGATGAATGTTTGCTTTGCTATTTTAACTGTCACAAGCCTTATGCAAATCGTAGATTGTTCAAACCATGCGGCTTTTGATGGCTCGATCACCTTAAATATGAAATCTGATGAGTAGTTTCGAAGTGCTTGAGAATACCAGGCGTATATAAAAGCCGGAAGAACGGCCAAAAACAAAGATTATCTATTGCTGTCTTCCTCGGGATACTTGTTTTTTGTAAAAACATCTTACAAATACCGAAAAAGACGTGACCCACAACCCTCCTGACTCCGAAGTGGTGAAAAATCTACATACGCTGAAAACGACTCCCCCGCGTTACCCGCTATATACGGTGAATTACATGATTAAGAAAGATTTTTCTCATTTGATTAATTATAAGTTGAGTGTAGGACATAAGATCTCAGTCTACATTCTTATTTCGATGATGTATAGACATATTTGTGTATGTACTTAATATCTCGGATGTTATTCCTCTTTCCTGGTTTTTGATCGTAAGCATATCTTTATTCATCACCACGATTCTCTCAGGTTGACGATATAGAACTACCCCAGAAATTAATGCAAGGTCTCATCTTATAATACCAAGCAGTATTGCATCAACTAGGGGTTTTCCAGTCGAAAAAGAGTAGAGTTGAAACACTGGACTCATAATTTCCTCATCACTCTGGAAAACACAGTCATATATAAATTTACCGACAAGAAATCAACAAAAAAACATGGCAAGCAGACGTATCTCTTCACAGCCTGAGCTTCGCCGCTACAGTATCTACCCGGACCGACAGGTTCACTTCAACGAGGCCATGGAGGTGGACGAGTACACGACCTCCAACTGGCAGCAGTAAGTAACAGACAGACAAACGACCAAAATGGGGCTGTAAGTGTAAATTCTAGGTAACAGACAGACAGACAGCAGTAAGTGTAGATTTTATCTATGAGGCACTGAGGATCAAAAGGGTCCCTGGGAGCAGCAAGTGTAGATTGTTGCTAACAGACATACAAACGGCCAAATGACAGCAATAAGTGTAAATTGTAGCTAACAGACAGACAAACGGGACAAGAACAGCAAGTATCGACACTGCATGTCTTCACATGGACAGTAAACGTAAACTATATAGTATAATTACATCGTTCGGGCAGACTGATGGATGTTTAAAACGTACCAATTTACAAATAGAAAGACACAATTAATGTTCTTCTATTTAAGGTAATTTTGATGTTATTTATACGAACTATAATATAGTTCTACCTTGGTTAACTATTGACATTATCCTAAATATAATATAATTATAATTAAGCGTTGTATTTAACGAGCTTTAATAAGAAACACTTGTCATTATAAGTAGCAAGAGGTAACAAGATGAACAAGGATTATTTTTACGTATATATTTAGGTGTATATTCGAATACATGTATATTCTATTTATTCACCCTTATTCAAGCCTTCACAATGACATGTTCAATTAAAACAAATATATCAATATATTTTTAATGTCATACAGCTCAGCCCTACCAATATGGGGAAAATATAGGCAATGAACATACCCACAAATCAATAAGGAAATTGAAACTTTTACAAATATCACCTAAATATAGTTACATTTACATGTAAATAAATAGTAGTTTATCGATATTTCTGTCACTGGTAAGTCACAATACCGTATTCTACAACTCCATTTACTTGACTTTATTAAAAGAATTAATTTCCAGGTCTGAGAGCAGTTTAAACAGTCCCACGTTTTCCTACACCGACTACAGTTTAAGTCCCGAACCATACCAGAGAAAGTATTCTACAGCTCTCAAAGTACTCAAACCATTTCGACCCCGATCCAAGTAAGCTACTTACAAAGAATTCAAATTTAACACAGTGTTTTGTATTCCCTTTGTACATGTATTTCAGAAAGACTTCTATGATTGCTTAGAACTGTATCATTTTAATATTTTTAACTTAAGTGCTGTCATCTACCAGCACAAAGTGAAGTACCCATAACTATCCATCTGCCTTGTACTTTAATATTTAAATGCCATCCATCGTCGCAAACCATGGCCGAAATGTGAGATACCCTCCAATTCTATAACCTATAGGCATGTAGCAACCGCTAATGACATAACTCCGATTAAAAGGTCAATTTATGCAAGAATCAATGGCATTAAGCGTTATAATTGCAACGCTTAATGATATTTGTATCATTAAGCGGCGTTATATCATTAGAGATTGCTACAGTGCCATCTTTATTCAACATTTTGCACTTTCTGAAAAATATCCCCGTCTTTAATACAGGGATGGTAAAATGCCAATAAACAAGTTGGGTTTTTTCTCGTATGTATTTCTGACATGGATGTCTTCACTTATCTGGAAGACCTACCGTCATCGGGAAGAAGCACTGAAGGAAGAAGACATCTGGGCATGCTCAAACCTGGAGGACGCCAACCTTAATACAGAGAGGTCTGTTATAGCTCAGTGACGACAGAATGGGGGACTAATACTAGTACATTAAGATAATGCGTTAAATGAAATACATGGTAACTCTGGTAATGCATGTGTACATCTATAATTCATGAAAGTATAAGTATACCGAATGTTTAAATCTTTAATTGATAATCTCTTTCTGTTCCTTACTCCAAAATAATGGTTCCTTCTTTTTCACCAAATGATGGGATAATCTTATTGTGTGGGTTATCTGTCTCTCTCTGTCGCAGAATCTCTCTAACGCAAAATCTAATTCTAATAATAATACTTATAGCGCGGACGAGTGAAGAGGAATCCAAATTCATTTTGGTTCAAATTATGAGTATTGGGGTTAGTCTTGTGCACAGATCAGTTCATAATGTACTAGTAAACAGAAATACCCTGTCTTTACCTTCAGACTCACTAGAATATGGAAGGAAGAGGTACAGAAAAGAGGTCCCGAGAAAGCCTCATTTTTCAGAGTCTGGCTTAAGTTCGCCTGGACTCGTATCTTGGTCACATTAGTCATAATTGCCTTAAATGCCGTGTCAACCTTTCTGGAATCGGTAGGATATTTTATTGTACGTTTATTGTAATCAAAGTATCATTAGTAACCGTCAACCTATCCTATCTGTTACATTTCCAATCTTACAGGGATACCTGCTGAATCTTATCGTCCAATATTTAGAGTCCGAAGAAACAGACCTTTGGTATGGGATAGGATTGGTGGCTAGTGTAGCTGTTTGCCAGTTAGTCCGGGCGACTTCGTTTTGTGTTATTATCATGTTCGGTGTCCAAACAGGTACCTAAATTTTAAAACGGATTGCTTCCCTTTGCGTGGCGATTTTGAAATCAAGGTGAATAAAAATGCTGATTTTTTTTTCATGTAATTTTTGTAGGCGTGCGCTTCAGAGCTGGTTTGTTGGGATTAGCTTATGATAAAATGTTGAGACTGAAATCTGTTCGAGGCAAACAACTATCAGAGGTAAGGCATCCCCAGTCTTGTCAGGAAAGTAAAAAAGCTCATGATGTTTGATCGATACATATATTGAGACATTCCCTTCTTGTCTTCAGCTAATCACTATATTTGGTGCTGATGCTTACCGCGTATTCCTTAACAACGTGACCTTTGCATACTTGTTGGCTCTTCCGATATATGTAGTCATAGGCACCATCTACACGTATTATTTGTTAGGACCATGGTGTTTTACTGCGATCGGAATATTTATCTTCTGTTATCTTGTCCAGGTTAGGATATTACGTTATCTTTTCTCTTATACGATTTAAACACATTATTTTTCTGCTTCTTAAAGATCATTCTTTCATCCTTTAATTCATAAAAATTATTTCACAGGCCAGGTTGACCACAGTTGTTGCAAAACTGCGAGCGAAAACTTTAAAGTTTACAGACAAAAGGGTAAGTATAAACTATAAAAAAACAAAACTGCATTATATTCGGGTCAGATTGTATAGCAATCATATACCGGTTTTAAGTTTCATTTTCATTTAATTTAGGTTCGAAAAATGACAGAGTTAATCAACAGTATGAAACTGATAAAAATGTATGCATGGGAAAGGCCATTTAAAGCTGCCATTCAAGGTATTTTTTTCATTTCCTTTTTAAAAATACACAACTGTCCCTAATGAAATGATTATTTTTATTTTAAATTTTTATTTAGAAATACGAAAAAGTGAAAAGAAGTATCTGTTTCTGTCCTCCATTTTGAATTCCATCAGCACAGCTGTCATCCCAGTCACCCCGACGCTTTCTTCTGTTGCCACCATTGCTGCTTACAGAGCCGCAGGAAATGAGCTTTCTGCTTCAACGGTATCTTTCCAAGATATTAAAAAGATGTTCAAGGAGCACACGGCGGGTGTGATATGCTCACTCCTCTATGGCACCTGTCAACCTCTGATGTTTTGGAGGTCCGTGTTTGCTCTGCTCCTATTTTGTATTGTTTTATGGACTTTGATTTGAATAATAATCCTCATTGTAAATGTACATAATTTTAAATATCGTTTTACAAAAGATACATGCGAAGTATTTCTTTTAAAGATGATCAGTTATATATATTTTTTAAATCTAAATCCTAAAACAGCATAGATTTGAGCGCTTAAATATTTTTCAGGCTTTTGCTGTTGTTGGAACTCTGAGCTTTTTACGCGTGATTGTGGCCTTTATACCTTTTGCTACAAGGACGCTTGGAGAATCCAAAGTCAGCTTTGCAAGGATGAAGGTTGGAAAAATAACTAAGAAAATGTGTGGATTTCAAGAGTGAATGGTTGCCGATTTTATTGATTGATATTTGATCCTTTCCAGCGCCTTTTGAATGCAGATGAGTACGAGGCACCTTCAGACAAATGTACCGATCCGTCCCTGGCTGTAGAAATCACCGAGGCCACCTTTGTGTGGGATTCAGCAGAGACAAATGACGAGAGCAAAAAGAAACACAAGAAACAAAAGAAAGGCAATCACAGTTTTTATTTTCAGTGATTTAAAAAATGGTGGAATAGTGATGAAAATAATTCCATACTAGTAATCATTTATTGATGAATAATATATAGAAATTATTTCTTCTGCAGAAGGGACACCTACAGCGAACCAACGTAGAGAAACTATTCATATTCAGAATATGACTTTCAAAAGCAAAAAGGTAAATAAACAAATATGCTTTGTATGTTCATACCTGAAGTTTTAGTTTAAATTTATCATAAATGTTGGAAAGATTTAATAATTTCATTTGATTCAGGGTCAGTTAATTGGAATCTGCGGACCAGTAGGATGTGGGAAATCCGCTTTTATTTCATCAATTATGGGAAGAGTGAGTATAGTTTGGTTGAAGAAGCAATGCAAGGTTACTTACTTGTTTGCCTATATCTGATTAAAAAAATCGTTCGGTATTGGATATCTTTGTTTCCGTATCTGCGTTAAATTGAGTATTCTTGAAAGTAGTTTTTATCCATTCACTAACAAAAATAAAGCAACCTTTTATGATTTCGGTTTACAGTTTCAGTCTCACCATTCACTATATATGTACCCTTGTCCTAACTGTAGATATCTATGATCTCGGGGCATCTTGCTGTCAATGGTTCTGTTGCATACGCCGCTCAACAAGCCTGGATATTTAATGGTACCCTGCGAGATAATATTTTGTTTGGAAAACCCTACGACCAAGAGAGGTCAGTAACAAGTCTTCGACTCTTCTAAATTGTAAAGAGTAAAATTAATCATTTGTATTTCCTGATCTTCAAATAAACGTATTTGTTTACTAGGTACCAAAATGTCCTGTTTGTCTGTGGGCTTCAACCAGATCTTCTTCTTTTGGCAAATGGCGACGAAACAGAGGTACGTGTATCAATTTTTTTAATATAGAAATGAATTGTTGTTACCTATGAAGTCAAGTACCTATATTTATACTGAAAGGAAAAAGAAACGCATAATAGCATAATAGCGAAATATATTTAACTATAAGGCCGAAAATTATGAAAATTGGTCAAATGTGTATTTTGATTACTGTGCACTAAAATTGCTTTCAAATTACTCAACCATGAAATGTATGAAACGTCAAATCGTATGGGAAATGATAAAAAGCCAAAAACACGTGCATGTTGATGATGACAATTTTATGATCACATTTTGTGGTGCTAATCGATGCATTGGAGTTATAAACATCATTTTCCGCATTTGAAATCAGTATAAATTTCGTGCAATTCATGGTATGGCTGACGGAAGTTACAATGGTTCCAGTAATTGAATTGCGTAAGTGAATGAAAAGACAACAAGATGTTGCTGTGCAGTTTGTTTTAAACTTTTCAACAAGAAAGGGTTTTTCAGTTGTCGGAGAGTAAATAAAAAGGTTTCCAACCAACCATGGCGGTGATGTTGACGCGTAACAACGTCACATATAGAAATGCTTTTGTCATGTCACCTCGGTTGTTGTCAAGGTATTTTCACTGAAACCGATATTTATGCAGCAGACAATCGTACTCATTTTTTTTTCACCCTAAAATTGACAGAAACTCACTGCTCTTATTTGGTCCACGAACTTGCTTACTTTAACGTCGATTTTACTCTCACGCATGCACGTACACGTCATGTTTAATGTTTTTAGCATGTTCACACTGAGAAAATGTAGCCAGTGTTTGTCTGAGACTTTCTCGTTAACAAACATTTTGCCTAAAACCAGCTGGATTCTGTAAATTCTATCCTAAAATGAAAATTCGTGGCACTCATTCGGCGGGGGGATTTGTTGGCTTTGGAATAATACAGCTTCTATCAACCATTAAGACTATTGTCGGAAGAGTTGAATAATCAAATGAGAAAGATAAATGCTCTGTTGAAATCAATGCACTGGAAATTCAAGGCTGTTACCAATGTGCATGGCAAGATTATTGAATTTTTATTTTAATTTTGGGGGGTTTCGACTTTCGACTGATCAGTTTCAATAACTCAGGAATTATCAGTCAAAATCACAAAAGATTTTGGTACCTTGTTGATTAAATTTGAATTAAAATGTTTGATAACAATACCGGAAAACCTTTCCGAAATAATAGTTTTAATTTAATTTAAAAGTAAAATATGCGTTTCTTTTTCCTTTCAGTATACTTGAATAAAAATGCTCCCGCTGTTGGGTTGGTTTCTAACTCAAATATCCCTGTTCTGCATTAAAATTCTAATGTTCTCATGAATCATGGAGTTAAGTTAAACTGTAAGGGTTTGTCTTTTGTTCAAATTACGTAGATAGGAGACAGAGGCACAAATCTCAGTGGGGGGCAAAAACAGAGAGTTAGTCTTGCACGCGCAGTCTACAGTGACAGCGATATTTACCTGTTGGATGATGTCTTGTCGGCTGTAGATGTTCATGTGGGACGTCACCTTTTCCACAATTGTATAAAGAAATTTTTAGGCGGAAAAACTGTTATCTTTACAACACATCAGCTTCAAGTGAGTCTAATTTCATAATAGTGAATGAAAATAAGTGCCGTACAAACCCAATAGTTTCGCTATATTCTATTTATAATTTTATCTTACCAGTATCTAAAACACTGTGATGAGATTCTGGTCATGCAGAATGGCGTGTTTGTGGAGCGCGGGAAACATGACGCCCTCATATCTTCTGCTGGATATTACGATTCAATGATGAAGCAGTTCCACCAAGTAACTGATAACCCCTCACGAGCAGCCCCCCGTAAGGATGGATATTATAAAATGATATTAAATACGTTACTGCAATGCACGTCAATGCTGCAAACACATCACTATATTGTTGTAGATGTGTAGAGACAATGATCTATAAACTTTCACGAAAAAAGATTAAAAATCAACGTATACTTATATTATCCATGCATTGCTGACATATAAGATTAATAAAAGCAGGCGCATACCCTGCTACATATATGATCAGGGGTAGCTGGCGTAAACTCTCTCAAAATATGTTTGCAAGAATAAGAGTCGCCCGCCTGACACAGTGGTAAGAGTGTTTGCTCTAGAATCTCAGAGTGAGGAGTTGAACTTTACGTCGTGTCTTCGAATCCCACTGTGGAAAACTGAGTCCATTCCTGAGGATGAAACCGTATAAACCAGGATTCAGTTTCGCAGTAGGTGCTGGCTCGAAAAAGATGCCTCACTGCCCATGGGTCCTAAGTATTGAATATCAGTTTAATATGACTCACACTTTTCAACGTTCCGTCAGGAACATACACTGTATATACTGGTTCCATTGAAAATTTTCTCTTGTATCAAGACACCACAACTTACCAATGGTGGGCTGCAAAATTTGTCCTATTCTCGACACTTAGGGCCATTGAGCAGTGAGGAATTTTTTTCGTGCCAGCAACTACTGTGACACAGGACCTCGGTATATACGGTCTCATCCAAAAGATAAGTATCCACTTCACTCAGTGGGCTCGATCCCGCGACGTAAGGATCAATTCCCTACTCTACAACTATAGAGCAATCACTCTAACCACTGTGCCACATGGGCGATCTAGTGCAATAAATTCAAGATATTTTATAATAAAAACATGAAAAATCCTTTTTTTTTAAGCTGACAACATTAAAGAGCGGATTATAGATGACGAAGACCAAGGGTCTACACCACAGAGAAAGCAAGAGAATGGTGTGCAGAATGGAACGACTGACAAGAAACCAGAAGTAGGAAAGCTCCACAAAGAAGCATCAAATAAAGGTTTTATTCACACATCTGTCTGTTCATTTATTTTGTTTAATGTTTTTTATGAATCTTCAGTTATTTGCTTACTAAAATGATTTTTTTCAAATAATATTAAAAATGATTTTCCTGTTGCTTTGAAGGAAAGTTGACACAAGTAGAGGAAATGCAGGTTGGAGATATAACATGGGGGACATACTACTCCTACATCAGCGCCATGGGAGGGATTTGTGTGGCCTTGTTTGTTGTTTGCTGGAGTACTCTAACATCTGCTTCCGTTGTGTTTAGTGATTGGTGGCTAAGTATATGGATCAACACATTTTATGTATGTCTCACTCCACCTTTTATTCTTTGAGATGTTGCCCGAATAGGTATTATTAGTTAATATGAAAATTTGAATATATTTCAGACGAGCAGTTCCATGGATTCTTCAAACTCAACCACAGTCCAGAATGTGTCTTTGCCATTAAATTCTACTGACCATTTAATAACCAGTGAAAATCCAATTTTCAATTCCACTGTTACGGACGTTTCTGACTCGTCCACGGAACTGGATTTTTATCTGACAGTATATGTATCATCCATGGGGCTGATCATTGTGATGATGGTTGCCAAAGGGTTCATTGGAGCCACGGTATATTTTACCTCCATTTCATCCAAGAATCCTTTTCAACATCGGACCCCACCCTTAGAATTCTGTTTTCACTTTTTATGTCAATTTAAAAAACAAGAAAGTTATATTAAGGTTCTTCTTCGTTATGTTTACTCACATGACTTTTAATATGAATCTGATTTATAATTAAAAACTTGAAATGCAAACAATTTCAATATGTTTTTCCAGAATATAACCTTTTAATTTTAATGACAATTCTATAATGGGCTAGGATACTATTAAATAACATATACCCAGATGGAGATGGGGTTATCTCTCTTATTAGATGGTAGATGAATCTTAAAGTAATACAGCTTTATGCAGTTAACGGACCTGTTGGATTTTATATTTCAGTATTATGTTCGAGCAGCTTGTAGACTGCATGACAAAGTTTTGTCAAATGTGATGAAAGCTCCGATGCGATTTTTTGACGCAAATCCACCGGGAAGAATTTTGAACCGCTTCTCAAAAGACTTGGATGAAGGTATTCGTCTAACAATAACAAAATAGAATATTGTATAGACATAGGTTTTATGTGGTAAAGTAATATATAGCATGGTTAGTATATAAATTTACCAACGACCATAAGCAGCGGCTTATTTTATTAATCAGTAACTGTTTGTTCTAGCTGACGTTTTCCTGCCACAGCTTCAGGACACCTTGTTCCAAGTCTCCACGTCTATTCTAGTCTCTCTGGTCTCCGCCGTTGTTATTATGCCGTGGATAGGGATTGCTATTGTACCAGTAGCCATCTTCTTTTACATCTTTAAAGTCGTTTCATCCGTCTCAGTTCGTCAATTCAAACGTTTTGAAAACATAACCCGGTCGCCATTACTTAGTCACGTGAGCACCTCAGCACAAGGTCTGAGCACCATCGTCTCCTTCCAACAACAAAACAATTGCATAAAAAGGTGTGTAGAGACCACTATTTGTCGGTATTCCTCAGCATATCCATGTTATGAAAAAAAATGATGAAAGTCTATTAATGAATCTTTCAGTATCCGAACCTTCACCGATGTCTCTACGGTTGCCACGTTTTTGATGGAGACTGCGATGCGCTGGATTGGATTGCGGCTTGACCTCGCAGCGTCTTGTATCACTATCACCACGGCTTTATCGCTGATTCTCACCAAAGAATCCACGGACGCTTCTCAGGCCGCCCTAGCACTGACACAATGCATTAGGGTACGATTGTTTTATGTCCAAATATATTTCAAATTCACTACATGTAAGTATATGTAAGATTTTACTCTCTTGCCGATTACATTAATTTTAACACCATCATCTTGTTTCAGAGTACTCTAGATTTTAAAACTTTCTGATTAATGGTTGGCAATTTTATTCACAATTTTTCTTGGAAATTAATGATTTTCAGATTGATCGTAAAGTTTACGTATAGCTTGCCCCTAATATGTAGAGTGTGTATATTTATACTTGCAGCAGATTTTCCCTAAACGATATCTCAGGAACCCTGTGCCTTTTTCTTCATAGGTTGTATCGATAATGCAGTTCATGATTAGAGTTCTTAACGAGGTAGAGGCCAGATTTACATCAATTGAACGTCTTCACCAATATGAGGTGATGTATACGATTATATTTTCATGTAAATAATGTTCCTTTTGTTCGTTCTATTCCCTATTAATTATATGGGAGATTTCTAATTAGAAATGTTGCATTCTACATTATAGAAATTGGAATCCGAGAGTCAGACTTTTATCGACACACCTGCCGAAACCTGGCCAAATGAAGGGCGGATTATTTTCTCTAACGTTCAGATGAAATATCGCGATGACATGGACCCTGTACTTAATGAAATTAGATTCGATATTCATCCGCGTCAGAAAGTTGGAATAGTTGGTCGAACTGGAGCAGGTATAACTATATGCATTCTGGTCAACGCACCTGAAAATTGTTATGACCTTTCATTAATTTGTTTATGGTGCATGAGATCATGTGTTATGTTCTTTTAGGCAAGTCTTCGCTAGCAGCTGCATTATTTCGCTTAAACGAACTGTCCAGTGGTCACATATACATAGACGGTGTAGACGTTGCCAAAGTATCTCTACAGCTCCTTCGATCCAAGCTTTCTACCATACCACAGGACCCTGTGTTGTTCGCTGGTACCATGCGGTATGCAAGATAATTACTAATATAGCTTTAACCTTGTCTATCCATCTTCTCAACTTTTTATTGAACTTTTCAAAAATCGTTGTTTTTAGATATAACTTAGATCCTTTTGGCCAATACACCGATGACGTCATGTGGGCGGCCTTGGAGGATGTCCATATGAAAGATAAGGTTTGTGTCTGTTTAGCCTTTTCAACATTCAGAAAGTAAAACTATTTAACTCTATCAATGTTTATTTCATTTAGGTGAAACAATTTGATAACGAGTTGGATTTTATGATAGAAGAAAATGGAGAGAATTTCTCAGTAGGAGAACGCCAGTTGATATGTTTAGCTAGGGCCATCTTACGGAGAAACAAGGTAAGAATTTGGATGGACAGCAAACTTTAAACGTTTTACTTAAAAGGACATTTAGAAATGTAAATGTACATGTATATTACATTATGCGTTATAGATTCTGCTTTTGGATGAGGCCACGGCTTCCATAGATACGGCAACAGACGCCAAAATCCAGCAGACGATACGAGAGAGTTTTGCCGACTGCACGGTTCTCACCATCGCTCACCGCCTCAACACGGTCCTACATTGTGATCTCATCATTATCATGGACGCCGGACGGGTAAGAGATACGAACATAGTTTATGTCTACACATGAAGACTGTCTAGTTCTTTTGTGCCGCTTCGAACAGATTTAAGATATTTTTCAGTTATTTGAAGATACATGCATCATTATGGCTGCCATTTATTGATTTGTTGAGAGCAATAATGTAGTAGAATTATTGCTTGCAACGATTTATTCAGGATAAAGGATTTGTTAATCTGCTTTAAAGTTACCAATTAAAGATACCTTTTGTACAATTTATAAAAGGTGTAACGTGAAGCGGTCACCCATTCATGGTTTATACAGGCTCTTACCTTCAGTAGATGGAGACTCTACCGCATCACTAGAAAAAGCCACCCACTAGCGAGGCAGTATAATAAAGCTGTCCGCTTCATTCCTCCCCCTCCCCCCGCTCTGGAACTTTTCAGTACCGGTGTCGTATAGTGAGACTTCCCCCATAGTGAGGCTTCCCCCGGAAGGCTCACTATATAGTGAGTCTTCCCCCCGGAAGGCTGACTATATAGTGAGCCTTCCCCCCGGAAGAATGGCTATATAGTGAGACTTCCCCCACGGAAGTTTCACTATATAGCCGTTCTTCCGGGGGGGAAGGCTCACTTTATAACCAGCCTTCCCCCATTCATAGCGAGACTCCCCCCTCTTATTATAGTTTCCGGAACATTGTTTTATTATTTTAAAAAATTCTAACAGTGTTAATTTATGACGAAATTATCTTCCATACATATACATGTATTTATATACCGGTATTTATTTTATATGCATGAACAGTTTGAATATCGTTTTAATTAACTGTTTGATATCCATTATAACATATGCGTGTACATTGAGATGATATAATATATATAATATGTATACCCTTTCCTTTACATGTATTGATGACGAATAATTTTATTAATTCACGAGTCACTTATATGAAATGTTCTGATTGTTTTCAGCATTTGAATAAAAAAAAAATTGATAGCATAGTTTTGTTTCTTTGTTTTTCTGTTTGTGTACAAACATTAGCTATTTACACATTAGATATGGTTCAACCGATTTCATAAAAAAATGTAGCGAAAAGAAGAAAAATTTATAGTACTTTAAGACTTATATCTTTTTTAATTTTACGTATTTTTATACGTGTATTCAAACATCCAATCGTCCAAACCCAGTTTAATAAAATATCTTTAAATAAATAATTTTTAAAACACGACTAAAATGAAAAAATAACTGTATGAATTGATGTATGGGTGTGATGAGCAGGGGATGCACACGTTTTCATACAATTTTTCCGGTCATAAATTTAAAAAAAAAAAGGGGGGGGGGGTTAAGCCCAATCCATGCATCCGGTGCCTTTTCTAAAATATGCATGACGGTCAGAATTTGATTTAAAGTGTATTAGAACTCAATCCATCTTATTTGATTTTATATTGATGTAATTTCATTAATATCACGCAAATTTAATTTCAAAATGAAATACAAATCCTAAAAATACTTCATAACATTTATAAAAGTTAAAAGGTCCCTAAAGCATACAATAAATATTTAATTATGTCAATGTATATAAAATCCAAACCGAAAACCGAAGGGGGAAGACTCACTATGGTCATTATGGGGGGAAGTCTCACTATATAGCCATATTTCCCCCAGGGGGAAGACTCACTATATAGCCAGACTTCCGGGGGGAAGTCTCACTATGGCGGAAGTCTCACTAGGGCCTATATGACACCGGCAACCAATACCGTTTCGGAACACGTTTTCGGAACAAGTCCTATCCTAGAGCTTCCTGAAGCAGACTTGTAACCTCTTCCGTAACGACAACCTCTGCCGTCCACAGACACCAAGTCTGTAAATGTGACACTGAGTCCTAGCTGTAAGACTTCCTGAAGAAAGTCACCAAACTGCTGCCACCAATTTTGTAACGTGAATCGGTCCCCATCCAAGGGTTTTACGGGCTCGCCGTTGACAAACTTGAAATACGAGGGGTGATCAAAAAGTTCGCGAACTATCTCTGTATCTACAAAACCACAATACAGATTAGAATGAAAGTCGATACATACATAGTCATACACAAGGTCCATAAATAGCATATGCTGAATAAAGTTTTTCTCCTTGTTTGTGACGTCACAGTGTGAAAATGACGTCACTATGTAGGTCACTTGTGACGAAAAATGGTTGTCTCAGTCGAACTCGTTCAACAAACCTCTGTACAATTTATTGTATATCTTAGAAATCCCTCTGCAGTATCATATAATAATTTGTGCACAGTTTATTTAGATAAATGAGTTCCTATAAATTTAATAAATGATTGGATTGATCGTTTTAGTGAAGGAAGGCAGATTGTTAAAAATGATACCCGTCATCTTGCCAAGTGAAAGCAAATTTGAAAAGATGTGTGTTTTTAATTAAGCAATTTGCTATCAAAGACCTCCAATTTACACTTTGAACAAGAGGCCAACGGGCCTTTTAGGTCACCTGAGTATCATGTAACAACTTTTGAACAATTGAATTTGGTTCATGTTTTAAACCAGAGGCCATGAAAAATTCACATTTTGAAAGATGCACCATTGCTTATCATAATGATACACTTAGCTTGCTTACTCTAGTTACTTAATACCCAGAGGTAGATCAGAGTAACAAAGAAAAAATGCACTTCCAACTTAGAACCAGTTGTGAACCCCACCCTAAAGGAACAACAGACCCTTGGGCCACTTATTTCAAATTTTGGAAATTTTATCATAAATTTTATTTCATCATAAATGGTTGATTAATACTAAAGAGCAGATTTCAAAGCATTAATTTATTTTCAGACCATGTAATCCCCCCCTAACCCTGACCCAGGGGGCATACAATTAACCATTTTGATAGAGGCACCTTTTTTCATCATAAATACATATACTTAGATCATTGGCATAATACACAGGTGCAAAAGATTTTAAAAGAATTAAAGTATTTTCACTTTATAATCAAAAGACCCCACTTACACAAAATGGGTAAACCCCTGACACAGGGGCCATGAAATTTACAAATCAGGTTGAGGCACTCTTGCTCATTATAACTATATACTAATTTAGTTTATCTAATACCCAGGAGCAGAGAGGAAGATTTTCAAAGAATTAATGCATTTTTGCCATATAAACAATAGAGCCCCACCCTAACACCAGAACCCCTGACCCTGGGGCCATAAAATTCACAAATCTGGAAGAGGCACTCTTACTCATCATAACTATGTACTTAGTTAGTTTATTTAATACCCAGGAGCAGAGAAGAGGGTTTTCAAAAAATAAATGCATTTTCACTATATAATCAATAGAGCCCCACCCTTACACCAGAACCCCTGACCCTAGGGCATAAAATTCACAATTTTGGAAGAGGCACTCTTGCTCATCATAACTATGTACTTAGTTTATTTAATACCCAGGAGCAGAGAAGAAGATTTTCAAAGAAATAATGCTTTTTCACTATATAATCATTAGAGCCCTGCCTTTACACCAGAACCCCTGACCCTAGGGCCATAAAATTCTATACACTTAGTTAGTTTATTTAATATCTAGGAGCAAAGAAGAAGATTTTCAAAGAATTAAAGTAGTTTCACTATATAATCAAAAGAGCCCCGCCCTAACACCAGAACCCCTGACCCTGGGGCCATGAAATTCACAATTTTGGTAGAGCCACTCTTGCTCATCATAACTATGTACTTGGTTACTTTATTCAATACCCAGGAGCAGAGAAGAAGATTTTCAAAGAAATAATGCATTTTCACTATATAATCTATAGAGCCCCATCCTAGCACTAGAACCCCTGACCCTGGGGCCATGAATTTCACAATTTTGGTAGAGGACTTAATGCTCATTACATTCATACCAACAGTTTGACTGCTTGATGTCCAGGAGTAGAGAAGAAGATTTTTATAGATTTCATTAATTTTAGTGGTTTTTGCCCAACCCCTCAGGCCCCAGGGGGGCGGGGACCATGAAATTCACAATTTATGTTCCCCTTCACCCATAGATGCTGCATACCAAATTTGGTTGAAATAAGTTCAGTGGTTTCAGAGAAGAAGCTGAAAATGTTCAAATGTTAACACACGACGCACGACGACGGACGAAAACGGATAGCAATAGGTCACCTGAGTGACTCAGGTGACCTAAAAATAGTTGGATATTTGAACAATAATATAATTATTAAATACCTAAAATACCGTTTACTTTAGATTTTAAACATATTAGATATGATAAAAAGGAAGCACCCTTCTCTATCCACCTTGAATAAAGGTCTCTCCCGAGACAACAGATTTGTGTTTTAATGGTCGTTATGCTTATCTTTGGAAAGGATATTCTTATCCACCCATTCTGTTGCCAAGATTTGACCATTTCTGACAAATGAACTGTTCTTGTCATAAAAATTAACTCACATGGAAAGAAATATAAAACTCAGAAAAATCTTTCTACTTCTGTGACAGAACGCTACGGAGGTGGTCACGTGACCGTCAATATCACGTGATTCGCGCATGCAGAGAACGGTGGTTGATGTGCATTAAAAATCGGAGAGGATTAATTGAAAATTTAATCAACAATGAAACCAAATATTGTTTCTTTTATGGAAGTAATTCAATTAGTTCGCGAACTTTTTGATCACACCTCATAGAGGGAGACTCAAGCGCATCACTAGAAAAGCTTACCCACTATCGAAGCAGTATGAAGTCCGTATATAATGTCCGTTCCTGGGGAATAAATGGTCGCATCATTTCTTCTTTGATATAATTTTTTTCACTGAAAAGAGAAACAATTCAATTATAAGCAACTAATTTTATCAACAATATTATGCATGCAAAAAAATTCAGAATTGAAATATCAATTGTTTGAAAGATCTTTAATTGAAGAACTGATGCGTATCCAATGAGTTCATTACATCTTCAAATTATTTAAGGTCTCTTCAAATAAGAGTAAGTTAACTTGATATTCCATACCTATGTAACGGACCTGAGCTGCTTGGATCTCACGCACAGATACTCCTTAGAAGCCTACACGGGAATAACCCATGTAGTACTGTGATTATTTCCGAGAATAACCCGCAAATAAAGATCTCCTATAATAACACAAGAATAACCTGTGTTTGGACTCGTAAATAACTACGGGGAAGTTAAATGATAAGCCTTATTTAAAGTTTACAAATTTATTCAATAAATAAAAGTCACAATATGTATTAATTAATATTCAATTACAATAAAATTCACTGTAAGTCGGGAATCACCCAATTTCACAGTGAAATACTACACTAACAGTAACACAACCTTCGTATTACGTTAATACCATAAAGGGGGGGGGGGGGAGGCGCACTAAACGAGAATGACCCGAATAGTGAGTGTTAAATCCTAGAAATACCTTAGAATAACCAAAGTATTTCTCCCTTAACAAATCTACACAATGTATAAAAGCTATTTAAAGCAAGAAATTTATCTCTATAATTTCTATATCAAATCCTAGCCTTAATTCCTGCTTGAATATTCCAATAAATGCAACTAGATTATCACTTTAAATTGATTGAATTCCTAAAATCTATCAAAGATAAACAATTATTTACACGGAAAGACTTCAAGACTCACTTTCAGTCAAACCGTAACAAAATTATTTAATCGTTTAATATCGAGATTAACCCAATATAAACGTCCTACGATAAATACTAGTAATTAATAGTGATACGAGATTAACCCGTAATCACTATAAGAAAAATTGATGAATAAATTCAAAAATTACTAAATTCCTACAGAAAAACTCTAAGAATCTAATAAAACACCCTCTAACCTCAAAATCCTAACACCGAGTCCCACCGGCAATTCTTATCCTCTGTTTTTATAGCTCTGGAGAGTCTCCCCGGAGACCCACGCGCTTTCCTAGGGACGACCGGCAGATCTCCGGTACCACCGGCAGTCACCGGCAGCCACCGGCAATAATCATTGTCAAATAATGTTTAATAATAACAATAGATAATCCACATAACACATGTGACAATTATGATATAAAACAATTACACAATATGACGATATCCCAAAAGTATTATTAAATTTCGATAAAAATGCTTAGTACAGAGAAATTACATTTTGAATCGGGCTTGATATTCCACAAAATAATCATCATGATGGCGGTATCTATAAATAAAGTTTCAGAATCAGAAACGATATTTACAACAAATCTAGCGTATTACAATAATCCAGAATAATAAAATTAGAATCATAAGATCATGTTCTTCTAGATATGTAAGTACAGTGAATCAATAATAAGAAATGTAACCGATTATACGATCTACAAATCATAGTATCAAATCAATGTATAGGGAAACACGAAACCTATATAAAACAATCTGCATCATTGTCACAATCGTGACACCTATGTTGACGCCAAAAACAAGACGATGATTAATGATGTTTGTATCCAGATATGTCGTCGTTTCTTGACATTAATATAATAATTTCAGATCTTATAACAATTACAGTGGACCTTCAAATATCCGGACCCCAGATTTCCGGATGCTTCAGTATCCGGACGATTTTTCGTCAGGACAGAATTTTCAAATGTTATTTTGTCCTGTTTAACAGCTGATTCAGATATCCAGATGCTTCACATATTCGAACAATTCGACTAGGAACCAAAGCGTCCGGATAAATGAGGCTCCACTGTAGATGTTTGATGTTTACTCCAAATATTATCCTAAAATAGTGTTTTAAAATGAATATAAAATGACATGTGATGAAAACTAAATTCACCATTGTTAATGCCAGGTTTCAAATTGTAAATGTCTTTACCAATGAATATATACTATTATGTCTATATCTAATGACAAACTAAAGTAATAAATCTACATGCAGCAACAATACGACTATTCACTACAAAATTTTACTTGCTAAATCCCTTATTCAATTTTGGTTGACAGCATTCAGAAGTGACACACTTGTGTGATACCTATGTGCATACATTGGATGTTTAATTGCTTTCTCTCTTATTATGATAATAAATGCACAACCAATTAATTAAATGTTGGCATTAATTAGGTAATGGAGATGGGTTCCCCACAGGATTTGTTGTCGGACCCGAACTCTTACTTCAACACCATGCTGTCGGCACAAACTGTCAAGACACCGTCACCATGAGGTCATCGTGTTGTGGTTCATATGACTCTTACTATGTAATTAATAAAATATTGTCAAAAAACCTGTTCTTCAATTTGTTTTTTCTTGGTTCATTAAATAAGTCATCATTTTAATATGTTTATTTACATCATTGTGACCAGTTTGTTGCACTTAGTGACCAGGTATTTTTAAGAAGAAAAATAAATGTTGATTGGCTTTCTGAAAGAATAAATGTGAAGCGTATAAAAGTATATGATTTCTTCTATATGTTGCTAATCGACAATTTAAAAATGGCAATAACAGAAGGCCAGGGTATTTCCAGTCAAACAAATTTGAAGTGTGTCAGACCTAAAATCTATGTTGTTAAATCTTTCAGGGTCAGTGGAAGTGGTTAATTAAGTATGCCTACTAAATCTTTCATAATTTTACTATAAATATACATCAAATTAAGATATGCACTTCTAGTATAATAATCTTATTTACATGTCGTTCGTGAAATTGAATATTAATTACACTTAAACACATCGTCTCTAACCAGAAGTCTTCCTTCCTCGTTAGAACTGTCAAAGATCAATCGTTGTTTATAAAATTCCAGGTTTGATTTGGCGAAAAACTCCAGAATCATTCAAATCTGTCAATGTCAAATTATACATGTGATTCTGGGAAATGTAAATGGAATTTTTAAAGATATTTTACGGTCTTAAAATAACCTGGGACGTTACGCGCCATAGTCATCTTTTTTTAGCTCACCTGAGCCGAAGGTTCAAGTGAGCTTTTCTGATCACATTGTGTCCGTCGTCCGTCTGTCCGTCCGTAAACTTTTCACATTTTCGACTTCTTCTCAAGAACCACTGGGCCAATTTTGAGCAAACTTGGTACAAAGCATCCTTGGGTGAAGGGGAATTTAAATTGTTAAAATGAAGGGCCAAATCCCTTAACAAGGGGAGATAATCAAGAAAAGACAAAAATAGGGTGGGTTTATTAAAAAATCTTCTTCTCAAGAACCACTGGGCCAGAAAAGCTGAAACTTATGTGGAAGCATCCTGGGGTAGTGTAGATTCTAAATTGTTCAAATCATGACCCCCGGGGGTAGGGCGGGGCCACAATGGGGAATCCAAGTTTTACATAGAAATATATAGGAAAAAACTTTAAAAATCTTCTTCTCAAGAACCACTGGGCCAGAAAAGCTGAAACTTATGTGGACGCATCCTGGGGTAGTGTAGATTCTAAATTGTACAAATCATGACCCCCGGGGGTTGGGCGGGGCCACAATGGGGAATCCAAGTTTTACATAGAAATATATAGGAAAAATCTTTAAAAATCTTCTTCTCAAGAACCACTGGGCCAGAAAAGCTGAAACTTATGTGGAAGCATCCTGGGGTAGTGTAGATTCTAAATTGTACAAATCATGACCCCCGGGGGTTGGGCGGGGCCACAATGGGGAATCCAAGTTTTACATAGAAATATATAAGAAAAATCTTCTTAATAACCACTGGGCCAGAAAAGCTGAAACTTATGTGGAAGCATCCTGGGGTAGTGTAGATTCTAAATTGTTCAAATCATGACCCGAGGGGAGGGGGTGGGTAGGGCGGGGCCACAATGGGGAATCAAAGTTTTACATAGAAATATATTGGACATTCTTTGTTAAGCTGAAACTTATGTGGAAGCATCCTGGGGTAGTGTAGATTTCAAATTGTCTAAATTATGATCAGTGGGGTAGGGTGGGGTCACAATATGTATTACAAGGGGGAAATCTAGTAAAGAACAGAATGGTCAAAGCTTCTCAGGTGAGCGATGTGACCCATGGGCCTCTTGTTTATCGATAACAATCATCAGTTTGTTTGTCTATTTATCATTTTAATGATTATTTATCACATTAAAGAAGCGGATTCATTAAGATGCAAATGTATTCAGTGACGTATAAAGTTCGCAGTAATAGTGCATAGATGATGGTATATTTATAAAAGTCAACAGCACTCCTAAAATTTTGTATTAAGTGTTTATCGTCAGAAAAGATTACTCATACAACAATTTCTTATTAGATATATTTTTAAAATTAATATTGGGATAGCTGCAAAAGATACAAAGGTTAGTATGTTTTATCCTTTCACAATTCTCATTGTGATTGATCATTCAAAACGTTAAATTTAAAACATCTCTAACATGCATGAATTCGATGATGATAGATGTTTGAACCGAGTGACAGATTGTTTTAACCATCCTACACTTTTTTTCTGTTCACAGAGACCACTGCAAATAAATTAAGTCAAAGAAGCAGAACAATTTGTCATCACGCCACAATGGGTTTGTCACGGAACAATTCAGTGACCGAAGACGGATTTGCAGTCGAAGACGACGTTGCATTATGGTGTCACTCTGTCGATAACACTGTAGTTGAAACACAGCCTTATCCTCAAGCTCCAATCATGATGGAACTAGGGGCTCATTTTGAAGATTCGGAAGTATTTAGAAAATGTGGAATCTGTTACGAAACCCCGATCGATGGACGTCTTTTGGAATGTTTTCATACCTTTTGTGAAACTTGTCTTGAAAGGGTCTGGTGTGACGCAACTGTTATCAGATGTACTTTGTGTACAAGAACTACATCGATTCCTCCTGAAGGTATCAATGGTCTACCCAAAAACCCATTCATAAGATCAAAACCCGGTGATGAGATACAGTTGACCATAACCTGTGATCTGTGCGAGGATGGTCGTCAAGCAGAAGTCCACTGTCTCGACTGTGACCAAAACCTGTGTTCCTCTTGCCGCGTGATACACCTCAAATGTAATGCTTCCAAGGAACACACTGTTCAAAGCTTCGAATCAAGCAACATACCATTGCCCGATGATTTACACAGACCAGCTTGCAAGAAAATTCCAAGTACCTGCGTTGATCATGGCGAAGAATTGTCATATCATTGCAGAATGTGTGCGAAAGCGATATGTAAATTTTGTAGGAAGGAGCCGGTGCACAGGGGTCATAGGACAAAGCCTCTTTCAGTTGTTATGGACACAAAGCGTAAACAAGTATCTCAAAAGATGACATCGATCGAGAATGGGTATTTTGAGGTTTTAAGAAAGAAGTTATACAATACAAGAAAGCACGCCGAAGCTCTCTCCAATAACATTAAAGATGTAATAAATAGCATCCTTGCCAGAGCTGAACATCTGAAGCACGAAATCGATGTGGCGAGCGATGCTCTGATTTCCGAAGTCTTGGAGAAGGAAAAAGAGGGACTTGAAAAGTGTACCTCGTTAGAAACACTCATTGAACAAGAGGTGTTGGGCATTGGAAGTGCTCTACAGTATATTCACAACATTTTGCAGTATGGTTCTCCTTTAGAGGTTTGTGACGCCTTGCCAACAATCAACAACATTTTAGATGACTACAGCGACAGAGGACAGACACCTCGTTTGGAGAAAACTGACATCACCTTTGAACTTGGGGACCTGACGCCAAAATCAATCCAACAAGGTTTCGGGAGTCTGGCGGTAAGGAACAAAGGACGCTTCTGGGCTCGGTCAATATCAGTAGGTTTTCGAGGTTTACAAGATGTAAACATCAAAATGCAGACAGGATTCGACTTCCCAACTTCATCATTGGAAGAAGTTCAAGAAGAGGAAGAATTACCAATACACGCTTTAACGACATCTTCAACCCATCAAAATCAGGTTTGGACATGCGCTGGATGGAATTCTTCCACTATTGCTCTTCTCGACAACCAGGGTACACCCCAAACTTCTGTCCCGATTGGCCATAAAGTGGATGACATCACTGCCTCCACAGAAGACGAATTGTTTATCTCATGCTTCCACAAAAGGATGTTGGTCCGTTATAAAATTTCAACAGTCACCATGGAGTCGGTCCATTTACCGTACTATCCACGTGGTCTCACCGTCTGTAATGACGGGAGTCTTCTGATATGTATGACCGACAGCTACAGTTCATGTGCCTCGGACAACAGCAGGAGGTTTGTGGCCAAATATACAAAAGACTTAAAATTAGACAGTGTGTACGAATTTGAAAACAATAACAGACTTTTTACCAGACCGTATAGAGTTGCCGAAAACATCAACGGGGACATCTGTGTAACAGACAAAACATCCATGGGTTCAGGAAGAGTTGTGGTTCTTGATCGTCATGGAAAGTTCAAATTTGCTTTCGAAGGCCCGTCAAACAACCAATGTAAGGGAAGCTTCTCACCTGCTGGTATTACTTGTGATAGCTACGGGCGAATCCTTGTTGCTGATTCAAACAACAACTGTGTCCATATCCTTGACCCTAATGGGAACTTTGGCGGGTTTCTTCTACAACAAGGGGACACACCAACGAGTCCACATTCCATTTGTATCGACAATCACAGTCAATTCTGGGTTGGGGATGAAGAAGGCAATATTAAACTGTACGAGTATCTCTAGTTATAAAAAAGCGAAGGAAAATTACAAAAACATTAGCAATTTGAATTAAATGAGAGTGTCGGCGTGTATATTATATGTCAAACCGTGTAATATTTATCATATACTTTCTTTTAGAATATATTATAGAAATAAAAAATTTTTTTTACAAGCATTCAATGTGAAAATTTTCAATACTTAAAAATTTGATATTGATAATTCTTAAATGCCACCGAGTCAGAATTCTCGGTTTGACCATAAGCAATAACTAGATATCGAGGGGCCTTAATGGTCACAGGTCTTAGCATATACATAGAGAATAATACATACCCTTTTCCACATCCCATCCTGTATCAGCCCGAGACACCAATATCAGCCAGAGGGCTGATATTGGTCGAGGGCTGATACAGGATGTGATGTGGAAACGGGTATGTTTTATTTTATTTATTACATACTTCGTAATAAAATACAGAAGATAAGTAAATATAAACCATGCACGTACTTCTTAAAATGTACACAGTCTATTGTCTCATACAGTGTCGGTTTGTTTCTGCATGTACTTCTATTTCAAATGTCCCCAATCCGTAATTTTAAAATAATCTATTTTTTATCAGATTATCATTACATTCAAAAAGTTAAAATTAAGAGAATTATGTAATCCCCAAAATATGTGTATGATCACAAGTACTGTTTTTTGAGGTTTAATTTACTAGGGGTGTGACTCTGATCCGTATCAGCCCTGCAGGGCTGATAACCTATATCAGCCCCGCAAATCCATATCAGCCCTGCAGGGCTGATACGGCTATTGTGACGTCAGCCATATCGCATATGCAAAAAACCTGTATTTATTACTAAGTATGCAATTAAGTTTTGTAGTATACTAACACCTGTGACCATTAAGGCCCCTCGATATCTAGTAATATCTAGTAATAGAAGTACATGCAGAAACAACCCGAAACTGTATGAGACAATAGACTGTGTACATTTTAAGAAGTCCGTGCATGATTTATATTTACTTATTTTCTTCTCACCTTAATGTGTTCTGTATAATATTACTAAGTATGTAATTAAAATAATAAAATATACCCTTTTACACATCACATCCTGTATCAGCCCTCGATCAATACCGTGTCTCGGGTTGATACAGGATGTGATATGGAAAAGGGTATGTATTATTCTCTATGTAATGCATCCATTCACTGGCAATTTTCAAAATACCTGTAAATGTTTATTTAACATTTTATAAACTGAAAAGTGCGTCTAATCTCAAGGTCAAGCATATTTATATCCACGGAAAGGTCTTGTCACACTGACAATACGTTAACATGTACAGATGAAAGCCCTAGCACCAACTCTTCAAAACGTATGGTCAATGTTAAAGTTTGATAAATTTTTGCAAAGGTCAATTATGTTGGTCGTCAAAGAAAGGCCTTGTCACAAGAAAAAGCGTGAAATATGAAAGTCATAGCTTCAACCAATCAAATGTTATGGAAATGGTTCAAGTTTTAGCAGACGAACGAACAGAACAAAAACTATATATCCCCTACTTTATTTATGATTTCTGTAAAAGTTGTTTCTTAATATTAATGCCTCCATAATCGAAAATTCGGGGATAGATAGTTTTTATTCTGTCCGTTTGTTATAATTTTGTTTGGTTGAAGCTATAGCTTTCATATTTTACAAGAGTATTTTTATTGTGACAAGACCTTTTCTTTATATACCTACAAATTTGACCTTGGAATTTATCCTATTTTTGATCAACTCTACCCATGGTTTTAGTATCTATTGACATTGCACTTCAGCTTGTATTTCAGGTACTTCAACCTTCACCATACGCTGCCATACAGGAGATCAAAATTTTTTTATACTCAAATATCCCTAATAAATTAACCTTTGATTCCCTATGGTGGCCCTACTCTAGCCCCAGAAATTGTTAACTGAACAAACTTGATTCTACATCATGTACACATTGAAGCTTTCGCATACCTTTTTTTAGCTTTTCTGGCTTGTGGTTGAGATTTTTTTTTTAAAGATTCATTAAATATTCACTTATTCCTCTTTATATCTCCTTTAAAGTGAATGTGAACCTGGGAGCAAATTTAAATTCCTTTAACTTCAAGTGAATCTTTGTTTGAACAAATCTAAACTCCTTTTACTTCAGAATGACTTGTGGTAAATTTTGCTGAGAGATTTCAAATAGTTGTAGAGAAAAAGATGAAAATGTGGAAAGTTAAACATGTGATATCCACAAAAAAAGCCAAATTGAGCCTTAAGCCATGAGCTAAACAACCGAATCCTTCTACCATTCTGTTAGTCCGGTCTGTGACCATAATTTACGTCTATAGTACAGGTATTTAAAATTTTTGTCAACATCGTCTGAAGAAAGTTTTTGTAAGCTTTTTTTTTTTTTTTTTTTTTTTTTATTAATACCAATTGTCACAGTATACATGTTTATAATATCTTATTAACATCAAAACATCATTAATACATATAGTAAATAAATACAAAAAAAATATAATAATGACAATTGAGATTGAGAGGAGGAAAGAAGAAGAAGAAGAAAAGAGAGAGAGAGAGGTGAGAAAAGGTGAAAGAAGAACAGAAAAGCATGTTCATAGAAATAAAATAGTGGTCTATGTATGTCCAAGCATTGCAAGAAATCTTTAGGTGTCTGGTTTCAGGGTCTTACATGAGTAGAAGCCAGTCTTTCCATTTATCATTAAATTCATTAATTTGATTACTTTTTGTTGCACTATATTTCATCGTAGATAGCAATGTTTTAATATCTCCACGTAACGCTTGTAATCTTAAAACCTCATTCCGACATTTAGTTCTGTATATAAATGATTTAATACATAAAAATATTGTATTTAATTCAGTATTGTTGGGTTTTGGATTCCCAAATATGAAATTACAACTATCTTTTGGAAAGTCTATATTATGAGCTTCACAAAGAATGGTAAAACTATGTAAAAGCTCCTGAACCTTCTGGCATTCCCACATAATATGAAAAATTGTTTCCTCACATGTCTCACAGAAGCTACATAGTTTAGTATCCTTCAAACCTATTTTATATAACATTTTATTTGTAACTAAGATATGTTGATTTATTCTGAATTGTAGCCATTGCAATTTAGAACTTTTTGTACATTGAAAAGGAATTTTGTATATCATTTCCCATAGGGAATCTTCAATTTCAAAATGTTTACTCCATTTTACTTTTGAAACAGGCAGTATATGTTCTGTATTCAGAATATTATACATAGCTTTTGTTCCTTTTTTACATAGACAGAATAATTTTAAATAAAAAGGTAGGATGGGCCTTGGGTTTACTCTTTCTTTGTTTATTTTTTCTACAGCCATAGCTTTTTTTACTGCTTTCTGTAAACTTGCATATGTTAAAAAGTTGGTTTCTATATGAAATTTTGCTTGTAGATCCTTTAATTCTAGAAAAGTTCCCTTTTCATCTAACAAGTCTGAGATAAAAACTACACCATTAATAAACCATTTGGAGTAAAAAATGGGCTTATTGTCAATTTTAAGTTTTTTATTGTACCATAATGGTTGAGAGATAAAATCTTCCCATGATTCTATTTTCATTTTGTCTTCTATATTTTTGAAAGCAATTAAAGTATCTTTCCAAAAATCATTAGTTATACTTTGTAGTATTATTTCAATATAATTTGAACCAGTATTAAATAACTTTTTAATATTAAAAGCTTTTTGAACAAGTGATCTCCATTTAGACTCCTGTCCATTGAGTAGTTTTTTAATCCAAGATGATTTTAAGCTCTTAATGTAGTTATTTAAGTCAATCATATTCAATCCTCCACTCTTGTAATCTTGAGTAATTTGTTTTCTTTTTATCTTGTCCACTTTTGATCCCCAAAGAAAATTAAATAGAACACTATTTAGATTCTTAACAAAATTTTCAGAAGGTGAAGGTAAAGCAATAAAAAGATGGTTTAGCTGTGCTATTAATAATGATTTTATAAGTGAAATCCTACCCAAGGGGGTAGTACGTCTTTTACTCCACTGTAGTATTATATTCTTAATTTTGACCAATTTTTTGTCATAGTTGAGTTTTGGAACTCTACTTAAGTCAACATCAAAATAAATACCCAATACTTTAAATTGTGTTGACCATTGAAAATCCATTTCATTAAGAGGTTTTTCAGATGAATATTTTTTGCTTCCTATCCAGACTATTTGTGTTTTAGAGAGATTTATTTTAAGTCCTGATAATTTATAGAATTGATTTATTTCTTCAATGCAATTTCTTAGGGATTTTTCTGTTCCATCTAGTATAACTAATGTGTCATCTGCATATTGAGACATTAGGTATTCCTCCCCATCAATTTTAATCCCTTTTATATTTTTATTATTTTTTATTTTTAAAGCTAAAATTTCTGCACAGAGTAAAAATATATATGGTGAAATTGGATCACCCTGACGACAACCACGGCCTAGTTTAAAGAAATTAGATAGGTGGCCGGCTTGATTAATTGCTGATACAATATTACATTGAAATAATGAAACCCATCTTCTTAAAGAAGGACCAAAATTAAAGAATTTCAGGGCTTTATCAATAAAATTCCATGACACAGTGTCAAAAGCTTTTTCAAAGTCAATCATTAACAACATTCCAGGAATATTTTTTTCTTCTGTATAATGCATTAGATCATAGATTAACCTGGTATTTTCTCCTATGTATCTTCCAGGTACAAAACCTGTCTGGTCTGAACTTATAATTGTATTCAAGATATTTTTCATTCTACTTGCTATACAGCCAGATCCTATTTTATATACAACGTTTAATAATGATATTGGGCGCCAATTTTTTATGAAAAATTTACTTTTTCCTTCTTTAGGTATACAAGTGATAATTCCCTGTTTTTGTGTAACAGAAAGCTCTCCTTTTTGGTAACCATAATTTATTGATCTTACTATGAAATTTCCCAGCTGTTTCCAGAAAACTTTGAAGAATTCTGTTGTAAAGCCATCGCTTCCAGGACTTTTATCATTTGACATATTTTTCAAAACTAGTAATGCTTCATTTAAAGTTATCTCCCCTTCAAGACTATTCTTTTGTGTATCACTAAGTTTTTCTGCAGCAATGTCCCAAGTATCATCATTTAGATCAACATTTGTCATATCAGAATTAGCCTCATAAAGTACTTTATAATATTTTTCGATTTCAAGAAGAATATCTTTCTGATTTGTTATTTCTGAATCAATTGATTCATCTTTAATCAATTTAGGGATTATTTTATTTGTATAGTGTCTGTTCTCTAGGTTTAGAAAGTAATTAGTAGGTTTTTCTCCTTCATTCATCCATTTTACTCTAGACCTTATGATATTTCCCATAAGTTTATGGTCTCTTATATTTTCCAATTCCTTTTTCTTATTATAAATTGTTTGAATATTTTTATCGTAGTCTTTTTCCAAATTTTCGATTTCAGAAATTAACTGATTTTCTTTCTCATTGCTTTTTTTCTTTACATAACTAGAATAAGAAATGGTCTTGCCTCTAATTTCCATTAGGAGTGTTTCAAGGAAAAGCTGTTCATCCGTAGTAAACTGAATTTCTGAATCTGATATTTCTTTGATATATTCTTTAGAATAGATAGGTAATGCATAATTTTCCTTTGTTTCCTGAATAACTTTGTTGACCGTTTCAATATATTTAATATCTTTAAGAAGTGAGTTATTAAATTTCCACAAACCTTTTCCATGAGTAAACTCATTCAATTTAATCTTTAGGCATATTGGTGAGTGATCAGATTTATAACTATTCAAAATTCTACTTTCTTGAACACTATTTAAAAAAGAATTTGATATGAGAAAGAAATCTAATCTTGCTTGTTTACAAGGGGAAGGTTTACGCCAAGTATATCTTGTTTCATCAGGATGCATTTCTCTAAAAATATCACTGAAATCATACTCAGAGATGATTTCTAGAACTTTGCTTCTTGCCTTTGGGTTATTAATATGAAGATAATTAAAATAATCTTTTTCTGGGTCTAAAACTAGATTAAAATCTCCAACCAAAATAACATCTTGATTTGATAAGTCCTTTACAATATTTGACAATCTTTCATAAAATGAGGGTGTGTCCTCATTTGGTCCATATATTGAAATTAAACTCAGACGCTTGTTTTCAATTGTTAAATCTAAAGCCAAAAGATTTCCCGCGTCATCAGCTATTCTATTATGAACCTTATGTTCAAAATTATTATTAAAAAAAATAGCAACATCTCTTGACTTTGACGAAAATGAATTAAAATAAGCCTCGTATCCCCATTCATTTCTAATATCATTCTCCATATCACTTGTAAAATGGGTGTCTTGTAGACACAGAATATTGCATTGAAATTGCTTATAATATTGGAATACGTCCTTTCTCTTTTTAAAATCATGAAGACCCTGACAATTTGCTGAAACTACTGTAAACCCAGACATGAAATATGAAATTGAACTGGTGCAAAAAACTTGGACAAATATTTACTCACCATCAGAAAAAGTGTTGCTCTAAACATGCGAAAGATAGAAGAGAAGATAAAAGAGGAGATTAAAGAATGGTTTAGCAATAAAGACACATGCATCATAGAGTGATAGGTGTGCACGTCTTGTTAGAGATTTAGTCGATAGGGCAAAGACATTTTACAAATCATATCGGATATGCCGCTTCGAGAAAAAAATAGTAAACCAAAAAGGGTAAACATTTAAATCCGGAAAAGTATGAATATATTTTCCAAGTTGAAAACTACTTTTAAATCCGGCTTTACCCATTTATATATTAAACAAAAATAATATTCTTAATAAAAACTTTCGTTGTATTGAATTTGAAGGGAAAACGGCATTAATATTCGTACTTAGGCCTATATATGAAAAATGAACATATTTACAAGATCAAAAAGGTCACCTGATATTATAGTTACCGTCAGTCTTAAACTGTTTGAAAAGTCACATTTCTAAAGAATTGGCGACTTCATTAATCACTTGTTCCATAATTGAAAATCTCTGGGGTCCAATATGGGCATCCCCCATCCACCTTGTGATAACGAAAGCTGCATTGTTTATATTGTTTTCTTTCATGTAGCGCAGCATCTTACGCCCAGCCCCGTGTTCTGAATCGTCATGATAATTTTCGTGAACGGTACCGTTCTCTGTAGATAATCTGTACACCAAAATTCGGTTATCAGCACTTGCTGCATAGGGATCTATTAGGACTTTGCTGTACATCTTCTTCACATCATCCACATTTTTAACTCGAGCACCGAAAGCCATAAATTCCGAACCGTCCTTTTTGATTGGGTCCGAGTTTTTTATTTCAACCGAGTCTAGGTGTTCTGTCTCTTCAGGTGTTACCAATAAAGCATCTGCATTTGTGAGAAATGGTACGTCATCTTTATATGTGGAGCCGTTGGGCAAGATGACCTGATTCTTTTGAATCTTAACAGTGATGTTTTGGCTGCGCAAACTATCTGCCGTATCAAACACCTTGTTTCGAGCGGAAACAATAGATGCAGGTTGCTGCGTTGTAATAAAGAAAGGCAATGGTTGTTTAGCAATTTTCTTTAGCTTTTGGGCATTAAGAATTGTGTTGATTTTACTACGGTCAGTCAGCTTTGCGGTAATGGATACAGGTCGATCGGAATTATATTCTGGACGCACCCCATTCCTATGAATCCTTACAAAGCTGACATCCACCCCCAGAAGTTCTTTAAAAGTAGCTGGCATGGACGTGGTTAGGTTTTCGTTGGGTTCGAAAGGATAATTATGAATGAGGATATTATCCCGCATTGACCTTGATCTAAGATCCGTAACATCATTTTCGATGACGGACATTTTCCTGTCCATTCGGATTACAACCGATCGTAGTAATTCCAGTTCTCTCCGCAATTGAGCGTTTTCTTGACGCAGCAAAGATATATCTTCATAATTGCTCTCACTTTGTTCAGAAACATATTTTAATTTTGCATTTACACTCTGATCACCCTCCGACAAATCATTTCTAATAGTTTCCACTGATGATTTAATGTCCTGAATAGTGGTAACAATTGACTCATTATCGGCTGGGTCTTCTAACGGTTCACTACCTGCATTCTTCTGTGAGCACTCCTCAACCTGTTTTTTAGAAGTAGCCCCGGTTTTTCTTCTGTCTGACGGCATTGTCAATGCAGAAATTTCACAAATATCACAGATAGCTCTCTCAAAGCACAGAAACAAACAGTCAACCAAAATACGAATATTAAATCCTGCTAGAAATGCCCTAAATTGACCAAAATCTCCGGAGCTCAAAACTAAGCCGCCATACCCTGAGACGTCACGTGATCTTTTTCAAGTTTTTGTAAGCTTGATTCAGTTACATGACAAGATAAGGCCCTTACTGCGTTGCAGGGATGGGTCCATTCTCCTTTTGCAACAAGCAGGTATGAGAGATACACGTGTACTGGTTCCAATAAATTGAAATGCATGTGTTATTTTCTGTTAATTTTACACTCGTAAAAAACTTTTTGGCAAATATGCTTGAAATGATAACAAAAATAGTTTTAATTTCATTTTTTTAATTCAAAACTTCATCATATGGAAGATGTTTGTAAACCTAACCAGAACAAAAGTTCCAGAATCGCCTCTCTCTGCTCCCTTATCAGGTAGTCATATGGTCTGGTATAGTATATTATACTGCGTGCACATATATCACAGTGGTCTTTATGATTCAAAATTGAATGGAAATGCTCATCACTCAATTTAAGGAATGTAAAAATCAACTGGAAATAGAAAGAAAAAACACTATTCAATAACATACCTTACTTGTACAATTTAAAGAACTATTACTTCTGGTTTTGTCAAGAGATCCAAGTCCTCAATTATGTAATGCTCTCTGGTATTGCCAAGATTTTTAAAGTTTGATTTTAAAATGAAGATTTTTGGAGATATACTTTATACTATACAAATAAAGAATGAATTAACACGTACGAAGGATTGGTCATAAGCCAAAAACGTTTTCAAAAATTCGATTCCATGACTAAAGGTAAGCAACTAAAAAATTTGGCAGCTTGATAATTAATGTATTTATTCCTCTGAAAACCCCTGCAAATGCATTCATTAACGCCTCACCGTGAGTACAAATGCTTTGGCCAGACATGTTAACTCTCCCGATTTAGGCGGGAGTCTACCGCTTTTTCACTCCATCTCCCGCCTACCGATTTAATTCAGAAATCTACCGCTTTTCTACAAAAGCTGCGTCTAAAGTATTTTTGGTTCGCTTGGGTATCCATTTTTGAAGCCACTCTCATAAAATCTCGCTAGATATCGCGTGATTTGACTCGGAATCACACAAACGCTCTTTTGTACATAGATTTCAAGCACGGATTTGACAACGACAACAACACAAGACTACCAGTGATTACATTGGTTACGATCAATTAATCAACATCCCTGCCATGAAAAAGAAGATACAGCTTTTAAGAATTAGATGAAAACATTTGACATCGTCTTTAAAAGCACAGAAGCTAACAACTTTATCAATAAAGTCAATAGAAATCACTTGATTGACCAAGCCATGTTGCACATCTCTACTTTCGTTTTCGATCATCGCGGGAAATCTGATTTATATAACGAAAGATATGAACTTGTTTTAGATCTAGATTAAACCATGTCATCATTTGTTTTGTTTAAAAACTGAATGAACATTCAGAATTATTGCTTCTAGGCTATTTCAGCAAAGATCACTCTTCAAAAGGCTAAGTAAAGCAGCCAATCCAAGCAAAATGATGAGCATGAAAAATATTTGAATTTGTACAATTTATGTCAAACTTAAGGTGTTTCTGTCTTCTTTTTTGCTGTTGATATTTAAGATTAATTAGTGTAGGTACCTGAATTCATTTAAGGCTTATAATATACATGTATATTACATGAAAGATATCGATAATCCAAGCGTTAAACAACACGCGCGCAATGCTACCACTTTTGAGGTCTGAATCTCCCTCTTTTTCATCACAGTAGGTTAACATGTATGCTTTGGCACATATTTATCATGCTCATTTCTTCGGTCTTAAACATAGAATGAATATTAAGGTACAATGTGATTTTTTTGGCATAAACCTGTTGCAGAGTCCTTTGGGTATTATTCACATGAAAAAATAGTTGCAATTGAAAAACTCCACATGAACCCATTGCAAAATAGAATACATGATTATTTAGTGAACCGAATAACAAATAGAAACAAACACATTATATACTAATTATGATGATGGATTTCATGAAGCCAGTGTTGGTAAATGTTCACAACTCCATGTTCATTGAAAAAACTAGTTTTCTCCTTTCCATTATAATACTATATTCTAAATCATTGAATTTTACTCTTGATGAATATTTGTTTAAGAACATCATTAAATTTCAATGTTATCCTGAACTACATACAAGTAAATGCATTTTTTTTCTTTTCAAAATTATATAAGCTATTTCTACTGAAAGTGGCATTTATTATGGATATTGTCACTCTTGTCATAGCTTCCTAATCTACAATATTACAGAAGACATAAACTAAAAGAACTTATGCAAAGGCAAAGTGTCTGTCTTCCTGTTAATATCTGTCATTTTGTCTGTAAACATTTTTTGAATGCTCCTCTTAATGTTGTTTTATATGTGTGTATCTTGGGGGAGGGGGAATTGGGTTTTTTTAGTTTTCAAATTTTGGACAAATGTAAGAAAAGATTACCATGGACTCTTGATTCTTGTAAAGTTTTTATTGTTAATGCATCAGTGAGTTGGAATAAAAAAAGTAAGCAGACCTTTGTCCTAAAACATAGAATTCCAAAGACTGCCTCCTCAAATAGTGAGTATTCATACTCTAACAACATTTCCCCAGCATGTTGTCCCAGAGCATCAGCTGGAATTTCCTCTGCACTGTATACATCCAGGTCACACGGCATAGTCAGCTTCTCCTGGGGGTAAAATAATTGAAAAATGTTTTGTATTACAGTGTAGATGTATTTGTATTGTTGCAATTGTCAAGCAAGATGCCAACGAGCAATGAGGTACCGTATATACTTGCCTAAAAGTTGGTCCGCCTATAAGTCGGTTGGATTTATTAGGTATTTTTTGAGGAATTTGTCATTGACCCACTTATAAGTCGGTACCACTTTTTGACACATTTGGTTGACAATTTCAAGTAAATTCACTGATGTCTAACCTGGTTTAATTTATTAATTATTAATTTTTTCGAGATGACTATGATATTTTACAATTAGACAAGGGTAAGGTACTTACCTGTAGGGTAATTGGGATTATCCGAGTCCTCGTCGTACATTCAGAGCTAAATATGCAGTATCCAGCGCATGCACAGATAATGACCACTAATTCATAAAAACAATAAAAGATTTCCCGCCACTACCCATCATAGTTTAAAAGTGCGAGCAAAGATGACACAAATAGTTGCATGTGATACACATAAATTAGGGATGGGCAGGGAGGGATTTAGCTCTGAATGTACGAAGAGGACTCGGATAATCCCAATTATCCTACAGGTAAATACCTTACCCTTGTCTAATTGTAAATTATCCTTCGTCCTCTTACGTACATTCATAGCTAAATATGCAGACTTCAAAGTAGATAAACATGTATAAGTATATAATTATAAAATTGATTCTTACCTAACCAGAGGACTTTAAAACTGCCTTTCCAAAGGAAATGTCAGATGACACAGTAATCTTTTTATAAAACTTGTTGAAGGTGGATGCATTTGACCAATCAGCCACATTCATAATGTCTTTCACTGAAAGTCCTGCTTCTAAAGCTGCTGAAGTAGACGCACTTCGAGTGGAATGGGCACCATATCCACTTATCCCAGATCAAATCAACACAGACTTAATCCATCTGGCAATTGTACTTGAAGTCACTTGTCTGTGAGGTTTGAATATTGAGATAAATAATATTGAGCTACTACACAAGTCTTTAGTTCGTTCAATATAATTGTAAAGTTGACTTTACACACAAGTTCTTACACTTAGTGTTAGCTGGTAATACTACACGTTTGGCCTTGAGGTTTTTGTAAGTTTGTTAATCACAAAAATTGCCTTTGATGGAAGAATCTTTAAAAATGTAAGATCCAAAAGGGCAATGGATTGTCCCCACCTGTACGAAATGTTCCGCCCGGAATGTAGGGGGAATAGAGGCGTACTTGGAGAGGGAATTCCGGGCGTCAGTTTGTTTCTCTCTATATAAGGTGTTACACAGAGGCTCCGGGCGTAAACCAAGCGGAAGCCAAGCGGAAACTGGCCGGAATTTTGAGGCGGAATATGCAAATGAGTTACGCCTGGAAAAATGACACCCGGAAAAAGATTCCGTCTGGAAACTAAAATGACCCCTGTATCAAAATTCCGCCTAGAATTATATAATACTATGTGACCTAAAAACCTATATATTAGCCATATTAACCAAGAAAACATTTAGGTTATGATGTACCTTGTTAAAGCTAAAATTTTAGCTTTTTGAACTGCAAGAAAATGTAATGACAGGGCATTTACATAGTATAGAAATATAATCTATAAGACTTTTCCAATTTTTTGTGTAAGGAACTCCATCATGATCGAATGTCTAAGGATTATACATAAACTTTTTACAATACCCGTACATTTTACCACTTCAATATAATCATGATCTTTAAACAAGTTACTTAATACAGTTCTACATTATTACTCCGTACTTTACAGTTGGAGACTGACAGCCTCTATCTGTTATGTATCTCAGAATGTGTGCAAGGAAACTCAAATATCTAAAGTAATTTTAGGGTTAACAAGTTATATAACTATAATTATACATAATCATAATCAAATTTACCCAAATATGTACCAGATATTAATAATCACACCTACCAGCAGATACTGTGTCATCCAGAAGACGTGTAAAAGCCTCAACATTGAAATATCTGCATTTTCTATTTCACTCACACTTAAAACTCCCTCCCTTCTTGATCAAATTCAAACTTAACTTCCTATCTGAAATGACCCTTCATTGATAATTAAAATTGACCAATCAGAGGCTTTTACTTCTCCTGAAAGTTCCAGGCGTAAGTTTGGTTTTAATTTGTTTTCCTGCCATTTTACGCCTGGAAAATCTGAACTTGCAAACTGACGCCCGGATATTAGAAATTACGCCTGGAAAACATCTCTTCTACTGAGGCATAACTTTTCGAAAACTCCGTCTCCTGCTCAAGTACGCCCGGAATTTGCAAACTCCTGCTCAATTCCGCCAATATTCCACCCAAATTCCAGGCGGAATCCGCCTTTCAAATTCGTACAGGCTATCTGAAGACACCAAAGCTATTAAAATAGCTAATTTATATGTCAAATCCTTAAGTGACAAATTGTCATTACATGGTAATGAATTAAGAAATTTCAGAACTGAAACATCCCACACACATGAATATTTTGGAACGGTAGGTTTTAAATTATATACACCTTTCATGAATTGAATAACAGTTGGGTGCTTTCCAACAGGAAAGCCATCAATTGGCGGAATAGTGGTAGATAGAGTTGAACGGTAACTATTAATTGCACTATATGATTTGTTTTTCTGAAATTCACAAGATAAAAATTCCAAAACATCGACTATAGAAACTTGAAAGGGATCCAAACTCTGCCACACCAGCCCAGTTTCCATGCAGATTGGTACTGTTTATTAGTTTTAATTCTCCATGCTTTGCTGAGAATTTCTGCTGTTTTCGTCGAAAATCCTCTTGTAACGTAACGTCTCCGCACACTGTCCACGCGATTAATTTGAGAGTCTTCTCTAACGGGTGTGTCTGTTCTCTGTCGTACGGTAGTGTTAACATGTTGTTCACCACAGGGAGAAGAATTGGATTCCTGCAAGACAGATGAAGAACCTGTGGATACCATGGTTGAGTCTTCCAAAAGGGAGTTATCAATATTAATACAGGATTGTCCCTTATCACCTTCTGAAGAACAGCAGATATTAGGTTGAATGGTGGAAACGCATAGGCTTTCAGGTTTGTCCAGGGAATTGAGAAAGCATCTGTTTTCCAGGCCAACGGATCTGGTTGCCATGACACATAACATGAAATTTGGAAGTTCAGACGACTTGCATACAAATCCACTTGTGGATGGAAAAGTTGTTGAAATATCTTGTAAGTTAGGGTTTGATTTAATTGCCATTCCATTTGATCCATAAAATGTCGACTCGAAAAATCTGCATTCGTGTTCTCTACTCCTGGAATGTGTACAGCCGTCAAATGAATCTTTCGCACAAATGCCCATTCCCAAATTTCCTTTGCCAGGGAGTTCATTGACATTGAATGAGTTCCTCCCATATGATTCAAGTAAGCTACTGCCGTTTTGTTGTCCACTTGAATTTGAATATTCTGGCCATAAATCTAATCTGCTACTGTCATCAGCACAAAATGAACTGCTTTCAATTCCAGAAAATTGATATGTAGCTGCATCTCCTCTGTTGACCATCTGCCTGACACTCGGCAGTGGTTCATCGCTCCCCCCCCCCCCCCCCCCCATCCTTTTTTGGAAGCATCTGTTGTTATAATTATGGTCGGATCTTGAAAATGTATTGGTTTTCCATTGAGCGCTTCCAAGTTCTGAAGCCACCATTGAAGCTCCGTTTGTGATTCTGGAGAGAGAGTCATTTTCCCTTGATAAGATTGGACAAGAAACAAAGACTCTGTCTTGTCTTTTTCCAAATAAAGATAGTGGAGGAGGCCTTGGTAAACAGCAGGAAAGGTTGAAACAAGAAGGCCTATGACATGTGCTACATAACGAATTTTTGGTTGTATTTGAAGAGGAAGGTTCTGAATTTCTTTGAGAATGTGTTCTACTTTTTCCTGAGGTAACGAAACGGTCATCTTCATTGTGTCTATAACATAGCCTAGGAATTTGATTGACTGGGTTGGTTAAAGTGAGGATTTCTTCTCATTGATTTGGAATCCTGCTTGTTGGAACATATTCACAACAGAAGTACCTGTTTCTTCCATTGTCTGGGCAGTCCTTGCCATCCATAGAGAATCGTCGATGTAAATTATGCCTCTATGACCATGAGACCTCAGAGCTGACATAATTGGTTTTGTGCATTTCGTGAAAATTCGTGGGGCAGATTTGAGGCCAAAGGGTAGGCACTGAAACTCGTACCTCTGTTCTTTCCAAATGAATCGCAGATATTTTCGATGGTGATGATGTACTGGGATGCTGAAGTAAGCATCCTTCAGATCCACACTGAGAAGAAAGTCTCCCTCCTGAAGTAGGTTTAATGCCGTTTGAAGCGTTTCCATTTTGAAGTGAAATGTTTCAACAAAGTTGTTCAATGGTTTTAAATTGATTATTGGTCGCATTCCTCCAGATATCTTTGGAACTAGAATATTGTTGAAATAAATTCCTTTGGAGTTTCCAACACAGGAATAATTGCTTGTTTTTGGAGAAGAGAATCTATTTCTTCCTGAATTAAAGCTAATTTGGCCATATTTTTTGGCACTGGAGTTATCCGGGGATTGTGTTGATAAGGCATCATTAAAAAGTCTATTTTGTAACCTTGAATTATTTCCAATATTTTTGAATCTGTTGTTAATGATTTCCAAAATGTTAAGTGATTTTTCAAGTTTCCTGAACCTACTGTGACTTGGAGTTTACTGATACCGTTGTTTTCGTCGAAGTTGAAGTTGACGGATAGGGGTTCCATCTGTAGTTTTTTGACTGTTTTGGACTATTGAATTTTTTGTACGATCGAAAGGAATCTTTGGCTTGTGTTCGAAAGGAATCTTTAGACTGTGAACGAAAGGAAGTGGAATTTTTGTTTGTTTTGAACATCTTGGTGGTTGCCCGTGAGGCTTCTGTAATATCCTTACAAGCTCTAGAAAGCTCTGATCCAAAAAGCTCATCTGTGACTTCTTGTTATTTTTTACACAGTTCTTTGTAGTCCCCTTGAAATAGATGTTTTAAATGTTCTCTTCGTGAGTTAGACATCAAAAAGGAGGCGTGAGAGAGAAGGAAAGTGGCATCCTCTGATATTGTGAGTAATTCATTGATCATGTCATCATCCGGGTTTGACTTCTTCAAATCAAAAAGTTTATCAGAAAGTAAACTTACAGCATAAATGCCACTGCAGAGGGTACCCTGGGTCTTCTGGAGGCCATGGTCTAAATCTTTATTGAACCGAGACATCTTCTTATAAATTGAACTGTTGACTGTTGGGACGAGCAGAAAGGGAACATTACTGGGGCGGTTGTACTTTTCCCGAATGTCCTTCACAAAATCAGAGTCTGCAGTCGATGTGCTGGCTTTACTCATCATGTCGGCCAAGGATTTGTGAACATTACTGGAGGTCTTGCTTTTAACAAAAGCAGAGCCAAATCTTGAGTCGTCAAGGTCCTCTAAATCTGAATCTTCATCAGCTTTTTCTTCCGTATCCGAAACGTCATCAAGACTTTAGAGCCCGGTCGGCATTCGTCAATCTCATTCGCTTAGATGGCCGGTCATCATCTGTATCATCCTGTTTTTCGTCACGTCGTTTATTAGATGTCATTAATGACGATAACTCTTATATAGATTGGACAATAGTGTCTATTCCCAAGGCTTTGTGCAATGAAGCCACCGTGTTTGCATCAAGCATGGGCGCCACCATGTTGGGTGTGATGTCAGTAGAATTTCCGGTTGAAGACAGAGCAGGCCGTGCAGCAGAGTCCGGAAAAGTTTTAGTACTACCAACCTCGGAAGAACGCTTGTCCGGCAAATGAGCAACTGGTGTTGCAATTAAAGGCTTCATATTAGGCGAAGACTGGCGAAGCCATCGAATGGGCGAACCTTGCGCCAAAGCACTAAATGGATGGTGTATCGGGTTACACGCATCCTCAACTTGTTGGGGACTCAAAAAACGAGGTCCAGGCTTTGAGCTGATGGTGCTCAGATGTGGCATTGCCACGGAAAAGGTGGGATTGGAACCACAAACATTTGGCATTGAAGCCTCTGTGGGCACAATGGGAGGCTGCTCTGAGGCAGCGTGCCCCGCGATGTTAAGTAATGGCGTCAGCACCTTTGGGTCCGTCGCTGTTGAATTTGGCACTGTACGTGAAGTTGGAGAGTCTGATTGATGGTGAATAATTATGTAATCCTGACTGTCAGCCATAATAAAGGAATAAAACACAAAAAGAAAGATATATACGTCCAAACAGAAGTAAAAATAAAAAAGAGTTGAGTTACACAACACGGGTGGTCTTCTCTGAGCGAGCACTGAAATAACTATGATGGGTAGTGGTGGGAAATCTTTTATTGTTTTTATGAATTAGTGGTCATTATCTGCACATGCGCTGGATACTGCATATTTAGCTATGAATGTACGTAAGAGGACGAAGGATAATTGATTTTAATACATGAAACAAATAAGTAATACACACTTAAAATACAAATAAAATAATTAAATATGCATTACTTGTAGTTTTTGTATAATCTAAGTATACATGCATAATAATATATAGCCAGACTTCATTACTCGTTGGATATGCCAATAAAAAAGTCATTTCGCCTTCAGAAAATAATGATTATTTGATGACTCGCCTATAAGTCGGACATAGAGTTTTAGACCAAAATTCAACTCCCAAAATACCGACTTACAGGCGAGTATATACGGTATGTTACATGCAGACTAACATGAAACATGTTTAAAATTGTGAATAAGTATAAAAACCACTTGCATATACAGTTCATTTTTTATATTTTTGGGGACTTGATTACAGTTTAATAGAGAAACATTTTAAAAAGTAACAACATTTAATATTTTCAAGTATTATTTAGGTATGCTGTGCCGAAAGGCAAGATGTAAAACAGGCCATTACCTCCAAATAACTTTTTATAAATAATATAAAATAAATATTTTTTAAATACAGTGTATTTTCTTAATTTTAGTTCCATTTCATTATTTTTCAGTTTTTGAATTTTTTTATTCATCATCAAATGTAAAGAATGATATGAAAGGATTCAATTAAAAATTATTGATTAAAGAATTTTAAAAAATCTTGTCCGCGCTATCGAAGACAGTGATAACATTGTCAGATATAATCGTGACTTTTGCTTCATGTAATACAGTAATATAGTATACATACTTCTTTGACTGTGACCACTCCTAGAGTTAAGGGAAATTGTCCATAACAAACAACACGGAGATCTGGGATACTTGTAATGGGAACTCCTCCCAATACTTGATTTCTCTTGTTAGATTTTCCAGGTCTGTCAATATGAATAAAAAGTATGATAAAAGAAAACCATATAGAATGCTAGATGCAAAGTCACAATAAGCATTTGTATTACAGACATACATTTATCACCAAAAAATACTAGAAATTTGGCCTTTGCAATTCTTTGTTATGTGAGGAAAATAATAGCTTGAGTAGCATTTTAAAGAATTTCAAAGAAATTTTTCTTTGTAATAAGCATGGCATTTTTGTGACTTTGTGCATCAAATATGAAAGATATTACTGTACAGCTTTTAAAAGCCTACTTTTTTGTCATTGATATCGAACCAAATTGCGGCAACATTTCTAAATTTTTTTAGGAGTGCCATTTTAAAGAATTTTAGATATGATTGTATATTTTAATTACCAATAAGTAAACATGGCAATAATATACATCAAAATACTAAAATTACAATTTATGACAAGACTCCTTACATTACTGAACAAGTCTATAAGTGATATAAAACAAAACTTACTGTGGTGAAAGCATAAAAATATGACAGTTTATGGAGAGAAAAATAAAACATATAAATACATATAGTCTTTATTCATTCAATGCAACTGTATTTTCATAAATTCCATTTTCAATGATGTAAGGTAAATAAGACTCAGAAATTTCCTCGTATGACTAGTAACATGTCTGCAATTGAAATCTGAAATTAAAATAGGATATATAATCAGTTTAAAATATCCTTAAAGTACCATTTTCCTTTGTAATAGAGGTCCTGGGCATTTTTGTGACTTTGTGCATCAAATATGAAAGATATTCTTTACAGCTTATTAAAAGGTCTCTCTCATTAAGAAGCAACAGTCTGATCCAAGCACTAGTCGACTCATATTTTGAAACAAGAAATCAAAACTTAGCTGTGGATACCTCAATGCATTGTTACAGGTTGTTTGTCACTTAAAGGTTTAACGTAGTTGGTGGAGATATAAGAAATCTCTCAATCAGGATTTGTTCCTCCCTGAAAGACATCAAGTGCTGCAGTCATCCCCTAAAATATCGAGTGAAGTTTATCATGAGACCAACGCCATGATTGGACTCAGGACCTGACATTGTAAGGAAGCATTCAATATATATGTCACTGAATTGTTTTCTAACAGAAACAGTTGACATCTTAAAAAAAAAGGATTTTCAGTGCAACTCTGAATCTACTGAACATATCAAGAGAAAGTACTCTAGCCGTGTTAAGCATTCAAATTGTCAATACAGTGAATACACACTATCAAGATTCTACCTCAGATCTCTGTGTAGAGCTGTAATTCAATGTCTACCGTATAGCGGGATATATATGAAATCTTAATGGCGTATTTTGGCGTTTGAAAGACATCAAGTGCTGGCCCCTAAAATTTTAATCGCTAAAAAATTGACTCAATAATGAACTTAGCATTCAATATATATTCATGAATTGTTAAAGAGATGAAACCCTGTGACATCGCTAAAAAAAAAGGATTTTCACAACCAAAATTATCAAGAGGGTACCTTTCAGCAGGCAAAACGCCAAATTTTACACCCGCCAAAAAAACCCGCTATACGGTATCATCCTATTAAAGGTGACATTATAGAATAATTATATGTGACCTTCCTTGACCTTTCTTTATGCTTATCAAGTTATGTAACCGGAAAGGAGAACATGTACGACTCTACCAGGTATGACCCCTGCATCATTAGTAAGGTGCTCTACATGGCACAAAATCTATAACAGGAAAGTTAGCAAAATATCATCATAAACTCATCAATAATACAATACATTATCGATGAATAATATAAAACCTCTCTTCCATTCCAGAAGTGTTTAACTTCCATTCCAGAAGTGTTTAAAAACCATCATTGTTAATTTAAATTACAATGCTTTGGTCGAGCTACCTTGATAAACCACTTTCCTTGGGAACTAAATCAGCTGTATAACCATCATCATCTCGATGTTCATTGTCAATGTTCTCTCTCTTCTCCCATAGTGTTCTTCTGGTAGCTGATGTCTCCTTTTTCACTGTCCCTTTGTAAAAGTCTGGTTTATTTTCATCAATATTAAATGACACATTTAGACTATTTTTAGTTACGTCGGTCAGGGTGTCCAGAAGTTGTTTTGATTTATCTTTTAACGGGTGTGTTAACTTAGCAGGTGCCCCACTAACGAATTTGAGACCACTGCTGGACAACATAATTTTGAATTCGTGTAAAGATGTTGGTTCTTCGTAATAAAACAAACCTAAGTGTTCCACAGTATTTTTAGTCCATTTAGAAACCATATCCATATCACATTTTTTGTTGTTTGTTTTTGTCTGAGAGCCATGACAGTTCGCGTACAAGTTTGATTCCGAATCTGATGAACATTTTTCACGAGTGTAAATACCCGCCATCTTTCAGAATGTAAACATTTCAGCAGCGGTGCGCGATACTTTCGTTGCATGCAGTGTTCGACCTGGGCAGATTTTTGGCTCTCAAGCCATAACATGGCACGCCAAATTCACAAAAATGAGCTAAACATAGTTTCACAGTCGATAAACTAGGTTCATCGGTTATAAACTATAGTTTACAAATCGTGATTGAACTATAGTTGAAATTCGTTTACTATAGTTTTCAACGGTTTTTAGCCCCCTGGAGATCCGGGTTAGAATAGGTCCTCAGTACCCCCTTGCTTGTCGTAAAACGCGACTGAATGGGGCGGTCCTTCGGATGAGACCGCATAAACCGAGGCCCCGTGTCACAGCAGGTGTGGCACGATAAAGGTCCCTCCCAGCTCAATGGCCCTAAGTGCCGAGCATAGGCCTAAATTTGCAGCCCTTCACGTAATGGTGACGTCTCCATATCAGTGAAATATTCTGGAGACTGAGAGGGACGTTAAACAGTATACAATTAATCAATCAATCAACGGTTTTTAACTATAGTTTACGAATGCTAATCTATGTTTAACTGTGTCTGTAATAAGTTTACGTTAACGATAGATTTTGTTGATAAAGATAGATTCACGTTTGTAACGTTAACAATAAATGTTGATCAATAAAGATAGATTCACGTCTGTAAACTTTATTTACAATTGTGAACTATAGTTAAGAGTTGTTGTAACGGTTTCTTAGTTGAAGATGAAATATAAGAAAGTCCGTTTTAAAAATAGGGTTCAGGACATCTCCATTTTATTCTAATTCACCACAGATGAACACATAGAAATAGGAAATTGGAATATAGGAAACAGGATAAAGGAAAATGCCCTGAAAATTATAAAAACAAATAATAAATATATAGCATAAAATATTTTAACATATCCGTATCAATCTGCGGTTAACAAATACATTGCATAAAAGGAGGTAACTCTTCACATGAATTACACATTATCAAATAGACGAATGCCCCCTTTCAATATTATACTCTTTGAAAAATCATGAAATCTTTATACAACAAAACTGATCTAAATGTTACAATAATGTCTACACATACTTTACTTTTTCGGGATAATCATAATATATATATATATAAAACAATAATATCATACCAATCTATGGGATCAACGTTGTTAACTACAGTTTACAGTCTGTAAATATAGTTTACAACCGATAAACCTAGTTTATCGACTGTGAAACTATGTTTAGCTCATTTTTGTGAATTAGGCGTGTCATAGATATACACGAATCTTGGGGTAAATAATAAACAAAGTTTCGGGGTATAGTTTTTGCCCTCAGCCTGTCTGTCCGTCTGGCTGTCTCTCTATCAGTCCGCCTGTCTGTTTATCTACAAAAATTAACCTTGCACATAATCTTTGAGTATGACTTCAATTCATTTTTTATGCCCCCGTATAGACGATTTGGGGATATAATTTTTGACCCGCCCGTCTGTCCATCCGTCTGTCTGTCTGTTTAACCACACAAACTTAAACTTTGCCCATAGCTTTTGACTGGGTGGGGTTACATAGTTTTCATATTGTAACGTGTAACCTAGGGGTTTGTTTTCAACGGGGTATAAATGTTAGAAAAGTACAATATGTCTAAATGAAATTTTCCTCTGGCTCTATTTGAGCATTCAATACCAGGAATCAATAATGCAGCTGTCAAATATGATCTGTTATTAGGAAAGATAACTTTTTAAAAAAGTAGGCCAAAGTCCGAGGCCAAGGACACAATGGTAAAAATAGTAGTAAAGTTATAAAGGCCTTTTCATATGTAATAATATGCATGTATCAAAATCTATATCTCCACTCGCTCAAAAGTTATGACCAATTTAAAGTACTGCTATAATTTTTGAAAAGTGTGTCAAAATTCAAGGTAAAGATGTAAAAAAAATCTTAGTATATTTGGAAAGGTCTTTGTCACAGGTTATGCAACGGTGAAATATGAAAGCCGTATCTCTTTTCATTCAAAAGTTATGACCAAGGTTAAAGTTTTTGTGACAGCCAGACAGACTTACAGACGAATGAGATTTAATACATTAACTTCAAACGTATTCTCCATGTTATCTCTGCCAAGTCCAAATACGTCCACCAGGCTTCCTGTTCATTTCTTGTTCATGGTTATATGGCCGATCCTATTTCTGGTTTGAACATCCGAGTTCCATGGATGGGGATTTAATGGAGGCGTTATCAGTTACTAAGTTGTCTTCCTGACAAAACAATGTAATCCCTTGTTTATCCATTGTACTTTTCTTTCCTTCATTTGACAAAGCAAACAATGGTGAGTTGGCTTATTTGCTGATGGCTTTAAATTTTGGTAAACTATAACATTTTCTTGTTGAAATATAGAGATAAATGAATGAAGGATATGGAGATAACGAACAGTATTCAAATATCAATGTCCATTAAACAATACAAAATAGGAGCAGAGCAAACACGAACCTCCAAATCATCAGAGGTGGGATCAGGTGCCATGGAGATGTGAGCATCCCCTGCCGACCGGTCACACCCACCGTGTGCTCCTTGTCATGATCGGGAAATAACGGAAAAATCCGTCGTCAATTCAGTATATAAATAATGGACTAACAATTAGTATGAAAAACGCCAGCCAGCATTAATTTTGACTCAATGATAAATTTTATTTACTGACAAGGTCATGGTATCGACCATAGAACTTACGAAATGATGACTTTAAACGAGACTGCTGATAGTCTTGTTTCATCAACTTGTTTGACAATAATTTACCCCGTTTTAGAATTTGTTCATACGTAGAGCATGCTCCTGCGTATCGAATCAACTGAGATATGTAAACTCCGTATGAAGGTGGTGAAGGTACTGTATATTGCTGCATAGGTAAGGGAAGTTGACGATAAAAAAGCTAAGGTCATCACGTTTATTATAGAGTTTTGTTGTTAGATTACCATTTAGTCAATAGTGTCTTTTTCATGCAAGTAAAATATCCAAGTATGAAATAGATGTGTCAGATTCTGTGGTATTTTTAGCTCAAATAAGCCGAAGGCTCAAGTGAGCTTTTCTGATCACATTTTGTCCGTCGTCCGTCCGTCCGTCTGTCTGTCCGTCTGTTTGTCCGTCTGTAAACTTTTCACATTTTCGACTTCTTCTCAAGAACCACTGGGCCAATTTTGACCAAACTTGGTACAAAGCATTCTTGGGTGAAGGGGAATTTAAATTGTTAAAATGAAGGGACATATCCCCTCGCAAGGGGGAGATAATCAAGAAAAGACAAAAATAGGGTTGGGTCATTAAAAAATCTTCTTCTCAAGAACCACTGGGCCAGTAAAGCTGAAACTTATGTGAAAGCATCCTGGTGTAGTGTAGATTCTAAATTGTTCAAACCATGACCTCCGGGGGAAGGGCGGGGCCATTATAGGGAATCAAAGTTTTACATAGAAATATATAGGAAAAATATTTGAAAATCTTCTTCTCAGGAACCACTGGGCCAGAAAAGCTGAAACTTATGTGGAAGCATCCTGGTATAATGTAGATTCTAAATTGTTCAAATCATTGGGGCCACAATGGGGTATCAAAGTTTTACATAGAAATATATAGGAAAAATCTTATCTTTGAAAATCACTGAACCACTAGGCAAGAAAATCTTAAACTTATGTGGAAGCATCCTGGTATAATGTAGATTCTAAATTGTTCAAATAATGACCCCCGGGGGAAGGGCGGGGCCACAATGGGGTATCAAAGTTTTATATAGAAATATATAGGAAAAATCTTTGAAAATCTTCTTCTCAAGAACCACTGGGCCAGAAAAAGTGAAACTTATGTGAAAGCATCCTGGTGTAGTGTAGATTCTAAATTGTTCAAATCATGACCTCCGGGGGAAGGGCGGGGCCATTATAGGGAATCAAAGTTTTACATAGAAATATATATAGGAAAAATCTTTGAAAATCTTCTTCTCAGGAACCACTGGGCCAAAAAAGCTGAAACATATGTGGAAGCATCCTGGTATAATGTAGATTCTAAATTGTTCAAATCATGACCCCCGGGGGAAGGGTGGGGCCACAATGGGGTATCAAAGTTTTACATAGAAATATATAGGAAAAATCTTATCTTTGAAAATCTTCTTCTCAAGAACCACTAGGCAAGAAAATCTTAAACTTATGTGGAAGCATCCTGGTATAATGTAGATTCTAAATTGTTCAAATAATGACCCCCGGGGGAAGGGCGGGGCCACAATGGGGTATCAAAGTTTTATATAGAAATATATAGGAAAAATCTTTGAAAATCTTCTTCTCAAGAACCACTGGGCCAGAAAAAGTGAAACTTATGTGAAAGCATCCTGGTGTAGTGTAGATTCTAAATTGTTCAAATCATGACCTCCGGGGGAAGGGCGGGGCCATTATAGGGAATCAAAGTTTTACATAGAAATATATATAGGAAAAATCTTTGAAAATCTTCTTCTCAGGAACCACTGGGCCAAAAAAGCTGAAACATATGTGCCTATGGAAGGATCATGGGGTAGTGTAGATTTCAAAATGTCTAAATTATGATATGGGGAAGGTATAACAAGGGGGAAATCTGGTAAAGAACAGAATGGTCAAAGCTTCTCAGGTGAGCGATGTGGCCCATGGGCCTCTTGTTTTCAAACTCACCGGGATATATGGTATCGACGTAGGAATGGAAATTACCCCACCTCTGTTGATTTTTCCGTGAAATCCTGGCTTACGATTGGTTGAAGTCTGTCACGTGAAGGCCATGGATTACTTATACCCTGTCAGTTGTAAATCCATACCCGGTCAGTAAAATCCATACCCGGTCGATGTATTACGTCACAAACAAAAACGTGACGTCATAATAGGCACATTATAAGCGCGATGATGCATTTAGCAGAGAAAACCATTTTATCATATACTTAGTAGTAAATTTACCGATTCTGCACGGTGTGGTGACGTCACAATACCCCATATCACGGATCGGTCCGAAAAGCCATATCACGTATCGGACCGGCGGGCCGAAAATCCGTAT